AATATATAATTTATATAATATGTTTAAACTCACAAAAGCCAGTGTGGTAAAGTTGTATTTCTTTTGAACTAAGTTTCAAACAAAATGGATTGTATAGCATGAAACGTTGACCACTAACTGTGCCCAGCACTCACTCCCTTCCATTAGTGAGTGCGTCACACTGTAAAAGGTATGCACACTGTAACGGAAGTGGGTATCTGTGGTATGCATTCATCAGAGAAACCGTATTTATAGAAAAACATGAATATCTTCAGCACCATAATAGATATGAGTTTCTATATTATAATTGAAGGTATCAGGATAACCAGCTATGACCATCTCGAGCTGCTGTAGCTCTCAATTAATAAAGAATTTCTTGAATTTTTTTTCATTCGAAATCTGCATGTTCTGAAATGAGAATAATAAGTCAAACAAACATCTATAGGGATTAACTATATATAGAAAGTATGTAATTCTATGTATTGATTTCTATCATATAATATTCTATTTATAAAATCGAATTCCAGCCTATTAAGATCATGAAGATAATTCCATCATTGTAATGGCGAAATTTATAGCGTGAGTTCGTAACAAAGATACCAATTCCGTTACAGTGTGAATTCTTTTACAGTGTGGTGCACTCACTAATGATAGTGAGTTGTGTTTGACATGATTAAAGTTTAATGTAATCAACCATCTAACGCTCGTTTCCACCTAACGCTTATCATTTCGCCATTACTATGATGGAATCATCTCAATGATATCTCAACAATGCAATTAGATTTTAAGATAAAATATTATATGATGAAAATAAATACATAGAATTACATACAAAAATATATAGTTAATCTTATAGATGTTTGTTTGGCTTATTAACTCATTCAGAACATGAAATTTTGAATGAAAATAAATTCAATGAACAGACAATCATCAAATCAATAAAAATTGCAATATTGTCAGATCTCTTTGACGGCAGATCTGTGAGCACATTGACAGAGCTCTGAAAATGTGATTTAACCACTCTTTATGAAATTGAAAATCTGATTTTCTGATTAGAAAGATGATTTTTAAATTTTTCAATCTTTTTCTTATTCAATTATGATTGCAGCTGTACAGAAGCTCATTTTTTTCTCTCTTTTTATTTTTGAGTTTTTTTTATATCTCTAAGTTTCTTTTCAATCTGCTGTTGAATGACTTTTGCAGTTTTATTTATCTCTTTTTACTGCTTTATTGTTTGATGAGTAGTATTTCATTGTATTCACTGCTTCATAATATCTGTCTTCTTCTACTTTTTAAGAATAATGTATTGCAACTTGGCATCCTTCTTACAAGTCTGTTCATTTTTTGAAAGCTGTTATTTGCTTGTGAATGTGCTGCATCTTTATCAGTGAAAAGGACTATGTCAATAATGAATTTGAAGAATCTAACAATTTTATGACTCTGTTACATTTGTGATGTTTTCTTTTTTAATTAAGAGCTTGCTGTAGCTGCCTGTTCTCTATTAAAAGAATCTCTTTATCAAGAACAAGATTTTCACTCATGTGGATCAGTTGATTAAAATCATTAAATATTCAATGCTATAATTATTTGACTTGTTTAATCATTTTTTACATGTCAACAATAAAAGTAAATGTTCTTGATCTATATTGTGTGTCTGAGGAGATGTAAGATAGTATTGCAAGCTTTTTAAGAACACATTCCAGATCAAATGAATATAGACCAGCAGTGGTAAACACAGATGCAATATTTAATGTTGTAAATGTCTCATATTATACAGAATAAAATAACTGTCAAAAAGATCTCTTTGTAATGCATATAAATTCCATTTCAGTTTTCATTTATTCATTCAATTGCTTGGAGTATGATTTGCTCAATGATTCAAATATTCTAATATCTAGTGGCTGTAATTGATGTGTAGAGTGAGGACATAGAACAGCAAGTAGAATCTGATTTCACTTTATATAATTGATGAATGTTATATTAACATGAAATGAATGATGATTTAATATAAAAAGTCTGTATCTGTATCTGGCTTTCTTTTTTATAAAAGATTTAAAGACCTTCTTTAATCATGTTAATTCATATTCATCATTGCTTTATTTATTTTCTAAAGCAGCAAAGTAGGTCTGATTCTTTTCATTATTAAAATTCTTCAGTCAAGTATCTTGCATATCTCTTGATTTTTCTTAATATATGAAAGCAGATGGGAGAGCAGTTTCATCAGTATAAATTACAGTAAATAATGTAATGAATTCTCAACTGCCATTCTGACTGACATCTATCACACATCTGAATTTGAGAGTGGTAATCAATACAATACATTTGAGAGTGTGGATGAGTTCTAATAGAAATCCTTTTTCATTGAAATTGTAAATATTGTCAGATTCAATATTGCATTATGTGATTTTTACTTACAGCTGTCAGATTAAGCAAGATCAGCAAAATAATCATCAAATCTCATAATACAAATAAAAAAATAGTAGTAGTAATAAATCTATTACAAGATTAAAATAATGCTTGAAATATGTTGAATTGTTTGCATTCTTGCATTTTTGGTTGATATTTTGCAAGTAAACTGACTTGATTACATCCTTGTGATGTTGGCAGAACCTTGTCACCCAGTTGACTTCAACAGACACTTTTAGAATCTCAACAATGAGATTATGAAGAATTTGAGATGTACAAGAGAAACTGTGATCTGTCAATTAATTGATATGAAAAAGGAGCTGTTCTTCTTGTGAATTTGAAAGATTTTTGCAGTGGATAGAGATTGCTTCCTTTCTTGACACTTGAAGATTGTTATAACACTGTGATAATGTATGACAGCTGATTCCATATTTTTTTGCAGTTGTAGTGTAATTAGGAACCAACTGCAAGTTCAAATCATCAATCGCTGCTGGTATAACTGCTTCATGGTGCATGTTGTGGGTGTTTGAAGGTGGATGAATGAAGGGAGAATTTGGCGAGCGTTAGGTGTAAGCGAGCGTTAGGTGGTTGGTTACGTTATATAGTTAGCACAGCTAGTGATATGTTGTAAAAACTAACACTGCTTGGAGAGCGCGTCTAATCGCCGAGCTAACAAAAATTTACTCGAATATTACTAACTTGTTATCAGTTATATCCTATGATCTATGTATACTAGTATTTATGTAGAATATCCTGTCGATTCTACTGATTACTAACTTACATAGTAACGAAAAATACACTGATTTTTGTGATGCTTCACTTGATGATTGATTGAGTGGGGATGAGATGACTGACTCTTCGAGGGTCGATGTTAGATGGGATTCAGCAATAATGATATAACTAATTACTATTTTCTTAATAAGACTGTGGATATGAAGAATTCCAGTAAAGTTCACATAGTTCAACCGGGTAGGTGCTACATCAGACTCTGAAAAACTACCTGGGCGAAATAGAGGGTTAGTACTATTACCAAAATCCATTCAGTTGCTCAAGCATAACTCGGAAACTCACCTCGTGGATGATTTATCTGGGGTAGTAGGATCATCCAGAACTTTATTACTCGGCAAAGTTCTTAAGTCACTCCTCTGCGTGTAAACTGCAGATCCGAGCGAAGAATGCACAACTTTTCAAGGCTCCAACACCCCTTTCTTTCTCCAGTGTCTCCTTCGGTCTTTTTTAACCTGCATAATGGCAATGTTTCTCCCGCGGTTGTCTAAAGTCTGCACTGACGAACCAGCGGCCACGAAATGGGTGGCCATCGCAACACTATACAGTACATGCAGCGGCCAGCAACAGTGTAGACCAGCAAAAAAATTGATCAAGGGAGAGAACAAGCAAGATCCCTATATCCACCCCATACATGCCCCCTTCATAAATACGAAGTTGCGCAGCACTGAAAGTCCCGTTCCATGTGAACCAATGTACAGTACAGACCCTCTAATATCCCCTTGATAAACGGCTCCGGAAACATGTCTGGCGGATAGTCGGAGGACGTTGGCAAGGGCATCTAATCTATTATGCGAGTTTTTCCCGCCACAGCCGGCAAGAGGGGAGGCCAGTTCAACCAGGTCAACGCCTGCATCAACTGGGCCTGCATCAACTGGGAATGGGAATTGATTGATCTTTGGGTTCCCAAAATAATGCCCGGATCTTATCTTCTTCTTCTTCTTCTTCTTCTCCTTCACTGATTCCACAAGGGGTAAAGAAAAGGTTTTGAGGGGGCTCCCAATTTTGCCCCATCCGACATTTAGAAAATTAGCGAAGACGAATCATCTAAGGTCGGAAAGGTGAGCCCCTCATTAAGTTCAAGTTGGCCATCCATCCCCTCACCCCTGAACTTCAGACGGATTCGAAAAATAGTATGTCGAGCTTCTGGATGCGCGTGCAGACGAGGAAAAATCATCTCGTGGTTCTTTAGGATTTTTTTATCTTTCTTTCCACGAGGATGGGAGAGTCGTCAGATTGTTGCCATGAAGAGCGACATTTGAGAATCCGGCGACTTAAAATTGTCGAGCTTCGAACTTGCAGTTTGGAGACCAGTGGGAGAGAAGATGGGATATTCTCCGCCGGTTTCGCAAAGTTGCACTCTTTTTTTATTTCTGGAGGGGCGGGCTGGTTAGTGCTGAACATCAGCGGACTCGGGTCAAAAATTCAGCTGCTGCAACCCAACCTGCAAAGTAATTTGTTGTGAGATAAAAAGGTATTATTATTTGGCTCCTTTTTTCGTATCTAACATATACTGCCTACAAGAAGCAACCACTGGTTAACAATTCAGAGCTTATGTCCAAGGTTTTGGCATGAAATAGAATTTCCCCAAATTTCTACTTAAGATTCGCATATATAATCGCGTACAACAAAAAGAAATCGTCAAAGAATAAAGGAAACAGAACCAGATTCTTAACGCCGCGGGCTTTACTTTATTGAAGCAGAGCGGTAGTAGAAAAAGGAAAATATCTCGCCGACTTTCAGCTCATTTAGCTAACCAACGCTGACCTATTTCCCCAATGTTCCTCCAAGCTGAAATTCCCCAAAAATTAAACACTCGAACGGACTATTCAACTCCCAGACGATGCACGTATTTGCTTCACTCCCATCCACTCTGTGGCCAATATTCCGTCATCAGCAGATCTTGGACGCTTGGGTTTTGATCGACTAGCCTGAGTATTGTCAGCTTCCCACTGCGCAAGGTAGAGGCGAACTAATTTTTCATCTAGCGGCGGAGAGGCCAGCCCCCCCGGGTAGTCCTTGAGAGCACGGTCGATGTTTTCGGTACTGTAGATTGGCATGTTTTCATACATCTCCCAACGGGTGAGCCCTTTGTAATACTTCTGCTGCAGCATTGGTTGCAGCGGCTTCAGGCGACTGTTGGGCTTGCTGGTAAGTTTCTCGACCCATTCACCATATGGCAGAGTTTCCAATTTTTGATTTGCGCACCGTGCAATTAGGTCGAATGTATCGTTCACGGAAACATACTTTGACGAATGTGGGACTATGTGGAATGCCTTCCCCAGGTTCTTGTTTGACGAAGAGATGTGGAGAATGGCAGAACAGACATAGTCAACCGGGACAACGTCTTTCCGCTGACCAGGAAGCAAGGGGCAACATCCGATCTCGAAGCATGTGTTGATCAAACGACAGAGGAAATCATCAGGGTTGCCAACACCGCTGACAGTGTGACCCGTGACGGATCCCGGTCGGTATACGGCGACAGGGAATCCCCGGTTGATCAAATTCTGTAGCATGTATTCAACGACCCACTGGCTCTGGGCGTATCCATGGTCGTATGACAGCGCATCAAGGTGAGGCAGCATTGGGCCATCTTCGGAAACTCTCGAGGCGCCGGTGATCATTCCTGTAGGCCCGAAACAGGAGATGCTTGAGACGTAATGAAGCGTCTTGGGTCTTCCGATGCTAACGAGACGCAGGATGTTCAGAGTTCCGATGACGTTAGCGGCGCGATGAACGGAGTAAGGCTGGATATAGTTGACACGTGCGCCGAGATGGAACACCACGCTCGCCCATTCGGCAATCTCTTCAAATCTTTCCTTGGTAAATCCCAGGTTGTCGTCCTCGAGGTTTCCAGGGAGGACAAGCAATTTCGCCATGAGCGATTCGTTCCAAAGTTTGTATTTTTCCAGGATCTGGCGAAGGCGCTTGAAACCCGTCTCAACGCTAGAAGCACGCACCAGGCATCCCACCTGGTGGACATCTGGCATCTCGAGCAATCGGACCAGGAAAAAGGCACCCACAAAGCCGGTAGCACCTGTCAGGAAGACACGGCCTTCCGTATCGCGACGCCAGTTGAGAGGAGATTTGCTGGGGACACTGATGCATTCACCTAATTTGGCATCTGCTAACCAGAGTTGTCGCTCGTCCTTCTCGATGAATGTTCCCTTCCTGAAGCTATCGATTACAGTTGCTAGCCCGATCAAGGTGGAGTTGTCGTAAAGTGTTAACGTCGAGATATCGATGTCGAACTCGTTTCGAATTCGGTGAATGAGCACAGCAGCTTGAAGAGAAGTGCCACCCAAGAGGAAAAAGTCATCATGATCCTCAAAACTTGTTATACCCAAGCCTAGGATGTCATACCAAAGTTGTTGCAAGCGATGTATAGTTGTCATCGATTTTAGGTGTTTTGAAACCGACTCTGATTGGGCTTGGGCTCTTTCTAGGTACATGGTGACGAGTTTCTTGCGATCAACCTTATCGTGGGAATTTAAGGGCAGTTTGTCGATCAGTTCTATGCGTGGGATCATGTATTCTGGGAGCATGATCTTCAACCTATCGGCAACCCCAACGAGCGTATCTGTTGAATGAAGACTTGTAACAGCGTATGCCACCAACATTCCTCCTGTTCCATGGCCGGAAGTATCAACTTTAAATGCGGCAGCATCTGAGAAACGACCTGTCTTTAGCAATGCTGTTTCAACAGCCTCCAACTCAATACGGAATCCACGGATTTTAACCTGGTTATCGCGTCTGCCAACGAAAAAGATGCGACCGGACTGGTCCCGTTTGACAAAATCACCAGTGCGATAAACCACGCTTGACATTCCCAATTTCGTCAAGCCGTTAATTTCGAGAAAAGCTTCAGAGTTTTTTTGAGGATTGTTAACGTAGCCGCGGCTGACGCCTGGCCCGCCCAGATATAATTCTCCGACCTCGCCATCTTTTACGGGACACATGGACTCATCAAGGATGAAGGCTGATGTTGCACCAATGGGCTTTCCGATACTGATCGAGTCTTCCTTGGTATCATCAAGGGTGACTCTGTGCGCAAGAGCAAATGCACAGCATTCGGTCGGGCCGTAAGCATTAATTAGCTGGCCTGGTGGCGCGTTTTCTAGTATGGTTTTCACGGCCGATGGCTGAGCAACTTCTCCTCCGATCATGCACATCTTTAGGCCAGAAAATGCTGACGGGTGGACAACAGCTGCGAGATTCAGAACAGCAGACGTTGTCGCCATGACTGTTATGTGAAACTTTTTTACTGTGTCGGCCAGTGCAAAGGGATCGAGGAGGATATTCTTAGAAACGAGAACGACGCGAGCCCCTCGTAAAAGGGGTGCCCATACATCGACAAGGGAGACATCAAAGCTGGTGCTGTTTACATGTGCAACGGCATCTTCCTTGTCTAGAGGAACAAAAGGAAAGTGACAAACAACCTCCAGAACTGATCGAGCAAGGATTTGGACCGCCTTGGGCTCACTTGTGGTTCCTGATGTATGGATTAGATGGGTACGATGTTCGAATGATGTCGAAACAGGAAGATCAGGCGAAGCCTCGGCGCATGGGATTCCATTCTCAACTTCATCCTCACTGACGACCAATTGATGGAAGCCGGATAAACGGTTTTCGTTTGCACAATCGACAATTGTGTACCGTGTGTTGAGCTTTTTTAATCTCGACTCTAGCTGCTCGTCGCTAAGGTTTGGGTCCAGGGGGACACAGCTTCCCCCGGCATATATCACTGCAATCTGAGTGATCACGTCATTGACACTGGGGTAGACAATAATCCCAATGGGCTCTTCCAAACTGATTCCCTTTTGCCGGAGCTGAGACGCTAGGCGTATGCTCCTTAGGCGAATTTCTGTGTAGGTCGAAATGCGAATGCCGTCGACAACTGCTGGTGCATCAGGAGTGAGAAGGGCTTGAGTATCGAAAAGCTGACCCAAACCGTCGCCGCGTTGAACGAGGAAGTTATACTCGGAGCTCATCATTAGATGCGTTGAAAGCTAATTGAGGAGGAGGAGATTTCGCAATTTGTTTGGAGAATGTCGCAAGAAAGCTCTATCTACAATTTGTTTCTCTTCGAAGAACCTTATATTTACAAGTCAGGGGATTTGCTCGGATAGCTCGCAGGCTAGAGTGTACCCTATTTTCGTTTCGAGCCAACCAGGGCTCCGTGCAAGACATATTTCAGTGTGTGTGGCTCATAATTGAGTGGCTGCAACTGATCGTCATCTCATGCTCATCATATCAAGTCATGACCCAATTTTTGAGAAGTGGAAATGCGTTGTCAGAGTGTGATTGAAATTTGGATCCCACCCGAGGGACACACCTGAAGTGCCGTCCTACCTTCGGCGATTGTCCAAGGTGGGGGGCTGAAGGAACACGACTCTTAAAGAGGGCATTTCTAAATTTCTCTCGGTCGAACTTTCTGCAAGATCTTGCTAACTTCATTCTACCTCAAAATTTCAAAATGGCTTCCCCCAAAATCGTAGCGGTATTCGGTGCTACAGGCAACCAAGGGGGCTCTGTTGCTCAATCCCTCCTCGGAAACAAGGGCAGTTTCCAAGTTCGTGGTATTACTCGCAATCCTGAATCAGGGAGAAGCAAAGCTTTGGTTGATCTTGGTGCCGAGGTCGTTAAGGCTGATGGTTTCAATCCCGCTGAAATGGTCGAGGCTTTTAGAGGGGCCTGGGGAGCGTTCGTGAATATTAACTCGGATGATAAGGTAACTCTCTATCTAAACATTCGTATCTTTCTATTTTATTTCCTCACGTGGTCAAACACTTAAAGACTGAATCAGATTTTCACCGATCCAACGGCTCCCACCGAATTTGATCTGGGAAAAATTATTATCGACAGTGCCGTTGAGGCTGGCGTCCAGCACATCGTCTTCAGCTCCGGTCCTGCCTGCACGGAGTTGACCGGAGGCAGGGTCCAAATGAATGCCATGAACAGTAAGCCACCCGTGGATTGGCTTTTTCTCGCTCACCACTGATTGATGCTGTGTGACGGTCAGTGAAAAACAAAATCGAAAAGTACATTCGCTCAATTGGAAAATTTTCCACTGCTGCATTTATCTGCGCGGGGTGGTACTTGGAGAACTTCCTGGCCAAGGAAGTCGCGCCAATTTTTGGCGGCTTCCCGCACTTCCCTAATCCGGAAGGGCTCCTCACATTTAGGGTTCCGATGTGGGGAGGGAAGGAGGACGTGCCATGGCTCAGCATGACTGACGATTACGGCGACATAATCCAGGGTCTATTTTTGGAGCCCGAGAAGTGGAATGGCCATGTTGTCCATGGAGTGAGCGACATTCGAAGCTTCAGCGAGTTGGTTGGAGCATTCCAGCAAGGTATGTGCAGAAACTCGTATTTGGCCGATGCACAAGAACGAGATGGGAAATAAGCAGGTGCAGGGTATTGACACAATTCTAGTGACCGGAAAGCAATCTCGCTTTGATCCCCTCCTGCCATCCTGGGAGGCATTCGATACGCATGGAATTCATGAGCTCCAAGATGTGAAGTTGATGTTTGCGTTCACGCAAATAACTGGTGGACGATATTTTGGTGAGAAAGCAACTGAATCTGATACAGCGGCGCAGCTGAAGGCGGCCGGAGCTCGGGCCAGAGGCCAAGATGGCCAGGAGATCCAGCTTATCACTGCTGAAGAATGGTTCAAGCGGCGGTTTACCGCTCAAGGACCTTTTGCATGATGAGGCTGGAAACTGGAACCTGCAGGAGATGGACAGTAGAAATGTGTTCGAGAAGCGCCCATCTCGGGAAGATGTTAGTTCATTGGCTGGCTGGTCATTTGGACCTGGAGCTGCTTTATCTCAGCCTATCGGCTTAGCTTTAACTAAGTATTCAGTTGGAATTAAAACGGCTTATACAGACTAATGGTGCGATTCTCCACCTCTTCTGCACGAATATCTCATCCATTCTTCCCATAATAGACGGCATTCAGACCGCCGAATTTTTAGATGCGGTGCAACTATTGTATTGACTTGTCATTTATTTATTGTCTGTGCTGGGAATGGACGTTTGCGAATTCCGTTGTCGTTCGCTGGTCGTTCAATGAAACCTGGTGGCTGGCTGGTCGTCCAAGCTCACTGAGAAGTTCCAATGAGAATCTGGTGTCGGATCGACAGTGTACAGATTCCTGCGCTGTCATCCACCCTGCCCGCTGCTCAAATGTTGTTCTGCACCATTTCTTGGAATTCGACAACGTAATAGTCCGTAACCTGCGGCGGATGTCTGCATGAGAAAAGACCTGATTTTCAGCACCCCAATTTTGGGGCCGCACCGTGGCACAAACAAAAATTTTCCAAATTGGGTCGGAGCTGCGAGGAGCTTGACAAAACCTGAACCTGCGGGATGCAAGAATGACTGCCAGGCCCGGGAAGGGTATATGTTACAATGTAAATGCTTCGCTCCTGGTTAGTATTCCGAAGAAAACCAGCATATCCTTTTGAATTGCACCCTCAGAACTTTGCCGCGAAAATGTCGAGGCTAATTGACAAAGAACAAAACAAGAGGAAACGGCCTATGAAGGTCATTGTTGCGGGGCTATGCAGGACAGGAACGATGTGTAAGCGCTTCCATTGATCAGGGTTTCGCTACGACTCAATAATTTCCTTATTCCAAGCTAAGGATCTATGGGATTTGTATACTGATGTGCTTCAATAGCGATGAATATAGCTCTTCGCCAGCTGGGCTTCACAACCTGCCATTTGACCGAGCAGATGGAAGATCCGAAACGGTATTTCACACTCTGGACCGAAGCAATGAACTGCAATTTCTTGAACAAAGGCCGACCCTATGGTCGAGAGGAATTCGACCGCCTCTTGGGTGAATACGATGCCTGCCTCGACATGCCCTGTTGTCTCTTCTGGAAAGAGCTTCACCAGGCATATCCAGACGCCAAAATCATCCTCACTAATCGAAGCGTCGACTCCTGGATGGACTCGATGCATAAAACGATTTTCCCTTATATCCAGCGATGGCACACGCAGGCCCTGAAATTCCTTGATTCCGATATGACGCGGCCGATCGTTGTGATGATGGAAACGTCATTTAAGGTACTTTGCAACAACGACTATGGAGAAAGATGCCGCCAGGCCTATATCAATCACTATGAAAAAGTCAGGAGTACGATTCCTAAGGACCAGCTTCTCGACTTTAATTTTGGCGACGGCTGGGAGCCGCTTTGTAAATTTCTGGGAGTTCCTGTCCCGGATGGTTCGTTTCCCAAAACAAATTCCGCCGATATGTTTAACGCCAACGTGGAAGCAGAATTGTGGAATACGGTCCGGGGCTCGGCCAAGTTAGTCGGCACGTATTTGATACCAGCTGTTGCAATTTCAGCTGGGGTATGGTTGTGGGCTGCCTGAACAATGTAACGTCTGTACATGTACAGTACATACATCTATGTAGCATTCAATTCCTCAAATTCAAGCTGGACACTTTCTGCTCCTAGAGCCAAGTTGTAGGAATAAAAACCTTCGGGCGAGTTCACAAAACAGGAAATTTACCGAGCAAGCCCGCTTCGGCTTTGGGGACAGAGAACGAATGTTGTACCACGATCAGATCAATCTGGCCTGGCGATGAGACCAATCCTGGTTTCTTGTCTTTTTTTTTTTTTTTCTTTCTCTTTTGTTTTTTTCAGCATCTGCATTCTTCGTCATCCAGCCACAATACAAATTTTGAAGCGCCAATGAGGTGCTGGACCCTGAGCTCGGGAAAAGAGTTGGAAAAAGCCAACTCTGCCCAGAAGCGACTCGGCGCATTCGCGAGTAATGCCCCTGTCATTGTTGACAGATGTGTTCTTCAAAATGACGCACAGGTTGACACGTACATGTAACTAATCAAATCTGACAAAAACACCAAAATTGCGCCTGAAATGCATGTGTGCCTTCGGTGCGGGGTTTGGGGTACGCTGGCCCACGAAGCACCTGGCATGTCATTCTTTGGGGTCAACATAATGCCACATGAAATAACTGAATATCCAGCTGAGAGCCAACGGCGCGTAATGTTGCTGATCGAGAGCATCTCCGCCAGGAGTCGAGTAATTCCCTTTATCTATGGTCCGTAGATATGGTGCGAGCCCCATCCTGATATCACTTGCATACATAATAACTAGGAGCTGCCGATCAGTGTAGAAAACAAAGTCTTTTTTAAGTCACAACTACGCCGAGCCAAGTGGCTTTGTATTCCAGAGGTTTTTATTTTCACTGTTTCTTTCGACCAGGCGTCATCCCCAGTCGATACCCCATACAAGCTAGGATAGGTGGTGAGAAACCGATATTTTGAAGTAATATCCAGTTCTCCTTGCCCTTGATAAACATATTGAATCAGACACGAAAGATGAAGTCCTTCATGGAAGAAGAATCGCTCAAGCAGCAAGAGACAACAAATCATACAATTGCTCAGCCGCTTCCTCGTCAGACTCCTCTACCCACTGTGTCGCAAGATGATACGGAGGTATTTGAAGTAGTCATTGTTGGTGTATGTAGCAAATCCGACGGGCGTGCGATTGCATCAAGACAAATTCATTTCATTAACATCCCTCTCAGGCCGGACCAGCGGGCCTTCTACTCAACCTTTTGCTCGCACGTTACGGGTTGCCAGACTCCTCCCGCTTATGCATCGATTCCAGTCCGTCACCACTCAAAGTAGGGCATGCCGATGCCATGATGCAACGGACCTTGGAGGTTTTCAAGAGCTTGGATATAGCCGATGAGCTCTGGAGCCAAGGTCTTCGCGCCTACGAATTCACTAGATGGATCAAGGATGCCAGCGCCCCCACCGGCTTCATTCGGCAGTTTTCGCAGTTCACCAACCAACTGAAGGGGAGATATCAACCGGCTATGGTTCTGATGTCACAGGGGAGGATTGAACGAATCCTCCACGATGATCTGAAAAAATATTCAAAGAGAGGGGTCGTTTGGAACTGCCGGGTTGTGGATGCCAAGATTGAGAATGGTGCAGGGTCTGATTTTCCTGTCAAGGCAACGATGCAACTGAATGGCGAAATGCGCACGGTTAGAGCGAAGTATTTGATTGGGGCTGATGGCGCACATTCAGTGGTAAGAAGGGCGATGGGTATAAATCAGGTTGGAGGCTCTATTGGCGATATTTGGGGCGCTATCGACATGGTGGTTGACAGTGATTTCCCAGATATTCGTAGACCGGTTCATTTAACCTCTACCAATCGCATAGTTTCAATAATTCCTCGCGAAAAGAGGAATGATGGAGAATACCTGACCCGGCTATACGTGCCATTCGCTGAAGATGACCCTATTGAGCAAAAGAATGCCGCAGTTGTGCTCAACACAGAAGAATCCCAGCGGGCTAGAAGAGCCAAGATTACCCCTGAGCTCATTTTGCAGCGTGCCAGAGACCTTTTCCACCCATATTACATCCGACCCAAGCAGGACATTGAGTGGTGGACAGCATATCAAGTTGGGAGGCGCGTGGCTGAACGTTTCGTCGAAAAAGACGAAGCCGGAAATTCACGCGTTTTCCTCGTCGGAGACGGTTAGTAAAACTTTCGAAGTAGCCCCTGGTGAGAGCACGAGAGAAAGCGCTAAAAATGTATATCAGCTTGCCATACCCACTCTCCCGCCATGGGCCAGGGAATGAACGTTGGCTTGATGGATAGCTACGATCTATCGTGGAAGCTCATATATGCAATCAACGGGCTCACACCAGAGCCAGAGAAATTTTTTGACACGTTCTCCCATGACCGCCTGAAAAATGCTAAGACCCTTGTCGAGAATGACAGAGACTGGTATGAGACTCGATATATGATTAAGGCTGAAGATAATGTCCAGTCACAAAATTTTCTAGAGCAGGAGCTGCACGCTTTCATGGTTGGTGTCATTGAATACGATGATGGATACCTCGTCGATGAGAAAACTGGAACCTCAGAAGGGCTGATAAAAAGTTCCAACTTCATCAACGGAGTTCTGAGGGAAGGGCGCCGACTTGGAGACACAATGATCACTAGGTTTGCAGATGGTGATATCAGACATTCGCAGGACGAGTTCCCCTCGGATGGACGCTTCCGCATACTTGTCTTCGCATCTGACGATCTCACCAAAGCTGCGGAGGGGATATCTGCGTCTTCGCTTAACAAGATCTGTCAAGATGTATTGCCCTCGTTTGTTCCAAAGACGGTAGAACTAGTGCTTTTCACGCCATTTGACTCTCTTTCTTTTGAGTGGACGGATATACCGCCTGTTGTCAAACAGGAAGCTGAAATGCGGGTGCATTATCTTGCGCCAGAAGGATATGCTGCTTATGGCGTTGATATGAAGTTGGGTGCCATCACTGTGGTTCGACCAGACGGGGTTGTGGGAACCATTTCAAGGCTGGACGACACGCAAAAGATCAGTAACTATTTGAAAAGATGCTTGCGGACGGTTGTGTAGGTTGTTTGTACTGTACAGTGGCGTTGAAGGAAAAGCGATCCCAGCTTCTTAGTTAGGGCTAGTTCATGCTGGAGCTTAGTAATCAAAACCATAACCCTATAAACCAATTCAATTCTTTCTATCAACGGCTGCCCTTCAAGTTGTCGAATCGGACACTGCATATTCGAGAGCTATACAAGATCCGTACTTGATTGGTGGGCCGGTTTGTACTACGCTGGAGTAAGTTCCACTTTTGTGGAACCAGTTCAGCTATGAAGTCGATCCTCTGGTGTGGATGCGTGAATGCATGCCACAATGGAGAGCTCCACCATGGCGAAATCCCAATTTTGGGTGCCAGTCAGCCCCTGTCCAGGAGAGTCTGAAATCTTCCAAGATTGGTGTTTCGAGTGGATCCGGCTTCAATAAGAATGGCAACAATTTTCCGAAGGCAGCAAGCTCGATGTTCCCCAATATTAGAGAATATTTTGTTTTGGAAATCTTGTGGAAACACCGCGCGGCCATGATGGACAAGTTTGTGTCTGCATCATCATTGTCCCTTCTCCGCCATTCAGTCTCTTGCTATTTATCTTTGGCATCTCAAGGATAAAGGAAGGGAGGCATTGAAACTCTCTGGGTTGGCCGGCTGTACCCTGACCAAATATTACGGACGCGACATGTCTGTTCAGGGCTCCCAGAGGAACGACCAGAATGAAACAACTCCCTTGATCAGACAAAATATTCCTGCTCACCATTCCCCTTGCTCATGTAATGGGGAGTTATCAGGTTCTGGCAGTGGCTGTGAACAAAAAAGCGACACCAAAGCGAGCATCTGTGACGACGACAATGCACACGCCACTCATTTCATCGACATTACACCCTCAAAGTTCTGGGTGGTTTTTGGAAGCATCCTCCTTTCCATCGTCTTGTCTTTCTTCGATGGCTCTCTGTTAGAATCTATCCATCCCGTAATCTCGTCGCATTTCCAAGTTGCCAACTCAGCTTCATGGCTATCGACGGGATTCCTCTTGACATGTACCGTGTTTCAACCGATCATCGGCCAGATATCCGATATTTTTGGCAGACGCGTGCCTTACCTCGTTTCCATTGCGATATTCTTCATATCCACGATATGGTGCGGGACAGCATGGAGCTTCGGCAGCTTCCTTTCCGCGCGGTTACTTTGCGGCGTGGGTGCGAGTGGAATCATCGCCTTGGGGTCCATCATCTGTTCGGATTTGATCTATATTGAACACAGGGGGATGTATCAGTCGTACCTGAGTCTTGCATATGGCCTTGGGAACTGTCTTGGACTGGCCTTTGGGGGGGTCATAGTCGATTCCCTCGGTTGGAGAGCTGCCTTTGGAGTACAACTACCAATGCTTTGTGCACTATTCGCTGCTGCATATTTTACCCTTCCTTCGAATCTGGGTCCCCAGTTGGCGCGCCAGCGCAACATTAACATCCGACAAGCACTTGGAACGATTGATATCACGGGCTCCTTTTTCCTGGTCCTTGGCGTCACCGCACTCATGCTAGGGCTGAATTTAGGCGGGAATGTTTTCCCCTGGAGTCATCCGATTGTCGTCTCCTCATTGATCGTATTTTGTCTAGTTTCAGTTCCCTTCGTTAAAGCTGAACAGTCGTCGTCCAACCCTGCGATCCCGTTGCCGCTTCTAACAACGGCGCCTCATGCGAATCTAATACTCGGGAATTTCTTTGCTGGTATCTCTATTAACACAATATTGTTCAACGCACCTCTTTTCTTTCAGGCTGTAAAGTTAGAATCTGCAACTAGCTCGGGGTTCCGTCTTCTCCCCGCATCAGTTGGGCTCATGATCTCTAGCCTCTTGACCGGTATTTTTATGGCGAAAACGAGACAGCTAAAGTCAATCCTCCTTCTAGGAATATTTTGGTTAATTGGCAGCTCTGCCTGCTCGGGAATTCTCGGCGTTAACGCTCCAGGTTGGGTTTCCGTGGTCATTATTGCAATGGCAGCCTTTAGTCAGGGCGCATTATACCCACCAACGATGATGGGAGTTTTGTCGACCAGCGCCCAGGATGATCAGGCAGTCATCACCACCACCCTCTCCCTTCTTCGTTCTCTAGGGTGGGTGATGGGAGTTGCAATTAGCAGCTTGGTCTTCCAAAATGCGCTGGGCGCACTTCTATACCAAACTGTTACCGGCCCTAATAAGGCGGATATAATACTCCGCGTCCGAAAGTCCATTAAAGAGATAGCTCAATTGGACCCAATCCATCAATCGCAGGGTACGTTTTCTCTTCCAACAATCCGCGTCCTAGGGCTCATTGGATAAACCACTAACGAGTATCGAAAATAGTTGTCAATGCATATGAAACGGCACTTCGTTTAACTTTCTTGTCAAGCGTCATCTGGGGGATCATTGTGCTTCTTCTCGCTATTCCTGTCAAATTACCCCGCCTTGGACACAAAAAGTAATATTTCAGTTCAAATGTTTTCCTTGCAGATTGTACAATTTGTATTATCCATATTCTCGGTTAATTCCGCCTTTCCTTGTCCTGTGGGCTTTCATTAGAAGGTCATTAATTCTATGGACCAGATACAACACTACTCCAGAATTCCGTATAAATATCATCATTAGCTTAGAGATTATAATATTTCATTCCTATGATCAGACAACCTGTACCCTCGCTCAAAACTCATCACCGCTGCCATATCTTGGTGTTCCACCAAAACAGAGTTTCCATTAGTCTGAGATTATAGCCATTTCTCACTGAAGAAATGCGCACGCATGTCCAAAACATCGCCAGTCGTTTTGGGCTGTCTGCATGCGAATATCTAGTTTCGATCAAGGGTACACAGTACAATATGCCGCACGACATCCACATATCTGAAAACGCAGCCTGCAGTAACTAGCTCTCCCAGGGATATCCTTATTTTGCGAAAACAATCAAGAAAAAATTACGGAGCACAGCATAATCCGTTGAACCTTGCTCATCACGCTGCAGAATTGTGCGCTGGCGTAGTTCTGAAAAATAATAATAATAATACTAATAATAATAATGATACTTGCCGCGCATCCCAGTCCGGGTGAGCATTGAAGAATGGCCTAGCTACTTATTTTTTAGGTAGATATGCAGCTGTGGTCGAAGTGCGACAAAAGAACCTGTTCCTTTTTGCAAACCGCTGAAATTTGAGACTGAGTGGGGTAGAGAAATGCCATCAAATTGAGGACGGCTGAACTGCTGCTACCTGCACTGCGTAGAGCTGCACAGCTTCTCTGGCTGATCACACTGATACCTGATATTTCGATTTCAGAATTAGGCATTGCGCGTACATGTTCTTACACGGAGAAATACCACTATTAGCTTAACTCAATGCTCTATTTTCTTTAGATGTGGGTGATATCTTGCGGCAACCAACCGTTCCAAGAATAAAATATTAAAGATGAAGATAAACATGTGAGCAGCCTATACTCAGTGCAGTATAATGTTGGAATATGAGAGCGCAAATTCTGCAGACAATGATCTATACCAACTGTTTCGGCACCGATATCAGGATGGAGCAGATCATAAACACTGGAATTTGCTAGTATTTTACAGTACAAATATGACTCCCCAATGCTTGACTGATTCGCGGACAGTGCGACTAGTCGCGGGCGTAGTGTAATTATCAGAGTGTATAAGTACGTAGTGAGGGGTAGGCCCTCTATGTGTATATATAGATATATATATACATCAAACGTTTGAAGCGAAGACTCTATGTCAGATTCCATCGAAGTATTCGTTTCCATAGTTCCATAACATATTCATTGCTTTAAGAAACTCTTCGCTCATCTCCAAAATGACTTCCAGCGGCACCCAAGCGCGAAAGAGCACCTTCTATGATTCAGCCTACAATGCCGATTACTATGACATATGGGCCGAAGAGAATGGCAAGACACTCGATCTCAAAGACGGTGTACCCGCCTATCCGCCAGTCTTCAAGGAGCAGCTTTCTTCACGCTCCCCCAAACCTTCCGCTGAAGCTCCCTTCGCCGTCCTGGACGTCGGGACTGGCACTGGCCGTATCCTCATCGATCTCGCCAATGCTGGCGAACGCGATGAACTCGATCTCTCGAATGTCCACTTTATCGGTGTGGATACGGAACAAGCAATGCTGGACCGCGCAGAGAAATCACAGGCAACACTTGCCAGCATGGCTCGGGTAGGGAAAATCGTGTGGTCTTCAGGCAACGCCACAACTGTGGCATCATTACCAGCTCTCGAGAACTATGCTGGAGGAATTGACCTCCTTATCTTTGCGGCCGGTAGCATCAGCCATCTCACCGGGCCTGAGGAGCCGCAACGATTCTTTGCTCAGGCAGCCTCGCTTCTGCGCCCTGGCTCGGGCCGTGTGTACTTCCCCATTATGAATGCTTTCATCTCGAATAGGTCTATCTCCCAGGAACCAGTGGCTCCGAAGACCCAATCGACATTGCAACAGTTGGGGGAGTTCCCCAGCAAGACATTCCCAAATATTACTTATAAAAAGTTTCCATTTGACGATATAAAGGTGGAGGGAAATATCAGGACCCACTACCATAACTTCCATGTTATCCGCAAGCTGGAGTCTGGTGAAGAGGAGGTGGTTCAGAACGATAGGGTGACGTTTTCGTTGCGGGCATGGGAGGAGCCTGAACTTCTCGAATGGACCAAGGACGCTGGATTAGAATTCGTCGAGACATTTCATGGGCAGCGTGACACCTCTTATGTTTTCAAGCTAAAGGAATAGAACCTTATTATCTCCCCTGTGTTTGTAGTTTACCATGTGTAGTTAGCCAAACCTAGACATGAAATTGACTTGCAATTACTGTTGCAGCTGAACAGCACTGGTTCCGTGAAGTTTCCCGTAGGTATCGGATTTTCCTCAGCTTTCTGCAGTCCAAGTACAAGCGAGAAGTCATCCAGCTGTACATCATTCTGGGCGCAATTGTGCAATGGCCGCAGTAGATTGTCTGAATTTTGGTATTCCGCTCACTGCTGCTTTTGTCGAACGTTGAAAACATTCCAACCCAGTATAGGAAATTTGGAACAGCTTCAATTCGTGTCTCCGCATAACTTGACCTTCGAATTTCATCAAAATGAGGTTGATTTCAAGTTTAGTGCCTGCCCATTTTTCAAGATCGATGAAAGTAAACTAGTAAATATAGATAGCCCTTTATCTTCGAGTGTGTTGCGATAGGCCATATAGGGCACTGGAACAAGGGATAGACCAATGGTTTGAATGGCAAAATAACCACATTATTGCCCTCAAAAGTAACGTTATTGAGGAAGAACCGGTTAATAGAGAATTATCCACGGGTATTTCGCCGCATGGTGCGTTCGTGAAGGTCGATACGGGGCTAAAGCTCGGAGTGAACAGAGGTAACCCCTCCACCCAGGTGTCCCCAAACTAACATTTAGGTATTCCTCCGCAACCAGAATGGGGTGTTCAGGTATTCTAAATAAATCGTTTAATAGTAAGCTGGATGCGAAATAACTTGCCGCGAACCATGCTTTCTCGAAAATATTCAAGATTCTGCCTGTTACGCTGAACCATAGCCCAACGTGGGTGAGGGAGCTTAAAAATCGCCATTGTTGTGTCAGGTCACCATATGGGACAATTACACGCAATATGTACCGCTTTTCAAGTTTCTTTGATGCTTGCACTCAAATGTATTTGCAAAGAATGCCACATTATCATAATCTCTTAGGACTTGAGTCATTCCGCTGGGAGTGGTCCAGACAGACCGATGAGTGATCGGAAGCGGGCATATCTAAAGGAATCTCAGCGCGCAGAACAAATAAAGATAGTCCAGATGACGAAGCTGCGAAAATCCATCCCAATGTCATTGTTCCTCTTTCAAAAAATTTCGAGTTGGAGGAGATCAGGTCACAGGGAAGCAAAAACCGCATATACTCCAGTGAGATAAGATCAGTCCAGACAATTCATTCGGTGGAGTATCGAGAGGATTGCCTCTGTATGTGTTTGAGATTCCAAAAGAAAAGTTGCTTGTCCTTTAGGCATATGTAGGGTGGTCAGATCGAATATCAATTATGGTTGCTTGGAGGGACGAACGGCTGGACATAAATATGTAGTAGAGCGGCGTAAGGCTGAGCCTCACAGGCTTCGAGTTGTCATCAATAAATATTTGTCTTCTGGTCAACGACGGGCAAGGGTGCTCTCAAGAATTATATATCTGACAATCATGGTTTCACCACATTCCCTTGGTTCTCTCCCAACCGAGATTTTTCAAAATATCGTGTCACGCCTTGGTCGTCAGCATATCGATCATCTTTCGCTCATGAACAAGCGTCTGAGGGCACAATGTCTCCCATTACTTTTTCGCCATGCCAGAGTCTCCTTCTCGCCCTCGGGGCTCACAGCCCTACGCGGTATTGCTGACGCTGACCATCTGAGCCAGCATGTGGTTTGCGTCACGTACGGTGTCACGGATATCTTGGATCCCAACGTGATCTAGGGTAGCCGTAGTATCCACCTACAATAACCGTGCCATGCTTACTCACTCTCTCTAGTGAGTGCGCCACAGCGTACGGAAAACCACAGCGTATGGAAAATATTTTGAATATAGTGATCTTTGAAAATTAATTAATAACCACCACCACCTCTATTTATAACATAAAGATTATCTATATACTCATTAGAAGGTGTAGAATCCACTGTAGATTGAGATTCTATAAAATTATCTTATTATAATTGAATGGCTGTAGATTTTGTAAATTTGATTTCAATCAATTGAAGATTCTTATTGAATGTCTTTTTCATCTCATCTGCTCTACAGATTGTGATCTTGTGATTGACATTTTTAATAATGAGATGCTACCGAGTCTCTAACCTAGCAAGCTTCTCACTGGTATAAGGTAAGGTCGGGGCTTATATAGTGTTGCTGAGCTTGTTCACTAAGTCAGGAGGTAGTGCCACTATCACAGGTTAAGATATAACATCAAGAGGAATATCTAGGATGACTAGCAATAGCTACGGCGGCGGCCTGAGGTAAACAGTATGAGTACCTAGTAGGGCTTACAGGTAGGGGCGAAGGCTTAAGGTATACGTCGTGAAGAAGTATACTTAAGGTGAACTTATAGTCGTACCATGTAACTGAGTATAAGTAAAGGTAGTAGAAGAGTAAGTAAGTAAGATGAAATTGATCGTGATCAAGAAGATAAGCTCCTTGATCCTAAGGGTAATGAGTGTGTTTATATACATCTTGAGATACATGAGGATAGCTCGGATAGCTCTTGCCAAGATAGCTATCAGAGTAAGGATAGCTGTGATCACTCCACTCACTTGAGTGATCTGAGTGATCCAGGTGATCCACTATGTCACATGACCTATTGTTTCTATTGGTTAACTGGATCTTTCCTTATCCGATGTCTAGCTTGCATGCCCTCTACCATTTAGTCGTTCCTTGTCCAATGGCTCTCAGGGTTGTGCTGTAGGTTTGTAACATGAGAACTCTGTTTATTTGCATCTATCTGCAGAAAGATTTGATGATCTGATATCTATTTGCTTAATAATGATCTGCAAGTTCACTTTCACAGTATGTGTTCAATTTCATCTGAATCATACTACTCTTGAAGATTTTATTCAACTGTCTTGTTAAACTAGATGTAAGAGTATTCTTCACATCTTGTAAAGTCTTAACTGCTGCATTGATTGATGATGTAGTTTTGCAACTGTCTCTGAAAAGATTAATTGCAAAGAAGCAGTTGATGATCAATCTGCAGGCAGCGGGGTAAAGTGATTGCATACATCATCATCATCATTATATATGTTGAGATCCAGGGCATCATTAATGGTAAGAGGTTTCAATCAATTGAGAATTATATCATGATTAACTGGATACATTTTGCGGTCAGCAAAGCCAGCTCTCACAGTGTCAGATTTGAATGCTTACAATTGAACACTCTTCAGATTAACAAGGAATTGTGTGGCGTACTTACGCCCCCTATCCACCTCTGGCTTCCGCTCCACCCCTTGCTGCTTCCCGGAGCTTCCGCTCCTACCTTCCCTACAGAGAGCTTCCACTGCTTCCGCTCCTACCTTCCCTACAGAGAGCTTCCACTCCTACCTTCTCTATAAACCCTCTGTCCTTCCCTTTGTATGCAATCGCTCCTTCTATGAGAGTTGATCTCTGTAAACAATCACTGTATATATACCATCTTTTAGAGAATAAGACGTGTTTATACTCATAATTTGTAATGCACTCGTTTATTATTTCCTTATTATTATATTATATTTGTTTATATCTTCGTCTATTCTTACCTCTTTCCATTATACTCTCGCTACCACTATTTCTATATGTATATATATATGGATGCATGTATTTCGCACATCTTCTTTCTCTTTCTTTTCCTCTTCAGCGATTAGCTACAACTACAACTACAGCTACAACTACAACTACAATTACAACTTCAACTATACTACTACTATAATTATTATTACTATTATCTTCTACTACACTACATACTATCTTCTACTATTCACTCTTCATACTGTCATCACCCCTGACATAATTTGACCCCTACGTAGCAGCGTACGCTACAAATTGTCTACCATCATACTGCTCATATTCATAACAAATGGCCTCATTAACTATCTTTGTATGATAATGCTTATATTGCTGAAAAGGTACAACATCAAGAGATTGTAGAATATGATTTGTATGAAATGAAAATTCAAATAAAATAATTTTATGAAGATTGCAGTATTGAATGAATTCTTCTGTGAGATGAGAATCATGATTGTTCATTAATAGCAATTGATGACTGCTCATTTGATGCTTTTTTATCATTTTATTGAATCACTTGATCTATTCAAATCCAATCTCATCATTTGTAAAGCCAGACTTGAATGCAGTGATGGTGTAGTTGTTAGATAAATTGAAGTGTGTATATCAATTCTCTAGATGAATCTTTGATTTCATTATAATCAATAAATTCAATACTGTGCTATCTGCATTAACACACTCCACCACTGTTATTAACCTGTGGGAGTATGATGATTGTATGATGGAATTCATATCTCTAAAAATGGTTATAATCTACTGTTCACATCCTTCTCCTTCTTGAAATCCAATCTCATCAAAGTTGTAGATATTGCAGGGGAAAAAGTGATATTGATTGAAGACAGCTTCATATTGATCAAATCAGTTGATAATGAAGCTTATATTCTCACAAGACATCTATTTTGAATTCATGAGCTTTTGCTTAACTCATTCATAATCTGGCAGGTGTTTGATAAATCAATATGCTCACATCTTGTTTAATGTGGAAGGTGCAGTCTCTGGATTTATATGATGCTGTCTCAACATGCAGTTCACAGCAGCTTCAATATGCTCAATGGTGGGTGGGCAAAAATTAATATTCAACTGATGAATCCATATCTTAATTGCCTTCTTCTGGCTGTCATTCAATGCTCTATTCAGTGGAACCCTCATAGTTCTTGATTTCTTCCTGTTGATCCTCTCATACAAGATGGCATATGGGACTTTGAATTCTTGCAACAGAGATGAAATTTTTAATTTTGAATTGTTTTTGTACACATCAACAGCTCTTTGCAACTGCTCCTCAGTGTAACTAGAAGATTTAGACATGGTTATAATTAATGATGATTATTTGAAGATGAAGAATAAAGATATTGATAATATTTTCTGTACGCTGTGGTTTTCCGTACACTGTGGCGCACTCACTAGAGAGAGTGAGTAAGCATGGCACGGTTACATATTGAATACATATAAACCTGTCAATTGTGAATAATAGTGGACGCAATGTGCTAGCTGGGATAGTTAACCTTTTGTAGCCATGTTTTCAGGTAGATACATATCTTGCCGTTGCCGTTCCCTTCTTGATGAATCTCGAATGGGATGTCACCAACCTAACAATTCCCAAGAGTAGATTCCAGTTCTTGAAACCAAACGAAGTTCTGTTGTTTTCAGGGGCGAGTGAGGTTTTCTGTTCCCTGCCCGTCGCCAAGGGCGGCTTGTTTGGCACTAAGAAACACTGCCCTGATTTGCAACAAGCAGAGGACGAAGGCCCTTGTTAATGGCAAATGCATTCCCTGGAGCAATTATCCTATTTCTGAAAGGCTAGCATGATTGAAGGGTACATCTAGGTTTATTTCGTAGAATTTCGCTGCCAGCCTTCTTCCGGGGTAGTCTTCCACTTCATCAGGAGGTAGAGTTGATGTTTTTGGAGCTTCAATCTGGGTTTGGATGTTGGTAGGTTAAGACTCAAATAACACCCTAAAACCATGTCATTGACGAACACTAACTTAGCGATGTTTGCCACATGAGCTCTCAACTCTGAGAGGAACGGGACAAGAAGGATTCACCAGCACCACTTCACAAGTGGAGCTGAATTTTTCAACCTCTCTTTTGTCAGCCATGGCACTTAATCTTCCCACTCATGGTCTTTCTTCACCACCTTCGACACATGCATTTCGGAGGGAACCCTTAAGAATTTTGACAGGAGGATAGCCCGGGTCCTCGAATCTCGCGTGTGAAACGACCATTGTGGATCTTGATCCTTCCTGTCCATGATCGCGATCAGGCCCGCCAGGCTGACAATGCCGATCAACATCAACGTGCCAGCAAAACAACTGAAGCCAACTGCGCAAGTTTCTCATGCCCATCGTATTTTCATCGCCTGCTTAATTTAAGCACTGACAGGGGCGCGAAATAGCAAGTGAATGTGGGGATCTTTGCCTAAAACCCTACGCCAAACGGACGCTTCCAAGCAAACTAGAGACAACACTTGCAACCAACCAAAGTCTCTTCTTGTTGAGCCTCCACCGGTCAGTGGGATTCCTAGGAATTGGCCCAATCATCGTCCAGTTGATTGGTTGATTGGCATAAAGTTTTGTCGTGCTGTGCTCGGATTGCATGTCAAAAATTCTCGTATTCATTTCGAACGATGCCAAAAACAATGCTGCTTGGCGGCCAGATAGGAAGAATGACATTCATTGAGAGAATAGAACTCAGCCTCACCATTTGATTGCCGGATATTTTTTTAGATGGGAAATTTCAAGCACCAATGGATGATTCTCGGGCAGGTTTATATACTGGAGCCATTCGCACCTGGGCTTGCTTTCTCTTTGCTCTCTCTTGACCTGAGCTCATATCACCAAATTTTCTCCATTTACTTTTTGCGGTCCTTGTCGCCTGTCGCATCGTCGTGTTTACACAATGCCTTCGTGGTCGCGCGTAGCCGCTCTTGCTCTCGTCACACTCTCAGCCTCTTGCTCCGCGCTGGAGGCCGGCGAATTGGTCTCAGACTTTTCCGATGTCTTGCTCGGCACTCGAGATGTGGCTGAGAATGTGACACTCGCTGACACTGGAAACCTGAAATCTCTAACGAAACGCGACTGCCCGGCGCGATGCACTCAGTACTGTTGCCTCTCCGATGGCACTTGTATTCCCTCTCTGTCCTGGAGCTGCTGCGGCGGTGGTATCGTTTGTGGTCCCGGACGGAAATGCTGCCATGACGGCTGCATTGATGACAATGAGGAATGCTGCCGGACAGCGGGCAGGCATTGCAATGCCGGGTATGAGTGCTGGCTTATTAACGGCGTGCCGAAGTGCTGTCCTCATGGCGTATGCGGGAGTGGTGGTGGTGGTGGTGGTGGCGGCGGCGGGTCTCCTAGGCCTACTCCCCCACCATCCAACCCTCCACCGAGGAGGCCTAGTTTCGACTACTATACCTGGACAGTAACCTGGTAAGTTGACTTTCCTCTGCCCTGATTTTCCGATCCCATATCTGTGTTCTCTCTAGCTCTCTGAGCTTCATGACGAGAAGGTGGACGAAACAAATGAGATTTGTCTAACATCCACCAGGACATACCGCGTCGTATTTTACACATCGATCACAATCCGGACAACCACAACCACAACCACTACAAGTGTCGTTTCCTTCTACGCCTCAAACTCGGAGGATGCTTCTTCTTCGTTCGGCGAATACACAGCCACAGCGACCTTCAGTCCTCCTGCCAGTGCGACTGACCCTCCAGAACCACCTACTGGTGGCAGTGGATTCGGGGGTAGCGGAGGTAGCGGAGGTAGCAGCGGATCCGGTGGGAATTTGGTTGCCGTTCCGCCTAGCACATCAGGGACTAATGCAGCCTGGAATTGGCACGCTGCTCTTCTCGTCGTCACTGCTCTTGTGCCTGGCGTTCTCGCAGTTTACCTTTAAAGCTCGGACCCTAGTCTTGTTGGAATTTCCCATTTGACGCAGCGTGATATCCCTTTTGTGCTTCTATTTTCCGACCCATTCTCCGTTTTAAAATTAGGTGGTTAAGTTATTATTCCGTTAGCGTCCCTATCGCCCCCTTTTTTTTTTGGTTTTCTTTCATCAAGCCCGATCTTCCTGCAGCGGAAATTATGGGTTTGCTTGCTTGTGTTCAAGTGACCTGGAAACGATACCTTTCTTGATATACATATACTGTCTTTGAGCTAGAGGGGTAGTGAGTGCGGATAAATACCTATTATTATATAATGTCTATTTGTTGCTTTTCGATGCCCCTATCTTAAGTAGATGCCTTCAAATGCGGTGAACATTATGTGACCGATCACCCTCAATGTAATATCGACAATGCTTAGAATGAAATCGTATGTCCAGCCGTTTATATCATATTAATGGGGCAAGTATCGTAGTCGTTAGTTTAATTTAGGGTTGACCTTTATTGCGGCAATTTGCGCTAAACCCTTCTTGGCCCTCCCTGCTTCCCGACGAAAAAGACATCCAGGAAAGCTTCAACGCGCGCAAAACAGCTTGACCCGCTTGACCAGCCAGTGCAGCCAGCCCACCATGCCGGCTTTCAAGGATGAACACATACTGGTATGCATCCTATCCGTATAAGCCTGCTTGTCCACTTTTACCTCGTCAAAATCCCCTCAATACCCCCTTCGACTAGCTTATCTCTTGCTAATGCAACCCCTCTAAAATATCCAGATCATTGCGCCAGGTTCGCAAACCACCCTGGCGCAATTAGGCCTACCTGAATCCTTCACGCCTGCAAAATTCCGATTTCCTACTCGCATGTTCCCGGCTGAAAAGAAGGACGAATGGGAACCATACAAGATCCGCGAGAAACTCGTGGTGAAGAGGACAGCTCCCGCCACAGCGCCCGCACCCCCTGCTGCCAATGATTCCACCGCCACAACCGATGCGCCAAAAAACGATGACGTGGAAGTCAAACCGGATGTCGAAATGAAAGATACCGCAGAGGGAGATCTACTAACAGAGGACAAAGAAACAGGAGATCAAATGCAAGGCGAGAAGCCTGACGACACGAGCACCGGCGTCGTTGAAAATGGTCACGAGGAAACCACTGTTGCCGATGCTGAACACTCAGAGGAGGGACAAATAATATACGAAGAAGATCCAACATCAGACGAAGGCGCCGTCTACCCAATTCGCAACGGCGAAATTGTCGAGTGGTCATGCTTCTTCGCTCTCCTGTCCCACATCTTCAAGACCCTCAGCCCTCCCTTCCACACCCCCATTATGTTTATCGCACAGCCGGTATGGACCGCGCGCGACCGCGAGGCCATCACGCAGTTTGTCTTTGAGAAATTTCAAACACCCGCATTCTGTTTGATGGACTCCGCCTTGGCCGCTTGCTACGCGTACGGGACCGTCAACGCCACGGTGATTGACATCGGCCACGGTAAGGCAGACGTTACTGCTGTGACAGATTTCGTTGTCAACGAGCATGGCAGGGGATTTGGGCTGCGCAACTGCGGTGGTGAGGCGATGACGGATCGACTGGAAGAATTGCTGGGTCCCAAGGGGTTCACGCGCGACATGTGCGAGCAACTGAAGAGGAGCAATATCTGTGAAGTTCTACCTTCAAGTATTCCGCTTCCGGGAAACTCGGCAACAGTATCACAAATACAAAACTCGTCTGATGCGCTTGGTACAGCTAGTGGAACTATCGATAGGGATCCCACGAAGCCTACTCCCAGTGTCGCTGGCAAAGGGGCTGAAACTGCGAATGGGACGGCGGAGGAAAATGACGATGACGGTGTTCTTGATGTGGCAGCTATCGTTAGCAGTGGTAATACGAGCGAATATCTTGCCCGAAGAGAAAGAGAAAAAGCAGAACGGGCAGCTGCTAAAAAGGGGGTTTCCGATGCCGCTACGGGCAAGCCAGTTCGGCTACCCAATTGCAAAAAGGAGCGCGCTACATTCCAGTATCACGAATTTGTCAAAGTCGAACCTAAGGATGGAAATGTGCAGAGCACTACTGCGCAGTATATTCGCCAGAAACGCGATATTGAAGTTGGAATCGAACGATTCCTCGCACTAACCCCCAGCGAGGCGAAGTCGAATGACCACTGCAGCTCCAGCCTTCTCGATACTCTCGCTGCCCAGATCCACCATACGATCCTTTCCGTCCCTGATGCGCCCAAGCGCAGCGAATTATGGGATTCGTTTATCATCCTTGGAAACGGCAGCAAAATAAAAGGTTTGCCATCATCCCCTCCCTTCTCCTCATTTCATTCTATATACACAAGCAAACGTCCCATGCTAAAGCAAGATAAAATACCAATCCAGGCTTTACCCAAGCCCTCCTCTCAACAATAAACCAAAAATACGTCCTCTCCCCTTCCTCCGGCACAATATTCACCTCCGAACTTCCGTCGCAAATGTCAACCCCGCTCCCAACTGGCGGGACAAACACCCCAGCCCACCTCCAGAACCCAGGGCCCCTTCACCACCCAGCCGCTCACGGGGTCAACCCCCTCCTCGTGGCTGCTACCCACGCTAACAACCCCTCAACCCCCAACCACCTCAATCCCCACGACCCTCACAGCACCAACTCGCCAGCCGCCGCCGCCCACCAACAACACCACCGCTCGACCGGCCACTCGCAAACACCCACCTCCATCCGCCTCCTCAAGCCTCCAGAGTACTTCCCAGAATGGAAAAACCAAGGCGCAAGCGGCTCATCCGGCGCGGGCGGCGTATTGGTACCGCCCTCAGCAACGGGTGCTGCCGCGGGGGTGGGCGCGGCGGGGACATCGACGGGGCTAGGTGGTGCTGGGGGACAAAACGTGGGGATGGAGGAGGCGACTTTTTTGGGCGCGCAGGTTGCGGCGAAGGTTGTGTTTGTTATTGATCAGGGTGTTAGTAAGGGGTTCTTGAGCCGGGTGGAGTACAACGAGACGGGGCCAGCAGGAATTCATGATTGTTCTTTGTAGGGTTGTTGGTGCGCGTGTTTGTTTCTGTTTTTTTTTTTTTTTTTTTTTTTTTTTTTTCTGACAATCTGTGTTTGGAGCTCATGGGTGGAAAAGAAGGAATGTATTTTTCTTTTCTTTTCTCTTTTGTTGGGAACTTTTCGGCAGATTATTATTATAACTTGGGGAAAAGGAATGGTGTTTCTTCTGGGCGTGACGTAGATTCCCCGTTTAATATATTTTCTTTACTCGTTTTCGTTTTCCATTTTTTTTTTTTTTTTTTTTATCACCCCTTAAATATATCTACCTGGATGGTTATCCTCGCAGTGCATCATTCAGCAGTTCACTATATGAATAGATTGGCTGTTCAAAATTGGTTGATTCATCAGTACGTTCTTGGCCGTGATGGTGTAAGTGAGAATGGAATTGAAAGAGTTCACAAGGCGATATGCCATGATAGGAAAAAATATTTTAGAAAGAAAAAAAAAAAAAAAAAAAAGCAGCAATAGCATAGGTAGATGGGCGCGCATCTATGAAACCATGCTGGCGTTACAACAAACACAGTAAAGCAAATTAACCAAAGGATGAATACGCCATGGCCGTTCATTCCATCTATCATGGGGATCCGTTGAAGAGCGTAAAATGCATATAACGAAATTGAAAAAAGGAAACGAGGTCCAGATGTGAGTATAATAAAGCAGTAATCCTGGAGCACCTTGGCAAAATTCCTGAAATTCCAAATCCAGCTCTAGGGAAATGGGAAAACAGCCATTAGAAGAGAAAAGAGAATGAGGAAATATCGTCATTTCGCACTATTCGACTGATTCTTCGGATTCACACCAACCAGTTCCCCATTTTTGCACCTCGTGGCATATATATATGGCGGAGCTCCGCGATTATCTGCACGTTCGTTTTGTTCCTCTCCCACTTGATGTGTGAGAGCTAGGTAACTTAGGGAGGGTGATCTTATCGTAGTCGCGCTGAAATTCCTTTTTATTTCTCCCGCAGACACGACCGTTGTTTGAAGGTGGAAAAGCCGGCACGCGAGACATCCAAGGTATGACCTATGCGTATGCAACGCACGAAGCATGATCCCTTACAAAAATACTTTCTAGTTTAGGGGTTGGAGCGTAGCCAGGTTCCGAAGCTCTTCTGTTCAGTTAGTGTTGCAAATTCCACTAGAAGTATATTGTGTGTTAATGAACTGCATACCGTATAACTCCAAGGAAGAAGGCGTGGAAATCAGCGTACGCAAAGCGCACACCCTTAACTGGCCGCATTATACTTCTCTCCAGCACAACGGAATAGTTCCTGCTGTTGTCTGAGCAGCTCTTCTTCCGTGAGGCCACTCTGCTCCATCTTATTGACTTTTTTCTCACGGGACTATTTGAAATAATTATTAGTAAGTAAAACTCTTCTCATTTTTTTTCGCCAATAAGTCAAGCTCAATGTCTTGTTGTATGGAAAGATCTAGCGTGTAAAAAAGAAAAAGGCAAATGGAACCCACCTTCAACTGCTCCCTGTGTTCCTCTGCCACTGCCAGTACATCGGGCACATACTCTCCGAAACCCAAATCCGTCAACGCTTTCTCGATGTGTTCGCACGCGATGGTCTTTTTCGCCTCCTTCTCGCTAATATCGTTTGCCTCAGAGGATATTAACGTTATAAACTCGACACAGCATTCTATGAGGAGGTCGCGGGCATCTTTAGCGAAGGTTTGCCCGGATGAAGCGGGGAGGATCTCTGTTATTATTTTTTGGACGGTTGCTGTCATCAGGGGGTTTGAGATTAGTTTTTGAGTTGTCCTGTGATACATGGCACAAGATGATATTCGTTTAATAGGGTTATGAGCACAGAGCGCAAGAGGCACTTGGATCAAGAGATATGGGACTGTATATGAGGAGAGGGATACGGCTGTTCGGGGTATGATACCTTTGGGCAAAGAGAGGTCATCGTTTCCTGTCGTATTCAGATAATTATTAGCTTGGATTTGCGCATGGAGGGGTGCGGGGCATTTATACTTGCCTCCAAACTCTCGGTCTGACATATTTAATCAATAGACAAAGGATGCCCTAATCACGCCTACCAAAGGGACATCGAAATGAAAGCACAAATATCGTGGCTGTATATGTATACGCGCTTCGCTGTTGATGAAGACAATGTTGTTGCTGAATGTTTTTCGCATCTCGATCATTCTGCCGTGTCATGTGGAATTTATAGTTATTCACCGCCCAATTATGACTAAGCTTGACAGCTTGGATAAATTCCAGTTTGGAAATTTCTGTTTCCCTATTTTTCCTTCACTTCCTCGCACAACGGGTGAACGACAATTTTTTATTTCCCGCACCAACGGACTAACTAATTGATTGCGAAGATACTTGTTATGGCGATGGTTTTCACTCAATGTTTATACTAACAAAGTGGTACGTGCGATATCCACTCTCCATTGCTCTTTTCCCCAAACCATCATGATGAACGTTGTTGTCGCCCCTATCATACAAACCGAGCATCAAGCTCCAGTGGTGATTTACCTGTCCTAGCCAAACGGACTTTCTGATAATAGTCTCCCCTCTCCCCGAGGATTTTATCATTGTCTCATTGCCTACCAGTCTTATATATTCCAATCGGAAGCAAGAAAGAGTGCTGACTGTTTAGGAAATTAGAAACTATCTTGCTCTTATGCTTTGAATCCACTACGATGCCCTAAGAAGTGGTGTATAGTACAGCGTCAAGCTCCATATCAATTTATCCAGTGGTGATTTGTATGTGTTGGTCATGGAAATTAACAGCTTTTGGGTCTTTTGGTTGTGTGCATGACCATATAGTGATGAGCAAATATTCATGTACTATCAAATGCCGATTTTCATGACGAATGCTTCACGATTCTCTGATGCACGCACACGACTTACCTTTCGCTAAGGTGTCTTATTTGGCCACGTGGACCCTTAGGAGCGAGTTATTGAACATCTTGCTGATCATCAGCCTGTGTTAAACTAGACCTAGGAGAATGAGACAGACGAAATGAAAAAGAGATACTGGGATATGAATCCATTCATAGGTATGTTGGATCAATTTCTTTTCCGGCGTTTTTATCATTTTCCCGTTCGTGTTTATCCCCAAGTCTTTGTATAAGATGAGACAAATGATTAAAACATACACTCCATGCTAAATATAAAGGTGCCTTCTGTTGGTATCTAATGCTTAACACACGTATCCATTTTTCATCTTTCGACTGATGTCTCGGTTTTTAAAATTTTTCCTTGAATTGGATGTTTCTTCATCTATATCTACAAATCTGCACTCTTCAAGTCCCACTGACTTGATGATCCTAGTTTTCTCACTTCGATTTGCCAGATAAGTGCGTTTCCAGAATCAGTCTGTTTCGGAATATGTCATTCCTTACTCTCCCAGTCAGCCCCAGCTTCATATATTACTCGCAACAGGTATTTCGTTTTTGCACGCTGTAACTTTCGTCGAGCTCGTTCAGAACGTCATCGTACACGAGCTTTACATGGACGTGCCTCAATTTCTTCAGTTTATACAAGCCACTGACCCATAAGCATCAAGGAGAATCGTTTATTCTGTGTCCGTTGAATATATTTGTACCCATATTCCTGGTGTCTGTATTGACTTTGTCTCCGTTCCGCCTCTTTATTGAAATTAACAGGGAACTCTCCCTTTGTTGGACTCAGTATTTAGCTAAAAATAAAATGGTCAAATTTAAAATGCAATTAAATGAATGGTAATCGAGATGTAGCTATCAGTTATCGCTGGCGGTGGGAGAGTTCGTTTGCCCAGTGGCTGGCAGCTCGGGATTAAAATCTGTAATATGGCTTCTGACGCAGCGATTACTACGGAGTAGTAGCTATAGAAACATGACGTACACTTCTATCTCCTCCAATGGTTGTCAACTCTAGATTAATGCGCAATGCAAACGACATGCAATTCTCAACAGTAACAACCTCGAAAAATATATGGGAACATCGCTCCTCTTGCCCCGCCTTCGGCTCTGAGCAAAGAGTGGGGCCCATCCACTACAGGGCGTATTGTGTGGATTTGGGTGAGTAACATGAGATTTGCGCTGAAAGCCGTTGTTATCCTGGGCTGAAGAGTTGATTGTACTGTACTTATATACATAAAAAAATATCGTTAAAAGTGTACGGTCCGCTTCACTCCTTCATTTTCTTCATTTAACATTCATTCTACACGGCTATAATATTAATACAGAGGCCATAATAGTAAGACTAATAATAACCATATAATAAAGGAAAATGTCCACCGTAATCATTGGCGGCGGCATCATCGGGCACTCAACAGCTTACTACCTCTCCCTCGCTTCCAGAACACACCGACACCAAATTCACATCATCGACCCAGCCACCGACCTCTTCGACTGCGCTTCAGGCTATGCTGCTGGCTTCATCGTCCGCGACTGGTACTCACCTGAGCTAGCTGCGCTCGGCAACCTGTCCTTCGAGCTGCATGAGCAGCTCTCTCGAGAGCATAGCGGCTACGAGAAATGGGGATATATGCGCGGCACCGCAGTGGGATTGCAAGTGCAGTATGAGGACGGGAAGAGGTCGGGGAGCGGGCATGATTGGCTGAGGCAGGGGGCGAGCCGGGCGGAGGTAGCGGCGAGGGCGGATGAGAAGAGAGCAGGCGAGCCGGATGAGGCACCGGAGTGGCTGACCAGGCAGGAGGGCGGGCGGACGGAGAGGATAAGTGACGTTGGGGGTACGGCACAAGTGTAGGTTTTCGTTTCACCTTTTTCACACTTTTCCCCCTTCCCCTGCTGTTTTCTCTATTCGTTTGACTGATCTGCTGGTTGGAAATGTTAAATGCAGAGATCCACTTCGACTGTGTCAATTCCTCCTGGTGAAGTGCATCGAGAGCGGCATTCAGGTCCACAACCCCGTTCGGGCGATCGCGCTCATCAGGAACCCCTCATCTGGCGCCATCACAGGTATAACACTCCAAAACAGGGTGACAAACACCCGCTCGACAATCCCCTGTACAAACCTCATTTTTACCGCTGGCGCGTGGACGCCACATGCCTTCAACGCCCTCTTCCCCACATCCCCCACTCGCATCCCTGTCACTTCTCTGTCGGGATACTCCATACTCGTCCGCTCCCCGCGTCACACCATCGCGCACGAAAGAGGCACATATGCCGGAACAGCACACGCTGTTTTCACAACCCACCCGCGCTCCTGCGGCTTTAGCCCTGAGATCTTCTCGCGTGCGGGTGGCGAGATATACCTCGCCGGTCTGAATAGCGCGGAAATGCCCCTCCCGGCACTCGCGAGTGAGGCGCGTGGCATGATGGAGGCGGGGGACGTAGCACGGGTTCGTGAGGTAGCGGTGACGCTGATAGGGAAGCTTGACCCGGGATGCGAAGGCTAGATATGCTGAGGGGGATGCAAATGTGGATGATTTAGAGGTACTTCGGGAGGCACTTTGTTTCCGGCCGTGGACGGAGAGTGGGAGACCGATTGTGACGCGTGTGGGGGATTGGGTTTTGGGATCAGGGGTTGTGTCCCCTCCTGGTGGTGGCGTCTTCATGGCGGCGGGACACGGCCCGTGGGGTATTTCGTTGTCATTGGGGACAGGGAAGGTTATGGCGGAGATGGTTATGGGGGTCAAGACGAGTGCGGATGTGAGTGGGCTGGGTCTGGAGGAAGGGATGGGAACGGCGAAGGCTAAGATATAGACTGTTGCTTATAATGAAGAGCGAGATGGAAAGCGCTTGGTTCTTGACCAGCATGAGTATCTTGAACTGTACATCCAGGCATTTTGTTGAGGAGCAGCTAGATTAGTATGCATTGGGGTTTCGTGTAGAAGTACGGGAATTCTATGGCTCTCCCGGCCCATCACCGTCCAGTTCGTAGTTCATGTTTGCTGCATCTCAACATCTATACCATTGATACATATCGAAAAGTAACTGGCTCGTCGGGAAAGGCCGCCTAACCCAAAACGGATAAATTAAACAACCCAGAAACCCATCAAATACTTCAAGACAACTTTTTCCATCAGCCATTGTAGCACTCTGATAACCCATCCCTAGCACTTCTACATGAGGCACGCATCATCGAGTCATTTGGAAATTGTCGAAATGGCAGCAAACGAGAGCTACAACGATGGCCACCGCGCGCTCTTGCAGGCCTTCATGGCGCGCTCAACAATGACCTACGAACAAGCAAAGCCTGTTCTGGCTGCGATATTTACTGCTCGAGGTACTTTTCTACTGCTTATCCTTGTTGATTATATTATCCCAAGAGCTCCCTCCCCACTAGCCGCAGCAATCCACTAGACGGCCGGGGCTCACTCTAATTAATGTTGCTTCTCTTAGACAACCAAGAAACCCTCCCCGAAGACATCACCCAAGCCGACCTCTCAAACTACATCGCCACAATAAACACTGCCATATCCCCCTTCGATCTCGAAATTAGGTCTACTAGGCACCAGACAGACCCCACCCGTATCTACGTCCTTGTCAACACCACCAGCGACCCCCTTACCCAGCTAGCCACTACCTACAACGCCAACGAAATCGCCTTCGTCAAACGTGTCCTGGACGCCATGTTCGATACCCACAATACTCCGCGCCTGGAGGCGATGGCCGTGTCGTCCATGCAGGTCGCACAGCTGGCGAAGGCACCCAGTACTTCCGAAAGACGGGAGTCGGCTCCTGCAAATGGCACGCCAGCTGCCCGTGCGCCGCAATCGCTGGGAATACGCGAGGCGGATGACGTGATGAAGAGGCTCGTGGAGGAAGGGTGGTTTGAGGAGAGTCGAAGGGGATATTTTACGCTTAGTCCACGCGCACTGACGGAGTTGCGCGGGTGGCTGGTCGCGACGTATAATGAGGACGAGGAGGACTCTGGTACGGAGGGTTCTGGGCGGATTGCTAAGATCAAGACTTGTTTGGGCTGTAAGGATATTATCACTGTGGTATGTTTTGAGAGTTTAATTTGTTTCTCTATTGGTAAATCAGCTGCCGTGTATATCTGTATCTTGACATACATATGGGGGATTCCTGACGAGGATCATGTAAACAGGGCCAACGATGTTCGCAGCGTCAATGCCCCGGCCGTCTCCACGACATCTGCACACAGAACTTCTTCCGCCGCCAACAAGCAGAGACATGTCCTGTTTGTAAATCGAAATGGACTGGTGAACACTTTGTGGGCGAACGGGCGATCGTTGCTGCTAATCGGCCGTCAACCGCACGGAGGCGGAGTGGACGTCCGGCGGAAGGAGCTGAAAGCTTTGGCGGTCAAGATGGTGGTGAGGATGATGGTGATGATGCTGGTGAGATGGCGGACGTCGCTGGATGAGGTAGCCCGGCACCTTTCTTAGTAATGGTTGGCTCTGTGTCGATGTTGCGAGGCTCCAGCCATGTTGGCCGACAGCTTCATGATGCCGCTGTCAATCGTATCGAGGGAGACTACGGGCACAAGTCGACCCGGGGAACGAGAGGAGGGGTACGGATCAACAACATCCCTTCATAGGCTGCATGACATTTCATGGGTCGTATTGATAACATTGCTGGGGGACGCAATCAAGAGTATTACACAGTCAACAGGATATTCCCCGAAGTGAACACCATCCTGAGTGTCTGAAGCCGTTGGAGAGGAAAGGGGGTTGGATGGAGAGGTGCGGTGATTGTTCTGCCAGTCGCCCCTTCAAGAGCACACGATGTCGTCTCTAGCTGGGTTGCTTTATCATGATCGGTGGACATGTATAAACCATTCCAAGCCCAAATAATCTGGGAAATACTACGATGACTAAGCACATAAATGACGTCATTCCGTGTCCCAGCCATCTTTTTCCTTTTTCGGTCCTTGGAACTTGATAAGGTTTTTCTTTGCGATAGACTTTTGTCCCTTTCCCTGGTGTTTGAGCTCCAAATGCGCCAACCCCGCATGAACGCTGAAGCCATTCTGCAATCGCTGTTGGCTAGCAATGGCATCTCATCTTCCAACTAGCCGTGTGATACGAGCTCCTGTTTTCTCCCGTCCCTCCAGGACCGGAAAGCTATATAATCATGTCCGAACTAAGTGTATATATACGATGTCGCACCATCAAAAAAGTGATCGGCATTTATGGCTCAAGTTAGCTATGAAGTCGACCGGTTTATGTTTTGAGTTTACTTGACATTCGCTCATTTTTGGCTTTGAGCTTTGGCAATTTAACGGTAATTAAACTCAACTTCTTGATCTTCGAGTTTCTAACCTTTTTGATGGTGGTGCTGCCTTGGTTTTTTCATGAAATCGGCTCTTCATAGGGCTGAATTTTTTTCCCCTGCAGCGTTTAAAAGTTGGCAGCGCCTCCACAGTTCTTGCTTCTTATCAAGACGTTTGCTTTCCAGTTGACATAGTCCAGAAAGTTGTCCTCGTTCTCCTCGATGTAGATCTCCGCTGTGTTATATGATTTTAGACGGAATCCATCACTTGTCCTTGTAGAAGAGGTATGGAATGTTAAACCTCTATTTATCGTAATTACATATCTTGGTTTGGTGGAGAGCTCACAGACGGAGCTCAACAACTATGCTGTGCACGGTGAGCAACTACGACTTCTGCCTCCTTTCAATTTTGGTACTAGCTAAATGCCCCAAAGCTTCGATCATGGAGCTTCGTGCTTCTTCTCCTATCCTCGTCGGCGATATCAGCGCTGTCATTTACTGAACGGGTCGCCACCGTTTTTGCAAAAAATTATATCTCCTCCGATTCTAGCACAAAATGTGATGGTGCAGACTGCCAGGAGTTCCTTTACCCGACAAGGTTCCCCGGCGTCACCTGGGACTACGATAACTGGAGGTTAGCCACAACAACCCTCGATCAAGGCCACTACCAATCTCGCGGCTCTATCGCAAATGGCTACATCGGTATCAACGTCGCGGCAGTAGGGCCATTTTTTGAACTCGATACCGCAGTCAATGGTGACGTCATCAACGGGTGGCCGTTGTATTCGCGCCGACAAACGTTCGCGACCATCTCCGGATTCTATGATCTCCAACCGACAACCAATGGAAGCAATTTCCCCTGGATGAACCAGTACGGTGGCGAGAGTGTGATTAGCGGCGTGCCACATTGGAGTGGGTTGGTTCTTGATCTAGGCAATAATGAGTATCTTGATTCCAGCGTTACCGTGGATGAGATCTCAAATTTCAAGTCTACATTGGATATGAAAGGCGGTCTGCTGAACTGGGAGTATACCTGGTCCCCTATTGGAAGGGAGGAGTCATTTGCGATTTCCTACCAGCTTTTTGCGCATAGGCTGAATGTCACTCAGGCCGTGGTGCGAATGGCTATTACCCCGTCGGCAGACATGAATGTGAGAGTTGTTAATGTTATCGACGGATATTCAGCTGTGCGGACCGAGTTTGTCGATTCAGGTGAGGATGGGCACGCGATTTACTCATCCGTTAGCCCTGTCGGTGTCCCGGATGTGACTGCTTACATTTACGCGACAATGTCTGGCTCGAAGGAAGTGGATATCGAATCATTGAAATTAGTCCCCAATCCTCCATACGTACACACGAACCGTTCCTCAATTGCCCAGGCTGCTGATATTAAACTACGCGCCGGCCAGAAAAGCATCGTCACTAAATTTGTGGGTATAGCATCTTCTGACGGATTTGAAAACCCAAAGCAAGTGGCAAAGGAGGCATCATCAAATGCTGCCGACGTTGGCTACGAAGCACTTTTGAAGTCTCATATTGGAGAGTGGGCAGCTGTTTTCACTGATGACTCTGTCGATGATTTTGCTGTTCCAAAAACCGGGCGCCTACCTCTGGATGACCACATTATCGAATCTGCTATCACATCCGTCACGAATCCCTTTTACCTGCTCCAGGCCATTGTGAGCGATAATGCAATTCACGTTGCCAGAAATGCCCCTATCCACCAGGGCAGCGTTGCCGTGGGTGGTTTGACTTCAGACTCGTATGGTGGTCTAATCTTCTGGGATGCGGATATCTGGATGCAACCGGGTCTAGTTACTGCCTTCCCACAGGCGGCTCAATCATTTACTAACTATCGTCTCATAAAATACGGACAGGCCATTGAGAATACTAAAACTGCATTCGCATCGTCAAAGAACCAGACTAGGTTCTCTCAGGGCGCTGCTATCTATCCATGGACTAGTGGACGGTTCGGGAATTGTACGGGGACAGGCCCATGTTTCGATTACCAGTACCACCTTAATGGAGATATTGGCTTGCAGATGATCAATAATTGGGTGACCACTGGTGACACCGATCACTTTAAAGAGAAGTTGCTTCCAGTTTACAATTCGATTGCGATACTATATGCCGATCTCCTGGAAAAGAACGGGACAAAATGGACACTCACTAACATGACGGACCCGGTATGTGTCCATTCTTCACATTTTTTCTTTCTTCTAGTTGTCTTTCTATGCAGTGACCTGAAGCACCCTAACCATACGTAGGACGAATACGCTAATCATGTTGATGGTGGGGGTTTTACCTTGCCCATGATGGCGACAACATTGATCTACGCAAACTCATTGCGTCAGATGTTCGGTTTCGAGCAGAATGTGACATGGAATGAGATGGCTGAAAACATACTGGTGTTGAGAGACCCCGTGGCAGACGTCACCCTAGAATACACAACGATGAATGGCAGCACCCGAGTGAAGCAAGCGGATATCGTCTTGAATACGTTTCCGTTAAGATATACAGATGGATATTCCCCGCAAAACGCACTGGGCGATCTTGACTATGTACGTTGCAACCACCCGTTTCCCGTTAGCTATGCTCCAACCCCAAGAAGTGCTCTAGATACCGCATGCTTAGAGGCCTGCTAATGCAAATCTAGTACGCTGCAAAGCAATCCCCTGACGGCCCCGGAATGACCTATGCCATCTTCTCCATCGTCGCCAACGAAATTTCTCCGTCTGGATGTTCCGCCTACACATACGCGCAATACTCTTATGCCCCATACATCCGGGCCCCATTCTTCCAGTTCTCTGAGCAGCTAATAGACAACTGGTCGAGAAATGGCGGTACTCACCCCGCATATCCATTCCTAACGGGAAACGGTGGCGCCAACCAAGTCGCCTTATTCGGCTATCTGGGTTTGCGCCTCCTCCCAGATTTTGTCTTGCACTTGGACCCCAACCTGCCACCACAAATTCCACATTTATCCTACCGGACTTTCTACTGGCATGGCTGGCCCCTGAAAGCTGCGTCGAATTATACACATACAACCATACAGCGCGCCCCTAATACACAGCCACTGCCAATAGCAGCTAAAAAATTCGCCGGCGCTCCTATTCCTGTCCATGTCGGTCCCGAATCAAATGTAACAGTCTATTTACTCCCCGCCTTTGGCATCCTCACCATTCCCAATCGCCAAATTGGCTCCCATGCCACGTTCCCGGGAAACATGGTACAATGCCAGCCAGCTTCCTCTCCAGACGAGTACGAACCGGGCCAATTCCCCATCGCAGCCATAGACGGCGCTGCATCAACTAAATGGCAACCTAAACGCGCAAATGCCACCTCGTCGCTAACTGTCTCCTTCCCCGACGACGAAATCTCGGAATTAATCACGGGTTTCGGCTTCGACTGGGCGCAGGCACCCCCTGAATCCATCGCCGTCGTCCTGCACAATACTCCGCTAAGTAAACCAACACAACAGCAGGTGTCCCAGTCATTTTCACCATCATCGGCGTCGGGGGCGCTATCTGTCCCTTCGACTCCAGGCGCCATCACAGTCACCGCCTTTCCTTCAATCACACTCTCCAACCCCTACAATCCGGCAACGACGGACCTAAACATCATAGCCCGTTACACTGGAAACACGACGAATGTGACGCTGGCACGGCCCGTGCCAGCCACCCGCTTTGCGACACTCTTCATGTGGGGAAATCAGGCGCTGGATAATGTAGATCGACGGGCGGGGAATGGAAGTGGGGCTACTGTGGCGGAATGGTCGATCCTTCGAGCCCTTCGAGCGGGGCAGAGCGGGACAACTGCGGACCGAGGAGGTGGTGAGGAGGGGAAGTTTAAGGTCAGGGGGGGCTAGATGGTGGGGGGAGTAAATGGATCCTTTTTGAAGGTGTTGTATATATATATCTATTTTAGTTTGTGGTCATATGGGAATGATATGTAACTCGCCCCCTAACCCCTATTTCCCCCAACAGAGGCTAAATCGTTCTAGTTTTATCCATATTTGAAAGTTCATAACATGCGTCGTGAAGCGGAAATACGGACGGTTTTATCAGATAGTCAGCTTGCTGCAGCCATTTCAAATAGACACGACCGACCTTAGTCAGGTTTTAAGCTAAACATGTTTTTCTGGTTATTTGGATGGCACGCTCTTCCTGCATTTACAGCATATAAATATTCAATATCAGGCAAGCTTGTGGCATTTTTGAGATATCATTACAACATGATAGATAATATCGGATATCGTGAGGGAAGGCCTGTTCGGTGTGTAATACATTTATTAATCTATCATTATTTTGTCTCTCTTGGCTTATATTTATATAGCTACAAAGGACAAAGATCAAATATAGATTGAATGTGAGAGGTAATCACAAGAGACATTAATTATAAGTTATTAGTTATTATAAATTATTATAGTTACCCCAAGATTTCACTTCAACCTCGTCTTCAAATTAATTAGGCTTCTGAAGCTTTGCACCGGCTTTCGTAAGCGCAATTTATTGATATCTGCAATATTACCTCAATCAAAGATGGAAAAAAAAAAAAAAAAAAAAAAAAAAAAAGTAGTTTATAAACCCATATTTGCGCCTCAAACCTCATACCATATTACCTATCCAACGGGAACCGATTGAGGAACCGATATGTCGTCAACCCGTCCAAGACGCTTTTAACGTAGGCTTCACTTGCATCGTTGGAAATATACACACCAGGCTGGTCCACCCCATTTGACGCATCCCCACCAGCGGCCATAAGGACGTCACGAAGGGCTTCATTACTACCGTCACCGACGGCGCCAACGGGCTTTCCATACGCGTATGCATCCGTAATAATCCTGAGCGGGCGACCCGTTGGGTATTGCGTTGAGGCGCTCGTGAGCAGGCCGCCGACGACGATCACGGCATCGAAGATCGAGCCGTCGGCGCCGGAATAGGTCATGTTCACGCCGCGTTGGGGATCAAGCGATGGGCCCACTAGGACGATATCTACTTTATTGTTGGCACTGTTAAACGCGGCCAGGAGCTGCTCCGCGATCGTGAAGCTGTCGTCGTCTCTTGTCAGGAGGGCGATTTTCAGCCCGTCGAGCCGCAGGAGATTCGTGCCGAAGGTGCCGATGGGGACGGTTGTCTTGTTGTGGTAGAAGGTTGGGTCCGGGGATGGGGGTTCGACGCCGATAGCTAGCGCGACGCGGCGGGCGAGGTCGTTGTCGACGCGGTTCAGCTGGATGATGACGTTCTTGCGCACGATTTCACTCCTCACGTGGGAGTTTTCGAAGCGCATAGCGTTGACGAGGAATTGCTTCTCGAAGACCGTGAGTGAGTTGTAGAAGAGACGCGGTTGGGACCAGACGTCGTTGAAGCTCGGGCTGAGCTCGCGCACTAGTGGTCCATTTACCATACGCCCAGGTGCGGTGAAGAATCCTCTGTTATGGGTCCGGTTGGCTTGTTGAGGGAATCCGTTGCTCATTGAGTTGGGTGTATATGCGGCTGTGTTTAGAGGGATGAACATTTGTCCTGTCCAGAAGGGGATGTTAATACTCTATACAAATCGATTGGGTCAAGATGGAAGTTGACATGGTAGGTGAGAAGTAGCTTACCAGCACCGTCGCGATTGTTGTTATGGAATGGGATGCGGGGTCTGTTGATCGGTAGTTGCTCGAAGTTGGGACCTCCATGGCGATTCAATTGAGTGTCAAGGTAGGAGTACAAGCGGCCCTGAAGCAAAGGGTCATCCGTGAAATCGATTCCGCGAACTACATGACCTGGTTGGAACTGTGGAAATATATTTAGATATACGCTTCATCTAGCTATGCATGTATTCATATTCCAAATATATAGGGGGTGGGCCAACCATGATCTGCTCAGTTTCGGCAAAATAATTTTTTGGGTTTCGGTTCAAGACCATTTTTCCGATTGGGGTGAAGGGAACAAGATCTTCTGGGATGATTTTGGTGGGATCTAATAGATCGAAATCAAACTTGGATTGATCTGCTTCATTCACCAATTGAAAGCCCAGCTTTATGAGTAAAACGTATATAAAGTCAGTCTTGGGTTGAAGATATAGAAAAATATGAAAAGACGAACCGACAGAGCAGGGAAGCATTGTCAACTAATGATTTGGGGAATCATATCTTACCTCCCACTCAGGGTACCTTCCAGATTCAATGGCATCCCAAAGGTCTTGTCGATGAAAGTCGGGATTTTTTCCGCCAAGAGCCTGTGCCTCTTCCCATACCAGGCCCGCTCTTCCTTGGAGGGTCTTCCAGCGAAACTTGACCAAGGTCGAGTTGCCCTCATCGGTGACGAGTCGGAAGGTATGGACGCCCCACCCATCAACATGTCGCATTGAGCGAGGGATTCCATGTCCTGACATTGCCCAGAAGAGGGCATGCAATGAGCTGGGCTGCTGGCTGAAGAAATCCCATGCCGTATCGTGTGCAGTTGCAGCCTGGGGAATTTCACTGTCTGGTTGCGGCTTGACAGCGTGAATCAAATCAGGGAATTGAATAGCGTCCTGAATGAAGAACACTGGAACGTTGTTTCCAACGATATCTACATTGTCAAGTAGTCAGCCTAGGTCCTGGGTTTGTATTCATATTTGCTGTGCTGCTATGAGTAGTGACTATCATGATAGAAGGCTTACCAAAATTGCCTTCATCGGTATACAGACGGGTCGCAAATCCGTGGATATCGCGAGCAGAGTCAACACTGCCTCTGCTACCAGCGACTGTAGAAAACCGCACGAATACTGGTGTCTGCTTTCCTGCCGCGTTCAAAAAGGATGCGGCAGTGATATTCGACCAGTTATTATATGACGTGAATACGCCATGGGCACCAGCTCCTCGAGCATGGACGGCGCGCTCAGGAACCTGAGTAAAATCGAATTAGCGGATTTGCAACACGCTCACATATTATATCCACATACCCGCTCATGATCAAAGTGTTGGATCTTCTGGCGGAAGATAAAATCCTCAAGTAGAGTTGGGCCTCTATTTCCAGCCTTCAAGCTGTGTTGGTCCTCAATGGGACCACCCACGTCCGTTGTTAGAACCGACTGTTCATCATCAATGTAAAACTGGCTAAGAAACTGGTCCGTAGGGTCGGACACAGTGTCATGGCGGCGATCGAGGGGTCCTTTCTGACTGTTAGGCATCTCCCCTGACATGTAGGGACAGGCTGCAGAAACAACACTCGCCGAGGCGAGTAGAAGCTTGAGCGACCGCATTTTCCCCCCCTGAATTGAACGTGAAGTAAGCTTGCTCGAGAGAAAAGGATGCTGAAGAAGACAAATAATTAATGGCAGCTAGATATCGATATCTATTATATATGCAGATAGTGTTGGAGGATAGGGACCAAATTGGCTGGGACCCTTCTTGAGTGGAGCACGCAAAGGCCTATAGAGAAGCCAGATTGGGAGGGGGGAAATGGGAAACGGACGCACGAAGTCTGGAAAGAATAGCGGGAGGAGGTCCAAAATTTAACCGGCCAGGGCTTCCAAGTGGCTATAAATAAACCATATGTATCAAGGGCCACACCCCAGGGCCCAGAGCTCGCATACCTGCATGTTTGCCACAGAGAAGATGAATAAAAATAAAAATAAAATGTGCGTCATGGGGTGTAGCCATTGAGGGGATAGCTTGATAAACTTCAAAATATAGATCGATAGTACCTGGCATTCGCCGAGGGCCTTGGATAAAGCAAAGTTATCGGAGCCAGCAGATATCCGTGGATCCTAGAGAAGTGTAAGCGAGGTTATATGTGGCGAGACTTCCCGACTAACGTGCTACCCACCCGGATGTCAAAGGGTGTTGTTTCCATTCTCTGGGAAGTGATATTTCTTTTCCTTAGAGGTGGTGTAGTCGAGGAGCAGCTAACTTCTGGGATTGAGTATATCCATGTGCTGGAGTGTCTAGAGCCGATATAGCCCAATTTCAGTCGGAAAACACCCCCTATATTCGCCAGTACGACATCTATCATTATTCAGAGCCTTTAACAGCTACCTCGCAAGCAGCTGGTTTCCTCCTTCCAGCTGGTGGCACTTGGATGGCTGCAGATGTCTTGGTGGTACAGGCGCATGTGCTGTACAGTGTACACAACAAAGGTACATGTGTATCACATGTATCAGATATGTCATATCTCAGCTTTCATGTTTCGTACGCTTCTTGCCGGCTGGGCATGAGATGAGGTTGGTGATATCAAAAAGCGTGCTTCATGTTCTCCCGCTGATTGATTGGCTAAGGCCGCGCCCTAAACTGATGCTGTGCCTTGGCGGGCCGCCTGGATACGGCTACGGCCAGGAAGCGCTTCCACGACAGCTCTCGGCATTGAAGCAGATCACTCTGGCTCTTGTCGATCAGGAATCAGGAGCACTGGAGTAGAGTCAGCTCGAGAAGTTAGCGTGGAGTTTGCTGGTCAAAGTTTTAGCCAACCCGCGCCACCGGCTGGACAACATCGACGCCAGGAACGAGACAGAGTTATCACAGCCCAAGCGCCAATCAGAGCGCCGCCATTGCTCATCGCATTGACGATTGTTGTAAGGGCCAAGTGCTGCTACTTTTCTCGGCGTGAGAGCACTGACGAGTGTCCTCCGTTGATCGAAGGGATTGATTGATTGACCATACTAGAAATTACTAATAATAATGATATCTGTGCAGGGGCGTGCATGTATGTAGTTAAGTGCAGAGATTCGGAACGATAAGTAGGAATAGCGCTCTGAAAGTTGCTTAATGCCGTTCTGTGAAGTGAATTCCGCGAAACGAATCAATGATGACTCTGATGTGCTGGCAAGGATTTTGCCGACATAAATGGTCTGTGGAACAGTGATCAAATCCGACTGGGATGGTCTAGAGTTCAGCATTCGATAGCGATCGACACCGCCTGAACGGCCCGGGACGTATCAAATTTCCCTCGCTGGAGATGGAGAAAGGGATTTGAATACAAGGCGATACCTCAGATTGCTGATCGCATCGGGAGGTCGAGATGGAGAGAGCTTTTTTTAAATAGTTTGAGTGAACACGATTACGTCGTTCAACTGCTGATTAGTTACAAAGGATTCATGGTTAACACCTTGCACAAAGTTCCACATGAGTTTCAAATTTCAGCGAGTTTCGAAAGAATGTTCTTGGCTGTTTAAACAGAGCCCTCTGGTCAATTCAAGCATGCGAATGGCTAGGATATACAGGGAGGCTAACTTTACAATGGCGTATGAATGATGCGATCACATTTGTAGGTTGAAGGGGTTTGTTAGCATGCATTCTGGGGTGACTGGATAACTTACTCCGCTGACACAATGATAGCGGTGAATTCAAGTATTTAAGCAGTCATGTATATCCCGCAAAATCGGCCCAACTACTGGGCCAAATTGCAGAAACCTGCTTCTTCGACGTTGCTGGCCCATGGCTATCTCCACGACTGGCAAGGTGTTGCGCCTTTTTCGAAGCTATTATTATTCGCTCTCCCTGGCAGACGACGGTTATTGGGTAAACTTCTATCCTCATCGAACATTGGCTTCACAAGGTCTGACCAAATGCTCAATCGGCCCCCAGAGCTGCATCGGGCATCTGTCGAAAGTTCCCACTCTGTCATTCAAATTCCTTTCGAGCTTCTCTGCTGCGCCCTCAAAGTAGTGGAGGCAAATTTTCGTTGACTATCAGGTCAGGAAACTCCGCAGTGGGTCTCGGAATACATTAACTACTGGTCCCGGAATGGAATGTGCCAGCTCAGGAAATGGTTTTCAGGTTTTGGATAACTAATGGCCGTCATTGGATTGGACAGTGAGGACCCAACAGAATGAGATTCCCGCCCGATACCATGGATGAAGCAGGTTTCTTGACGCCAAATTTCACCGGAAGGAAGATTGATCCAGGGGACGTTGCATCCGATCGCGCGAGTTCTTTTTGTTTCGCCTCGTTGAATTGTATCTGTGCGCGCAGAGTGGATTGCGGCCATTTAGCGGAGGGCTTCGAAGATATCAACATATAACAAGATGTTTGCTTGATGCTTTGGACCACCGAGATCAGGGAGAGCATCAAGGACCTCGATCGAGGCCACGTTGCAAATAATCTCAGGGAATGAGCCGCAAAAACCGAGAAGGAAAAGTTTATTCAGATCTACTTATAGAAACGAGCGGAACCAAGATCTAAACAAAGATCTGCCTTTGAACCTAAGCGGAAAGTTCAAACCTTGTCCACAGACCAGCAAGGAGACATCGAGATAGTTGCAGAGACCTACATTGTGCAGCTCAGGCCAAGCACGTAATCGCAAGTTGCCACTGGGGCTCAACTATCTCATGAGCAACGACTCCATGTCCATGCTTCTATACCAGCCGTAAGAAAGACGGCTGATCGCACCGCGTCTGGTCTTGTCTTCCGATTGAGTTATTAGGACAACTTCTCTTTGACTTTAACCTAACGCAGATCAGCCCTGAACTCAATCACTATGAATTTGTACTTGCACCTCTGTGCTAGCAACCCCACCGGATGTTACAATTTATCAATGTGAAATTCATCTGTTAGGAGTGTTTGTAACTATCCAGAGGACGCAGCAACGTGGACTGCTTAAATAGGTGTGGATCATGTGGCCTTCCAGCGAGCAAATGGATAGGGATGCCAACTTGAACAGAATAAAAGTATTTATCTATTAAGAATATATCAATAGCCAGTCAAATCCTAGCATTGGTTACTAAGAGTTATATAGTTACCTTTATTTTCTCCAAATGGCCATCACTTTGAGGAGCTCAACACATTTATTTGTAGTTATTCTGTATAATTAGATCATAAACCATGTCAACCTCCCCATTAAAACTACATACACTAGTCATGTCTCATACATATCTCACACATCTTCAAATGTGTTGGACACAGTGATTTTATCTTATTTCTAAAAGCTCTATTTCTTAACTAATATTAATCACTAATTCTAGCTTATAACTGCTTTTCAGATGTTGAAGTAGAATGACTAAATGAGAGCTGATTAATAATATAATGAAAGTGTGTAAAAGATGTTTAGTGTGTATTGTACGGAGTATTTTAGTGAGAGAGTGAGATCTGAGCATGGTTTATTTTTCAGACCCACTTTTTTTAAACCACATCCAACTTTTAATAAACCACGTTCAACTGTAACCCGATGTTGAATAAGTGGTTTAGATGGGTTAACTGACCCACCACCCCAACACCACAATACTCAGTTAGAGATGAGACTTAGTTTAGAGGTTAGAGGTTGGGATAAACATGATATAAGTCAACTTGCATTGCGCATACAGAGTACAGAATAGTTATTCAGGAATTGACAACGCTTCGTGGTGTCTCTGCCTTTGAATATGTCTCCTCAGTCAAAGTTTCCGTTGCAACCTCAAAATGAACGTGTCACATTGCATACAAGCACCCTGCACGTCCCGCACGGGCGACCGCCACAAAATCAAGCATTCTCTTGCTTTCCAGGACAATTGCTGTCACATTCAATTTCTCCTGTTTGCCTCCCTTCTGGGCTTCTGAGGTTTTGGGTAACTCTTGCACCTAATGCAGACGCAGGAGAAGTGCCCTTGTAAACACCGGATTTACCCCGCAGTTGTAATGGCACTTTACTATGAAAGGGTTGTGATTCTACGGCGTGGAGTCGATAAATTTGGGTCTCTGGTTGGGTTTTGACAAAATGCAAAAGTGCATATTCTCATATCTCGTTATTTCAATTTTAACAGAACCATCACCTGTGACTCTTCTTTGAGATTGTTTTATTTACACCCATGATTTTCTATCTTATATGATCAGATGATCAGATTTTTGATATTTGACAGAATGCAGAGAGGTACAACAGAGGGCGTCCCTCCAAGTCCCTGGGCGGAATTCCACGGCCGATTGTCTTATTCCTTTCAAAGTCAGGGTCTTTGTGGTGTGATTTTCCCCATTCGTACCATATCCCGACGATCAAATGAGGCAAGATTGTTTGGGTCTCCCTTTGCTATGTCTTGAAATATGGGGCCCCGGAGTTAAGCCCATTAATTTGGCTTTCTAGAGTGACTACAGAGCAGAGAAGAAAGAAGACACTGACATCCCCCGCACAACTTTTGGATGAGGGAACTCATTCGTCCAGGGACTTTTTTTCAGGGATTTACAAGACGCCGAGTATTGGTGGGGTTATTCAACAGAGACCTTGCCGCGCTCGGAAATTAATATGGATCAAGGTAACCGTGAAGAATGGTAACGGGGATATGGTGTCTCTACCCCACATGACCCGAAGCCGTCAATATATGCAGCCACGCCAAGCGGAAGTTTCTTGATTCGGCATAGTGAGCTAGTAGAAACTTAAGAGGCTGGTGCATACAGTAACTTGTAGGGTTATGGTGAGTTCACCCCAAACATAATATCAGCCTAATGATGTGCAGAACTAACTGTCAGAGATCTCAAAGCTCTATATGAGGTTCCGTTAATGAATCTTTTCGCATGGGACTTACAAGTTAATTTTTGTTGGGGGATTGGATTGGGTGATTCGTACCCTCTATACCACCATGGCGCTGGTGGTGGGTGATTGAGCTCTTTTGCCCTAGCATACTTACACAGATCGGAGGAGTATACAGCTAATTGTGGGGCATGGAAGGAATCACTCTCAGCGAGGTAATTCCGGCTTGGTTATCGTGTAGGAACCATATTGGGTAGCATACCAGGTTGAGCTGCAGCACAATCTGTCAGCCGTCTTCCCCAGTAAGAAATAAGCAGCTTATGTGCCATGGATCTGAATTGACTGTTCAAGCAGATAAACACGAGATGGAGTAACGCAATCTAGGATCAAGGCCTCCGGCATATCACCCGTTTTCGTGCCCCAACTCCGAGAAAAGTTATACAAACCCATAAGCTCTCCAGCGAATGGGCCGCCCGGGCCCTGATAATCCTAGATGTGGGAAAGCACATCAAGAATATTGGATTGATAGCGGCTGTCAACTGGCAGACACATTTTTGGACAACCCGATCTCTACCTTTCTATCTCCAGGCATGAATACGACCCCCTGGAACCTTGAAAGCGAGCGCCAATGAAAAACTGTTTCTGAGAAGATTAAAATTGTATTTGCACAATCATGGCTTTTTTCATCGCAGAGGAGTCAACTATAAATACGGCCGCGAGGGAACCTCGTGAAAGATTTATTTCTAATGCACAGCAGCAATCAATTGACATCAATTGGCCAAGGCCCTCCCTAAGTACCCAGAAACCTCAAAAAAGGACCCTAATCACAGTCCTCGCGAACAACGAAAGCTTCCCATCAAAAAACCGAATATCAAAGGTCGAAACCCCGAAAACTCGGATATCCTCAAGTTTTTTTCAAAATCACAAATCAAAAACTTCCAAAAAATCAAGCCTACTTTACATCCTCAACCATGAAGATCTCTATCGTTCTCCCCGCTATTCTCGCTCTCTCCACCGCCACCTCGGCAACTGATTGCTACGGCAGCAGCAGATGTCAGGTTGGCGGTTGCCAACTTGTTGATGTTCTGAATGCGGTTCCCAGCAGGAATTTCCGACCGGGAGAGAGGATTGCCTGTTGCAGCCCCAGAAACGGGGGCAACGGTCTATGTGCATGGGCGACGCATTCGACTGGATACATGAGCTGGCTGGTTGCCAGGAATTACATCCAGGGGTTGTTGAACTATGGATGCCGACGATGCGGGCATAACGGGTCCGTCAGGGTCGATGTTCCCTGAGCTATTCCAGAATTGGAGAGAGGAAAGTGCTGGTGGATTTTTATGTGTTCTTCTCTATACGTTATATATGACCTCTTGTTGTCAGTTTTATGTATCTGCGTTCTGCGTCTTAACCGACCGCTTGTTTTTTCCCGTCCTTATTTATATCTCTGATGTTAAACCCGCCAATCTCCATCCCCCACTCGTTTTGTTTTTCGGAGTCATACCCCTGTATCTCAGACGATGTTCCGGATTAGGGTTGTGATGTATTGTGCCATCAAAAATTATGGGCCTTCGTTGATGCAAGGGTCAGTTTGGTATACCTGCCACCCTACTCGCTAGATTTAAATCCAAATTGAAGAGTTCATTGTTGAGCTTAAAGCCTTTATTAAGCGAAATTGGTGTTTCTATGAGGAAGACCCTGGGCAGAGCTTTGATACATTTATTGAATGGTGTGTTGATGTTGTGGGTGCAAGAGAAAAAAGCGCACAAGGCCATTTCCGGCATGCAGGCTTGACAGTTGAAGAGATATATATGATGAGGGTTAGCAAATGGTATCATGTCCTCTATTACTATTATATTGATCCAAGTAGATAATTAACTATAAAAATGCACTTTCAGGTGTTAAAACATGAACTAATATAACATGTTTGGACTTGACCCATCGTGCAAATTGGTTGTGGTCATTTTCGCCGCAATTCTGTCAAGACATCAATCAATTGTGAAAGTCTGACAGATGTCGAGAAGGATATTGTAATTGAGGATTGCCTGGCACAAAGTCGGCAATCATAGCGATCCGGTGGCTGTTGAGTTGGCGGCATTCCCAGACAGCAGGAGCCAAGAGGTTCTGACAATAGAATTTCGCGTAGGCCATCATGTCCGCCTCCGATTCCCGGGAAAAAGCCTACGGTTTTGAATTTAATAGCGACGGGGTGTCCATCTGGGATGTTGCGGCTCTTCATGACGGGGTTGCCAAAATACTCGTATATTGTTTTCCCCGTCGAAGGAACCATCATAGCAGCGTTCGGAACGGTCTATTTTAGGCTCGCTATTATTCTGTGGTCTAACCTTGTTCAAAAGAAAAGCGAGCATTGATGCGAGTACTACGGAGTATAAGCGTCACTCATTGCTAGAATAGATGAAGTAGCCCGTAGGAAGTCTGGGAGGCGAGGTTTGGATGGGATTAGCTCGCTAAGAATTGGGCCAGGCCGAAAATTTCGACTTCTCAAGCGACGCGACAAGGAGATGACAGGTTGGGCCGAAGTTCATCCGCTGGGCTCACGCTCACATAGCTGAATGTTGAGGGTTAAAAAAGGGTGTTAGGCCACTGGGGTAGTTACGAGAGCTCGATCTCCACCAGCGCCATGCTGGTAGTTAGTAGAGAGGACGAACCAATCCAAGCCCCCAACAAAGGGCGCGCAAAATGAGGAAGGGTTATTTTTGACATGCAAGTCCTGTAGTTGGAGAGAATATGAATATCCTAAAAGAAAGTCAAGCTTCATATTCTGTAATTGTTTCTATTCGAATCGTTCATATCATGTGATTGGTTAGGATTTTGGATGGCTTTTTTTTTCCTTTATTTTTATTTTTATGTGTTTATTTTTGGCTTTTTCAAGGATATTTTTTATTTTTCAATTTTTTCCCCCTCTTCCAAGACGTGCGCAAATGTTCACGGCTGAGTCTCTAGCTTCCACTTGACCGGCTGAGATGGCGCTGAATTGAATTCCAACTCATTGTTGACATCGCAGAGGCGTGAGGCCAAAACAGTTCGTCGACGCATGTCAACAGGAGGAGGAAGACGGGAACAGGCCCTTCTCCTTATAAAGGGGGTAAGAAAATTCTCACAAGGAACGAGCCAAGGAGAGCTATGCCATAGCGACAGCGATGACGTTTAAAATATTCATCCCATACCTGGCGGTTGCTCTCGCTGTTGCATTGCAAGGCATAACACTTATTTATCTTCCGCCAAACTCCCACAAACGGAAATACATGTTGCCGGTGATTCTGCTGCCAGTTTCACTCGTTTGCTTTACGGCTCAACATGCTAGCTTCGTAGGGCCATGGAACATCTTCATCGGCTTGGAATTCGGTGCTTTACTTGGCCTGGAGGTGTTTGATAATGTCTGCCTGTCCAAGGTCTCATATCACGCAGTGGGAGCGAGAAAGAAGAACGATGATGATGATCCGGATACTACGAGCGCATGGAGCCGATTTTGTGATAAAGTCCGCTGGTCTGTTGATATAGCTATCAACAAACGGCGAATTAACCGTGCAGACCAAACGCGCAATGTGCCCCTTTTCGATTCCAGCAGGCCACAGTATGTTCCATCACGGCGCAGTTTTCTCCTCTTCCGTGCCGCACGCTTCATTCTGCTATACCTGGCTCTCGATCTTATTACAAGCCAACCGCTAGAGGATGCGCAGGTTAAATTTGCTGTGGGCAAGGAGCGAATTTTCACCCGCATACTGGCGAGAGACATCTCGCCTGCGGAAATAGGGGAGGCGTTGGGTATTATCATGGCCCACTGTGTATGTGGGTATATGTCGCTGCTTTTGGGATACGACTTTTTCTCGCTGGTTGGTGTAGGACTGTGCGGGGGCAGGGTTTCGGACTGGAGGCCCCTGTTTGGAGACATTCGACAGGTTTATACCATCAGGACATTTTGGAGGTATGTCATGTCTAGAATCAGCTCCTTTCCAAAAACTATTCACTCCATCAACCTACCGGATGGCAATATGTGAATAAGGAGAAGCAGACAAAAGCTGACACCACGCCCTCTCTGGTAACAAAAAGACTATTCTGGCACCAGCTCCTACTACGGCCCCTCGACGCAAGTGCCTCCTTCTTAACTCATTCACTCCTTGGTCTCCCGCGCTACTCTACCAGTGGCATCAACCGAATCGTCACCACCGCCGACGACAACAGCAGTAAGCTCAAAACGTTACCACCAGAGCAGCAGCAGCAGCAGCAGCAGCAGCAGCCGCAGTCGCAGACGCAAGCCAGCAAACTCCTCCTCATCACCGCCTACACCAAACTCACCCTCATCTTCCTGCTGTCGGGCCTAATTCACATTAACTCCGACCACATCCTGGGCATCCGCTTCCGCGACTCCCATTGCATATTCCTCTTCCTCTGCCAGGCCTGCGGCATTATAGCTGAGGACGCGGCCCAGTGGACGTACCGTTGCATCACTGGAAGCAAAGGAAATGGGCCTGTGAAGGTATGGCACCGCCTCGTCGGCTACGCATGGCTGGTTGTTTTCGCGCTGTGGGGGGCGCCCGGCTGGGCGTTTTCGGTTGTGAGGTTGGAGGTGCCACCTACTGCTTTGCCGGTGATGATATTTCCTCGCCGTTGAAGCGTATATAAATTTATTATCCAGGGCTGGAAATCGATGATTTCGGGTTTTCTCCGTAGATGGGGCGGGCGGGGTTTATATGCGGATCTACTCCGTAGTCATATATAAGTTATAACTAGTGGTTGTATAGATAATTTTAGCTAATGTTACGCGGCGTATAAATATTCTTAACTAGTTAGTTACTAGGTTTGTTAGCATTGAGGCGTCGAGTCGCCCGGTAGTCGCTACGTCGAAGCCCGGCTAAGTAGCACAGTAGCCGAACAAGCCGAGGTGTTTCAAGCGTCCCTGGCACGAACTGGAATTTATATGTGTGGGGGTATATTGCTGACCTACATGGCTTTATTTGTTGAAAATCGAAATATACTACGGAGTATAATCTAGGACAACACTAGAACAGTGTAACTACAGATTACGTAGCTGGCTAAACAAGAATAAAAGGAGCAGGCCAACCCCGCACACCACCCTTGTCTAACACGCTTGCTGAAAGATATCTCTAGTTTGCGTGTGCAACTTGTTCTAATTTACGCCCGCTCCGTACTTTAATTCATCATCTTCTTGCGCTCCTCTGCCAACACCTCCTCAGTAACGTTGACTAAAATCTCGAATGCCCGACGGACATATTTCGCCTCCGCCAGCGGATTCCCGCTCACCACCCGAATCACCACAACCCCACCAAGCACCGAGGACGTCAGGAACAACTCGCCGCCGGCATTGATCTTCTCGCAGACTTTGTGCGTAAGAGCCTGCGTGGAAACGCCTGAAGAGGTGTCCTGCGATGCTTTCTTCTCATTCTGCCCGGGAGTGGCACCATTACTCAGGGGGGTAGAGGTGGTGCGGGACGTCTCGTCCAAGCCTCGTACTCTCAACGTGGTCAAGCCAAACGCAGGGCCCGTGACGATCTCGAAGAGGTCGTCTCGCGTTCTGGTGAGGTCGGCGAAGACAACCCCGTTGTTTATGCCCTTGCGGATGTGAGCTTTCATACCCGAGAGCCCGTAGGTGCGCATGACGAACCAGACCTTCAGCGCGCGGAAGCGTCGGCCGAGAGGAATCCCCCAGTTGCGGAAGTCGGTTACGGGGGTCGTGAGGTTGCTGGGATTCCGCAGGTAGGCAGGGGTTATGTCCAGAGCGTTGGTGAGGTCGAGGGCGTTGGTGATGAAGAGACAACTATAGTTGGTGACAAGGGCGCGGGGTCAGTTTGGGGAGGACGTAATAAATACACATATATAAATATATATTTATTGGTCGAAGAGCGGGGGGGGGGGGGGGAAACAAGAAACATTACCTGGCGTCGAAGTTCACTAGGAGCCATTTGGCCATATTCACATTGAAGCTATCCACACCTTCTGCGAACTCCTTCGCAACATGCTGCCATTCCTCCGTCACCAGCGCAGAGCCAGCAAACGCCGCATCGATATGGACCCATATTTTCTTCCACGCCTCCTTCTCCCTCAACACGACCTTGATCTCCGCAAACCGATCAACAGCACATGAATTAGTTGTGCCCATCGTCGCAGTCAGGAAAAACGGCTCCAGGCCATCGCGTTCACACTGCTCTAGCATCCTGCGCAACGCGTCTCCCGTCATGGCCAGATTCTCTTCCAACCGCGTCGGGATAGCCCGGTACCGCACCCCAGCAATCCGCGCCCCTTTCGCCGTGCAGCTGTGCGTCTGGTCGCTGCCCAGCACCACAAGCCGGGTCCGCATTTCCATTGTCCGATCCTCCCACTCCGGCGTGTCCTCCACCAACCCCTCCGCCATTGCCTTGGCCCTCACATGCCTTTCGCGCGCGGCAACGATAACGGTCGCAACAGCCTCGCTTGCGGATCCCTGGATAGTGCCTCCGCCGGTACTTCTGCCGGACCGGGACGCCGCAGCGCTGAGGAAGCAATCTGGCAGCCCGAGCGCCTGCGCCAACCAGTCCATGACGATGATCTCCAGCTCCGTGCACGCGGGCGAGCACAGCCAGTTGAACGCGGGCGCCGTGAAGGCCGCCGAGTACAGCTCACCGAGCATGGAGGGGTATGTCACGCCTGCGGGGAAGTAGGCCATGAACTTGGGGGACTGCCATTGGGTTAGGCCTGGCATGATTTTGGACTCGATGTCCGGTTGGATCTTGCTCCATGGCTCTGGATGGTTGGGGGCGGATGTGGGAACGAGTGGACGGAGGTACCCGGGTTCTATGCTGGGAACGACTGGTTTGGAGGAGATGGTGTTGAAGTGTTGGATTACTTAGGATGTCTAGTTAGTTTTGAGGAAAGAAAGAGAGAGAGAGAGAAAAATTGAGGAGGAGGGGAAGAGAATGAGGAGAACGTGAATACTTTCTTCAATGGCAGCGTGAGCTGCTTCCCTGAATTGTTCTCCGTTCATTGAGTTTTTATTATGATTTATTACTTTTTCTTTGCCCTAACTACGTTTTACGTCGACAGTTTCGAGTACGATATCTGGGTGGGGAGCTCTGAGCGGACGTCGGATGAAACACAGATCAGTTTTAAGTTAGGTTTAAATTGGAGCAGCCTTTGGATTTTAAGCACAACAGTCCCAAATGTCAAAAGGGCGCAAGAAATCAGTTCCGCCGCAGATCTGCGGTATAACTACAGAATAGTGGTCATGGTCGATTATAAATATGATCCAAAGCCGACATGCCATGGGATTCGGGATACAGAGTAATAAATTAGCGCCTGGTTTAGTGTTTGAAGACAGCCAATTAAAAGTTTATTGCGATCTCCATTTTTCTGAACACGCTATCTTTGGGAAAAAAGAATCCGAAATATCGTTTTTCTCCGTTGTATTCCTTCCGAATTGTTTTGTTGAAGTTGTTTCCATTTTCTGAGAATAACCAAAGGATTCCTCCCCGTCGGCTAGGAATACATACAATCTGTAAATCTTGGTTGATCTTTCGGCTGCTCCATGGGCCCTGGCCGCTTGATGTCGCGTGGAACTTAAATCTCATTCCTCGCCGAGTTTGCCAGGGTAAAATCCCGAGAGAGCCTCGGTACATGTCATAGTTTTTGATTGCATACGTTAGAAATTGAGGGAGTTTGGGCCGGACAGCTGGCTGTCTAATTTAACCTGCAAAGATTTAGACACGAGGCCCCAAATAACTTGCGGGTCGGCAAAGTTCACCGTATCAATTTCAGCCGCGTATGAGGCAGTGATTCTGAGAAGTTGGCCCTCATCCGGATTCCCGATTATCTCATGTACTCTCCCTATGCACCAATATCTCTCTGCCATTAACTATTTTCTCCATCCTTCATTTAAGGAACTCCCGCACTGTCTCTTCAGACCACGGTGGACCAAGTGGGCCGTGTAGCCCTTCTACAGACACCTGGCAAGGTACGGACAGGATTTCATCCTTTTGTGGTTCCCACACCATGCTGTGACTGGCACTTGCGGTGTATAGGTGGTCGGATGGGTTGGCCATGCCCGCTGTGGGCCGGGCCACACCACCACACCCACGGGTATATATAGCGCAACCATTTAACAAATGGTTACGTTGGCTTTTAGCTATAGATAACCTAGTGCTCATAGTGCTATCTTATCACAGCTTAGGTTTTGACAATTATTTTCCTCGCGAGGTTTTCGTGTCCTTTGGTGTGGTTGCGTAGGTATACAGAATGGTGCCAAAACGATTCCATGCTAGCTTCTTCCTGGCATTGTTCACCTGTTGAGCCCAGTCACTCCAGGCCATATCGATCTTTTGCCCTCGAAGTTCTTCTATATTATAAAAAAAGATCCTCCTTTTGATATATTCTATTGGTATGCCGAACTCGTCGAAACCAAGCATGAGGCTCGGCGGGGTATTTTCGGGTTCCGCGGAGTTGTAGAAGGGCTAGACACATGTGTTTAGCAGATAGATCAGAGAGAATACCCGAAAAACTTGTTTGGTGGGTTAGGACACCGGAACTGTATCTATCCACTTACTATGTGCTCTCCCCGAAGACCAGCACTGCCAGATTTTCCCTTCCGCTCCCAAATCTCTAGGAATGCTGTGGTTCTTCCAACAAGCGAGGCGCCGTACGCTCGCAGGAGTCCCTCGGAGGCATCAACCTTAAACCCAGCACGATCATTTGCATATCGCTCCCCAGTCTGCCACCACCTCTTCTGGAAGAGCAGCAAAACACTTCTTCGCACTGTACTCTGGGGACTCTTGGAATTTAATGAGAAAGGCGAGGTTAATTTCTTCATGGTTATCAAGCCAGAACTGAAATTGTCTTCACGAGATCTTTGTAGCTCTCTGTAAACCATACTTCGGTTGAAAAGAAAGGGCTTTTGATGTATTCAGCATCTGGAGCATATGAGAGCATGACGTCAGGTACTTTTGTTGTAAAATCTGCCCTGCGCCCCTCCCGTTCATTGGTCTGAATATCAAACCGTCTGAAATATTTTGGCACTTTGGACTTAATGACATCCCAAGTGGTGCCTAAAATATGATGAACGGCGCTTCCATGAAGCGATGAGGGCGCAAGGTGGACGGACGTTTTAGACAATTTTCTGTCGAAGAAGAGATGGCCCGATGGCCGCTGGTCGTCCCTGGTATTCACCATACTCCAGGTGGGAACCGAGGAGCCCAATATGGCATGGAACAAAGAAAAGAAAAGAGGAAACAATTTACTCTGATCTTGAGGTATCAAAAGCATCAACTATCCTGCGGAAGTCACACTGAGAAAGATTGCTCAAATGGATGACTTCATCGGCACAGTTAGTAGGGAATTGACCAGCAAACAAGTCATTGAGTTGATCGTCTGATAGGTCCGATTCTTCGGTGACAGCTCGTATTCGAGCTCGCGGCCTTGCGGATCGGTGCGATGTGGGTGTTGTTTTCCCACCACCACCATTAAATGGACGCGACAGAGCAGTCACGGACAACTTACCAGGGCGGGGATGAAGTGAGCGTAATGATGCACCAGCAACGCTCCTAAGCCCAAAGGCGAGCGCCATGTTTCCAAGTAAGTAGGGAAGAGAAACGAGATCCCACGGGACTTGAGGTACGCAACCTTGGAATCTTGGAGAAACGAGGACGGTCTGTTATTGGCTCAGACGGACGCGGACTGTTGATCTAACCTTGGAACTATTCAAGGGTTGTAGTTGGTGCGCCATGAAGAGACTATCTACCTATCCTTTCTGGTGGACCTGGTATGTGGATGTCCTAGCTCAAACTATCTCGATAGTTCCCGCATTTGTAGACCACATGACAGTCACATGACATATTAGCTGAGCCCTTGTGGTGGTCCTGTAACCCCCCGGCCGCATATATCAGTCCAAGCTTGTTTCTTCACCAACCACTCGATATTTACAAGGTGGAAGGAATCCGTATCGGTTCTCTAGGTTTTGACACCACTTAGCCGCAAGAAAATTCAAATTCGGGCCATAATTAGATAAAAACATCATAATGATTGGAAGTGGCAGGCTCATAACACCAGCTTTGAACCCTGCTTCACGTAGAGTTAAGGCCGGAAGGAAAAATACAACAGAGCCATTCTAGACCATAAAGGGTGAATATTTGAACATCATTGCGCATCCGTGAAGTAATGCCATCGCATGGCGGAGCTTTATCGCGGGTGACGGGAGAGCCCTGTTGTTTTGTCCCACCCGCCCTTTATATTAGCTCCATGTCGGCCGCTCTAGAACGACCTCCGGAGTATAAATAGATACGAGTGGGAGTGGAGGCGTGACAGGAAATTGAATGCAGCTCGCAAGAGTCCCCCTTATTTACATTTAAATACTAAATACTGCGTGGGTGACCGACGGGCAGCTTATTATTGCGTCACTAACGACTACCATCACCATCATTACCATGGAGCCTGCTGAGCTTCGCCGACATAGGGAGCGGGGAAGATACGATGTCGCATCCATCCGCGCCGTGTTCTCAGACTGTTTCATGGCGCATGTCTCTTACGTCGACGGCGGCCTCCCGCAATGCTTGCCCATATTCGCGCTGTTTCGGTGTGAGGACGAAGGCGAAGCGGTCTACTTACACGGCCACCCGAGCTCCCGGCTTATGGAGCTTGTACGGGCGAATGAGGTGAAGAGGAAGGCGAGGATTGAGCGGGGGGAACTGGGGCATGGGGATGGGGATGAGGATGAGGATGAGGATGAGCGAATCAAAGTTTGCATCACGGCTACGAAGGGTTGGTATTTTTTTTTTCTTTTTTTCTTCTTTTTTTTTTTTTTTTTTTTTTTTTTTTTTTTCCCTTGAGTGCCCGATTCCTACCTACTGCCAACGAGCAGAAACCCCAGTGGACGGGCTTTCGCTCTCGTCGGCGCCGAACGGACATACTTTCAACTACCGCTCCGCCGTCGTGCATGGTGCATGCTCGCGTGTCGAGGGCCGCAATACCAAACTAGACGTCATGCGCGGCGTGATGGACCACATCGTGCCTGGGCGATGGGACGGACTCAACCCCCTCGCTTCCATCGCGTTGTCGTTGGTGTTTGTGATCCGCGTCCAGGTCCAGCGGGGTTCGCTGAAACTGAACAGCGGGGTGCCCATGATCCAGCCTCGAGATCGGGCGAAGGATGGACCGGACCGGGCGGAGCCTGTGTGGACGGGCGTTGTCCCACTGCATGAACAGCTCGGACAGCCGGTGCCGAGCGGCTTGACGGATGGGGCGGAGATACCCGAGAGGCTGTTGAAGTATATCCGGGAGCGAAATGAGAGAGAGGAGGGATATGCGAAGTCTGTTTGTAAGTGATCGGGGTGGAGTAGCGATGGAGTTTACAACGCTCATTTCCCACACCATGAATTAATAATTGTTCACCTCGCTCTGTATCTAGATTGCCTTGACGTATGTAGTTGTGAAGCGATGGAACCGCAATGCCAAACGGCTGAGTCATTTGCCTTCGATAGTCAGGAGGACGTTTCCGTAGTGTAGATGTAAGCGCTGCAGACGTGCAGTAGCAGAAAAGCCGTTCAGCGCCCTGGATGCCCTTCAAGAAAAGAATCCCTGTGGACCTACCGCCGCCAATTGTTTGTAAATTTTCAGCGCATGGCTTCCTTCAGATAAATTGGTGTCTCCGACCCCCCACCGATAGTACCGCAACGAGCCCGTGTTGAACAGCGCACTTCCAACCAGCTAGTTATGCTGGTGCGAAGAGGATGTTCTCTCCCAGTGGAGAGTGGAAATGATGTCGGATGCGAGTCTGGCTCTGGATGAACTTACGCTGATTGGGCAATTGGACGCGGGAGCGAGCCGCGGCTGGAGATAACTTAATCTTATCAGATCTGCGACTCGCTTTGATAACATCGCATGCAACGGTCTCTGCGTTTCTAACTACGTCGTTTGATCCGATGTCGAGCTAATTAATTGTATGCTTTATGTTACATTTTCTTTCTTAATCTTGTGGTGTTAGTCATCTCTATCTCACAACGAACATTCTGTTCTCCCTCCTGCAGTGGGTGCTCCTCCTTATTGACCATCTATCATGATGACACCAACGCCGCCAGCTGGCCCTTCGCTCGTCATCGGCGTGGATGTCGGAGGAACAAACACCGACGCTGTGCTATTAGACACTAAACATACAGGGCCAAAGTCAGTCATTTCATGGAACAAGTCCCCCACTGCTGCAAACGTCACCCTGGGCGTCCGGAAGACTCTGACAGACCTTCTCCGCAAGGCGCCCGAAAATGAGAAGAATATTGCCGCAGTGACTATTGGGACAACCCATTTCCTCAATGCAATTCTCGAGCACGATGCGTCAAGGCTGGAGAAAGTAGCCGTCATTCGTCTCGCGTCGTACAATTTCTCCAGCCAGACTCCTTCCTTCATCGACTGGCCATCTGCGCTAAAAGGGATCATCAAGGGTCACGCCGCCATTGTGCCTGGAGGTTGCAATATCGATGGCACGCGTATTGCTGATATTGACGCTGAGGCCATTGCGGAGCAGGCGCAGATAATCCGCTCTAAAAATCTAAAGAATGTTGTCGTGGCGGGCATCGGGTCTCCGATGGATACGAAATATCGACAAGAAGCGCAGGTTCGGGAAATGCTCCGCTCCAAACTTGGCGACGATGTTAACATCGTCTGCTCCCACGAGATCTCTGGGAGTGGCTTGTTGGCTCGAGAGAATGCGGCGATTCTTAATGCCTCCATCATTAATTTTGCACGGAGAACGATCCGCGGGTTTATGCAAGCTATGTCGCAACTGGGTCTCAGGTGTCCGTTGTATCTTACGGCTAACACCGGTCATCTGCTCTCGTTCTCGGAGGCCGTTCAGTTCCCCATCAGAATTTTCTCATCAGGAGCAACGAATTCTATTCGGGGTGCTGCGTACTTGGCAGGACAATGCCTACTTGACAGCGATGGAGCTGTGGTGGTCGATATCGGCGGCACTACGACAGACGTCGGCTTCCTCTTGCGTAATGGCTACCCAAGACTCGCCAGCTCGCGCACGGAAATTGCTGGAATCAAGGTCAACCTTGAAGTTCTTCAAGTTGAAAGCATTGCCCTTGGAGGAGGCTCATTGGTGCGCACGAGTGAAGATGGGGAAAACGTGTTTGTGGGACCGGGCAGTGTTGGACATGAGATCACTACCAAGGCGCTTTGTTTCGGCGGTACAATGCCAACCGCCACGGACGTCGCCGTCCTATCAGGTGCATCCGTCGGCACGACAAAACCTGTCCTTTCACGAACGACAGTTGACAACGCGAGAGCCAGGATACAAGCAATGCTGGAAAACCTAGTCGACAGAGTGAAGACCTCGGCAGAGCCCTGCAGTGTCATCCTCGTTGGCGGGGGCGCGGTGCTATGTCCAGACCGTTTAGAAGGAGTCAGCAAAATTGTCATCCCCGAGCTCGCAGGGGTAGCCAATGCGGTAGGCGCTGCTATCGCCCAGATTGGCGGCAAGGCGGAAAAAATGGCTGACAGCGCCTCTGTGGAGTTCGTAAAGACAGAGGTGAAAGCTGCTGCGCTTGCAGATGCCGAGGGTAGGGGTGCTGATATCTCCGGGGCCGTGGTTACCAAGGATGAGGTCGTGGGTGTCCCTTACATGGAAAATGCAAAGCAGGTTTTGATCGAAGTCGCCTGCCCGGCAGACCACGCGCGGTTCTACTCCTCCTTTAAGGAGAATCAGCTAGGGGCCCCAGCTCCTGAGGGTGGGCCTGGATATGAAGAAATAAAAACTATTGACAACAACCTGCAGCCTAACCGCCTAACTGAGCCAGTGGTTGATATTTCCAAATACAGACCTTCTATCGATTCGTCTGGAAAATGGCTACTCTCCAAACTTGACGTTGAATTCATATCCATCGGTTGCTATATTCTCGGCTGCGGCGGCGGCGGCTCCCCATACTCGACGTACCTCGAAGTCGTCAACTTAGTTGAGGAAGGGAGAAATTTAACAATTGTCGATGCTTTTTCGCTTGCTGCGGATGCAGTTCTTGTCCCCGTGGGTGCGGTGGGATCTCCTGCTGTGGCGGACGAGCGACCTGGTGGCGACCTGGTGTTGCACGCCTTGCAAACAATGGAAAAGGAGCTGGAGACGAAATATGACAGCATCTTGGCGGTCGAGGTCGGGGGAAGCAATGGGCTGCAGCCGCTTATATGGGCATCATCGAAGTATTACAATTTACCCTGTGTCGATGGTGATTTGATGGGTATATATATTTATCTTTCACACCCTTGCCTTCAACATTTACGTACTGATAAACGTTGTGTGGAAATACAGGAAGGGCGTATCCTAATTTCGAGAAGATGACGAGCTTCGTTGACTCGACGGACATCAACAAACTGTTCCCCGTGGCCTTGTCCAGCGGCACAGGCAGGAATGTAATCATCCCAGCTACTCAGCCAGATGTGCAGGCAGCCGATTATGCTATACGGTCTACATGCGTTGAAATGGGGTATGAACCCCCCCCCCCCCCCCTGCCTACTCTCTTTTTTTCTCCATTCCAGTTTCCATACCTTTGAAAACCCTTCGTTCTAAGCTCGCGGTAATATCACTATATTTAACCTGCCTCTAGTTCCGCCGCAGGCGCCACCGGAGTTCCCATAAGCGGCTCCGACATGCGACGCTTTGGCATCCTCAACACACACTCTCTAGCCTGGCGACTTGGCCGGGCAGTCTCCCTGGCGAGGCAAAGGGGCCAACTGTTCTCCGTGATGGATGATATCATTCGCGAGTTCGGCGGTGCGCAGAGCGCGAAGGTGGTATTTCGCGGAAAAATCATCAGCGTTGAACATAGCTTGTCCTCTACCGCGCATACGACTGGGAAGGTCGTTCTGCAGCAACTGTCGCCCGATGAGTTAGGGGTGGGTGACATGGAGGTGTCTCATGGTCCGGAGCGGGTGGTTGTTGAATTTGTCAATGAGAACCTGAGCGCCAAGGGGATTTACTCCGATGGATCTGAGGAGGTGACTTCCACTGCTTGCTTATATGTATTTTTGATGTAATAACTAACTCTCCTGCAACAAGTACCTCGCCGTAGTTCCGGACTTGATCATGCTCCTCGACGTATCAACAGGCGAGGCCGTAGGGACTCCGGAATACAGGTGCGTGAAGAAAAAAATTAATCGCCACGAATATCTTCTGCAGCCGTCATCATTTCGCTAACATTGTATATTTAGGTATGGCCTCAAAATCATTCTCATGGCAGCCGCTCCGCACACGCTGTGGACAACAAAACGGGGGCTTGAGATCGGAGGCCCGCCTGCGTTCGGGTTGAGCGTCAAGTACAAGTATGACCTCCGATATGTGAAACCAAAGAGTGTAATTGAGGAGTACAAGCCGGTCCCTTAGATAGAATGGGTTTTAACTAGATGAATTGTGCTTTTCTTTCTTCTCTTTTCTTTTCCTTTTTATCAAGTTAGGGCCCAAATAGTTAGTTGGAGAAGCACGCAGCCCCTCTGACGTCATCCCCAACGACTTCCCTCCGCCCGTCTTCGCTCGATCGCGACCCTTTCAATCAATCAATTATCATCCGTATTCTCTATTTCGGAATATCGTTGCTAGGTTAGATATAATTAATAGAGAAGAACATCATCCACAGTATCATCCAGTATGCCCCGCGCCGTAGCGAAGATCGGGAATACCATCCTTGCCGAGACGGATACTTGGGAGACAGTCGAGGGGAACGTCTACGTAAAGATCCTGTCCATTGATCATTGACGAGATATGACATATAAGATAGCTAATACCAAGGTATATGCGTGTGTAGTTCCCCCGTTCGTCGCTGAAAGATGGCACAGGGACCTTTCGCCTGATAGAATCTGATTCATCGACTTTCTGTCCCTGGAAGGGGGCTGCGTCGTATTATGATATTTCTCTCCAGGGTATGCATTACACATATACATATATCGATATAGTTAGAATGGGAGAGAGAAGGCCGATGAACACAACTTAAACTAAGGCATGAATCTGTTACACAGAGACTGGCACTGTCATATCTGATGTCGTGTGGTATTACGCAGAGCCGTCCGAGGCAGCGCGGAATATCAAGGACCATGTTGCTTTCTGTAAGTTGTGACTCGTTTGTTTGCGTCTATGCATGATCGCTGCGCATGCACCTGCCTCTACGTATATCATTCCCATATGATATGGCAGGAATCCCTCTCCTTCTCAGCTGATGTGTGGTTTTCAATGTAGATAAGACCAAGGTCGAGGTCGTTGTTGAGTAGAGCCGGACTGGTGTGCGGTCAAGATAGGACGGATGGCTTTTTACAGCGTGGATATGGGGATTTGAGAGCAATTGCTGCTGTTTCGTCGAAGAGCTGGAGGGTAAAGCTAAGCAGGCGCCTTTGATAACTAATTTAGTTATAAGAGCTATCTAGATTCAACAGCTTCAGGCCTTCGCTAGCCACAAGTTGTTTTCCAGAGGAACTACTGCGCGCATTCCAGCATGTTCATATCTATTCATATACTTCATCAGACCCGTCACCCACATCGACATATTTTTGAATGACTGCGCTTGTTGCCGAATCTGAGCCGAGACCCCGGGCAAGCAACTGGCAGGGTATGGTATGGTATGGTAAGAAGCTGTATTTCCGCGTCAGCAATCTCCATATTACCGAATAAAAATACGTCGAATGAAACAATGCTATGCCATTTTTCTTCTCCCCGCCTCATTGCTCCGGCATTTACTCACGTGACTTTCCCGAGCCGAGGTTTGTCTTGAGTATTCCGCCAATCAGCATGCACTATATCGGCCGAGATCCGTCCGTATTGGCGCGTACGGTGTGTATTTCTCTGTATGATAGCGTACTGTCACGGCAATACACGATATGTGATATCTGATCCTCCCTCTGCTTAATTTTTTTCTCTCTCTTTTCTCTCTCCTTTGTGTTTCTGGTGTCATTCTTTTCAAGCCCTGTGCTTTCAATTAATCCTTCGTTTAGTATATCTGTCAGGTCTCTGCGCCGCGACGTTTGACACATTTATTTCGAGGAGTCATCCCACTTTGCTCTCCCTGGGCAGCGTTATGGCGGCTCCGTCCTCCGTTCTGCTGCGTGGCGGAGGTCGACAGCTAGCCCGCTGCTATCCTCGAGCTACTGCTACTGCTGTGGGAGTTGCTCGACTATCCCCATTAACTGCTTACAGGCAGTGCTTGCAATTGGCGTCTCCCAAACCGCCAACTTGGTATTCCTCTCGCAGACATGTCCATAGCAGCTCCCTCTCTGACCATGGCGCGCTGCAACCCCGCAACCTCCTGCAACCTCTCGATACCTTTCCGCGCAGACACATTGGCCCATCCCCGGAGACAGCGGAGCAAATGCTAGCAGCTCTTGACCCTCCTGCAAGTTCCCTGGACGAATTCGTTCAACAGGTCCTCCCCGCGGATATCATATCTGCCAAGGATCTGGAGGTCACAACGCCAAATGGTTCATCGAGATTACACGCGGACTCTGTCCATGGTGGGCTTGGGGAATCCGACATGATCAAATTGATGCAGAAGTACAAGAAAGACATTGATGCCAGCGGGAAATCGTATATCGGCTGCGGATATTATAACACCATTGTTCCTCCCGTAATCCAGCGGAATGTCCTGGAGAACCCTCTCTGGTATACCAGCTATACTCCCTATCAGGCAGAAATCAGTCAGGGGCGATTGGAATCATTGCTTAACTTCCAGACGCTTACTGCGGATCTGACTGGTCTACCTGTTGCCAATGCCTCGGTCCTGGATGAAGCTACTGCCGCTGCTGAAGCTATGACCATGTCGTGGGCGACGATGCCAGCTCACAGGCAGAAGAAAGATGGAAAGTCGTACGTTGTTTCCCACTTGTGCCACCCACAGACCATTGCTGTTATGCAGTCGCGAGCAGAGGGCTTCGGAATCAAATTGGTGGTTGGTGACATCATGGCCGAGGATTTTAAGCTGGTCAAAGACCAAGGTGATCGCTTGATTGGTGTGCTTGCGCAGTACCCCGATACTGAAGGAGGCATTTTTGATTTCCAATCGCTAAGCGACAAAATTCATGAAATTGGTGGCACCTTTGCCGTGGCGACGGATCTTCTTGCCCTGACCTTGTTGAAGCCTCCAGGGGAATTTAGCGCAGACATCGCCTTCGGATCCGCCCAACGATTTGGCGTACCTATGGGATTCGGTGGCCCCCATGCTGCTTTCTTCGCTTGTGCAGACAAGTACATGCGGAAAATTCCCGGTCGTATTGTGGGTGTCTCCAAGGATCGACTAGGAAACCGAGCTCTCCGCCTTGCCCTCCAAACTCGGGAGCAACATATTCGCCGTGAAAAGGCGACTAGCAACATCTGCACAGCTCAGGCTTTGCTTGCAAACATGAGCGCCTTCTACGCGGTATACCACGGTCCTGAAGGCTTGAAGGCGATTGCCCAACGCATCAGGTCGTTGACTGGATTGCTTCGTGAGAAGCTTTGCGCCATCGGCTACTCGGTTCCAATTAAGGGAAATACTGCAAGCAACGGTGCAATTTTTGATACTCTGACGGTAGAATTAAAAAGCAGCGCAGAAGCCGATTCGCTGGTGGAGGCCGCACTGGAGTCTTCTGTCTATTTGAGAAGAATAAACCCGACCACCGTTGGTATCTCCTTGGATGAGACTATCGGTGTTGAGGAGCTTAAAGATTTGCTGTCGGTATTTGGAAAGACTGCCCCCAAGGGAGAACCGGTGGACCTACTTAATATTAGCAAAGTTATTCCTGAATTGCAAATCCCCGCTAGTATCAAGCGAACATCTCCATACTTGACACATCCAGTCTTTAACTCATACCATTCCGAAACTGAAATGCTACGGTACATTACGCATCTTGGATCGAAGGACTTGTCACTGGCACACTCCATGATTCCGCTAGGATCTTGCACGATGAAATTGAACGCGACCACAGAAATGCTTCCGATCAGCTGGCCAGAATTTTCCTCAATGCACCCATTTACCCCGTCAGAGCGCGTTACCGGCTACCAGAACATGATCGAGGACCTCGAACGGCAGCTGGCTGACATTACTGGCATGGCTGAGGTTACGGTGCAACCCAACTCTGGGGCGCAGGGTGAATTCGCTGGTCTCAGGGCGATTAAGATGTACCAAGATGCAGTTGGTACCCCTGGGAAGAGAAACCTGTGCCTGATCCCCGTGTCTGCTCATGGAACCAACCCAGCAAGTGCTGCTATGGCTGGCATGAAAGTATTATCCGTCAAATGCGACATGACGACAGGAAATCTTGACCTGGCTGACCTCAAAGCGAAGTGTGAGAAGCATAAGGATCAACTAGCAGCGATAATGATTACCTATCCCAGCACATTCGGCGTCTTCGAGGAAGGGGTCAAAGAAGCATGCAAGATCGTCCACGAAAATGGTGGTCAAGTCTATATGGACGGCGCCAACCTGAACGCACAGATCGGTTTGTGCTCACCCGGCGAAATCGGTGCCGACGTCTGCCATCTTAATCTCCACAAGACCTTCTGTATTCCCCACGGCGGTGGTGGACCCGGTGTCGGCCCCATCGGAGTAGCCGAACACCTCCGCCCATTCCTCCCATCCCACCCACTCAGTGAACACCTACAATCGCGACGCGCAACTCCTAATCCGGCGCCACCCATCAGCGCTGCACCTTGGGGTAGCGCCAGCATCCTCCCCATCACATTCTCATACATCAACATGATGGGCGCCAAGGGCCTAACACACGCTACAAAGATTACAATCCTTAATGCAAACTACATCCTCGCCCGCCTGAAACCCCACTACCCAATCCTCTACACAAACGCGCACGGACGCTGCGCCCACGAGTTCATCCTTGATACGCGCAAGTTCAAGGCCACGGCGGGCATCGAGGCTATCGACATCGCCAAGCGGCTGCAGGATTTCGGCTTCCATGCGCCCACCATGTCCTGGCCCGTGGCTAACACGCTGATGATCGAGCCTACGGAGTCAGAGAGTAAGGAGGAGCTGGACCGGTTCTGCGATGCGCTTATTGCGATCCGCGCGGAGATTGCGGCCATCGAGGCCGGCCAGCAGCCGAAAGAAGGGAATGTGTTGAAGATGGCGCCACATACGCAGAGAGATTTGTTGGTGACGAAGGAGTGGGATCGGCCGTATTCACGGGAGCAGGCGGCATATCCTGTGCCATGGCTGTTGGAGAAAAAGTTTTGGCCGAGTGTGACGAGGGTGGATGATGGTGAGTTTTGCAGATTTGTTTATGTTATCTTCCAAAATCTCTCCCCGTAGATCTTTGCTAACAGGTTCTTTCTAGCGTTCGGCGATCAAAACCTCTTCTGCACCTGTGGCCCTGTGGAGGAGATTGTCGAGTAAAATATGTTGGATAGTAAAAGTGGTAATACCTCTAGGGGTCAGGGGTCATAGTAACGCCCTCGCTGCCATGTATCACCATCCACTTCCCCATCGACAATCTATACATTCATGCCTACGTATTACTCCCTCAAGCTCCCACTCCCTATCTCCCTCCTCTCCACCTAAACTACTCCCCACCTATTCACACTTTTTCCCGAGGAAACGAAATAGAACGTACATACCCATCCACGAATAACCATGGTCTTCAACGAAACCACCTTCCCCTGCCCTAATTATAAGATATGACATGGCGTTTAACCACCATTTCTAAGCCCCCTCCTCTGTATTTCCCTTCTCCGCTTAATTCCACCTCCTACGGCAATGTTACTAGATCCGTTTTTTGCCCCTTTCATCTTCCATTTTGCGTATATATATTAACATCTACAAAAATTTGCTGTCTTGGCTTGACAATGTCGTATAAATATGTATTTACGTCTGTTTTTATTTTTGATCTTTGATTTTTGACTTGCGTTTTACTTTGCTTTTTACTTTATGTGTAGTATATATCTTTCTCCTGCATCCTCGAATATCATTCCTTAAAAGCATAGATTGCATGACATCCTCCGCCGCGTACGTCCAGCTCTTCCTCATATCGGAGTAGTTAGTAGTTAGCGATGCGCTATGCTTAAATTCAAGTCCTCGGCCGCAGTCTTCATGCAAAACACCGCATATCTCCTGTCCCCTGAGGCTGGTTAAGTCAGAGTTTGATATCACGTGTCGCCATGGCCGAAAGCTAAACAACGCTGGAGCTTCCTGATATCAATCTTCATATCACATAGCTAGTTGTAGCATTGCTCCGTGTCGCGCTGTCTGCGGCTATTTCCTATGTTTCGTTCTGCTGTCTTCAGTCTCAGATACAATGAACATTCTCTAACTTATTTGGAAAATTGGCGGGGCTGAATTGGGTTTTGGGCTGCGCTGTGCTTGGTCTCTCTGCCTTGGCTCGAGATAGATAACTTATTGCGGCGTGCAAAGGTATCAGTATTGATTTGGCTTACGCACAACGTTGCTCGAACGTGAAATCACGTTTCAAGATGATGATCTGAATCTCTCCTTGCGTTCCATCGGTTCTCGCGCTGTCTATCTACCGGCAAATTTCCCCCTGCTCGTGCGCGGGGGGACTTTCTCATCATTTGCTTGCTGGCTTCAGACACGTATATCTATCCAAACGGGGTTATAGAGACCATTGGATCTTGTTTTGATAACTATTATGGCACCCTACGCTTACGCCGTTTACTATGGTGTTTTCATCCAACTCCCGCGCCAGCCAGATGAGCCTGCCACGGCCACTTCGCCGCCAAAACATAGATTGTCTATTAACCATGGTGCGTTGTGGGTTTCGCAGGCGGATGGGAAAATTAAAGGATTTGACTGGACGGTCAAGGATGAAGAGGGGTTGGCGGGGTTAATTAAGAGGATGGGCTGGAGGGTCGAGATCCAAGACCAGGGAAGCGTTGGCGGAGTTGGAGAGTTGGTGACCATTGTGAAAGCTCGAGCGAAGAGGAATGGGTTCTTTTTCCCGGGGTTTATTGGTATGCTCATGCTATTTCTTCTCTGCATCCATGCCCTGAAATTTGGCTGTATACTAACTATTCCTTCCAGACTCCCACATCCATGCACCCCAGTATCCCAACTCTGGCATATTCGGGTCTTCCACTCTCCTGGACTGGCTAGAAACATACACCTTTCCACTGGAATCCTCCTTCGGCAACAAGGATAATCCCTCGGAACCTCCGCTGTCTGCCCGCACGGTCTACAATCGCGTCGTATCCCGCACCCTCTCCCATGGCACCACCTGTGCTGCCTACTACGCAACCATCCATGTCCCTGCCACCAACCTCCTCGCCACAATCTGCCACGCCAAGGGTCAGCGCGCCCTCGTCGGCCGCGTCTGCATGGATAACTCCGCTATCTGCCCAGAATACTACCGCGACGAATCCGCAGCCTCCTCCCTCTCCGCTACAAAAGCCACAATCGCCCACATCCGCGCTCTCGACCCATCTTCCGCCCTGATCAGGCCAATCATCACCCCGCGCTTCGCCCCCTCCTGCACCCCCAAAGCCCTCAGCGACCTTGGCGCCCTTGCCGCCTCCACCTCCCCTCCCACTCCAATCCAAACCCACATCTCCGAAAACCTCAACGAAATTGCTCTCGTTGCGAAGCTCTTCCCCACCTCCAAATCCTACGCGGATGTCTACGATTCCGCTGGACTTCTGACTCCTCATACCATCCTCGCGCATGCCGTTCATCTTTCCGCCGACGAGCGCGTGCTCCTCGCCGCCCGCCGCTCGGCCGTGGCGCATTGTCCTGCCTCCAACTCCGCAATTGGCTCGGGCCTGTGTCCCGTGCGTGATTTGCTCGATGAGGGAATCACTGTCGGCCTTGGGACGGATGTATCCGGCGGCTGGAGCCCGAGCGTTCTCGAGGCGGTGAGACAGGCATGTCTTGTCTCGCGGCTCGTTCCATTTGGAAACAGCAATGGCAGTGCGGCCGCTGGGCCAAGTAGGGGTGGAAAGGGGGCTGGTCGCGAGAAGATCGGCGTTGAAGAGGGCTTGTATTTGGCTACCCGTGGCGGGGCGGGGGTTGTCGGTTTACAGGATGTAATCGGTGGGTTTGAGGTGGGTATGTATTGGGATGCGCAGATGGTGGAAATTGGGGAGGCTGTTGACGACGACGGTGAGGGCGTTCGTGACGATATTTTCAATCGTGGGCGATACAACAGTAATGTGGATGTTTTTGGGTGGGAGTCGTGGGAGGAGAAGATTGCGAAGTGGGTTTGGAATGGAGATGATAGAAATGTTAAGGCTGTATGGGTTGCGGGAAGGTTGGTGCATGGGGAGTCTTGTTAGCAAATAGAGGAGGTCTCAAAGGACGGAGGACTGGCTTATAAATTAAGTAATGTATATCTTGAATTTCCGCTGCTACCGCTTCTTTTTGGCATTATTGCTTTGCATTTTATTTTGTTGCAAAAACTCAGTCCATCAAGCCTAACTTTTACGATGCTGAACAGGGCAATCCAATATTCACAGTACTATATCTATGCATTCCAGCAAGCGCATCGCGACAGCAACCAACGAGATACTAGGGTTGTAGATACTACCGTTAAGTTCATATTTGACTATCACATATTTAATGCTCTATAGACATTCAGATATTTGCCATTGAACCCGCTATACTCGATTCATTCTTATTGTGCTATCACTACAACCAGCACTGCAGCTCTTGTGAATCATTTCATACGTCACATTTACTTGCTACCGTTATAATTGCTGACAATATTGCAGACCGTTGCATTCAGTGGAAACTTGCAGGACTGTGTCTCCTGCCGCTACGAAGGGACAGCACAGAAGTCGGGGATATAACCTTTGACCAAATGCCTAAGACGCTTCTTATGAAGATAGTTTCTCTTTGCTGGCCTCCTGGAAGTTAACCATTTATGTTACATTATCCTGTACTATCCGTACATCTTATCTCAATAACAACTGTTGCTCTGTGAGTTCCTCTGCCTGGATAATCAACTGGGCGGACCCCAGCAAAACTAACCCCAGGAGAGATGGAGAACAAAAAGAAATTCCGGGTTCTCATAGTAGGTGGAGGAATTGCTGGCCTAGTCCTGGCCAATATGCTTCAGAAGCATGGTATTGACTTCCTCTTGCTCGAAGCGTATCCAGAGATCGCACCCCAGGTTGGTGCCAGCATCGGCTTCCAACCACATGGCCTTCGTATCTTAGACCAACTGGGCGTGTATCAGGAGCTCCGCAAGCAGGTCAGTGCCGTTGACCAGTTTGAAATGTGAAATGACAAGGGTGAGTTACTGGTCACCTTTCCTGATGCTGAGAACACCTTTGTCCAGCGGTGAGTTCTTCTTCCCCCTTGCCTCCCTTATCATGTATATAGCTTTGTCTAAATCTGTATGTTCTGTAGGCATGGGTATCCCCTCATATTTCTCGAACGCCAGTTGGCTTTAAACATACTCTACTCGCATCTCGATAAATCGAAGGTTTTGACTGGAAAGGCTGTCTGTAATGTTGCCCTCTTGCAAAATGGCGTCACTGTCACAACGAAAAATGGGGACCTGTACTCAGCGGATATCATCGTTGGATGCGAATGGCACCCACAGCACGGTTCGCCGGGAAATGGTGAGGCTAGCAAATGAAGTTCCTCCAGGACATTTCTCCGTTAGAGAATTCGATAGTGAGTAAATCTCATCCTCAATTCACTGACTGACACCCGACCGCACGCTGACCATTAGTTACTTACGAAAGATATGCGGTGTGACTATGGCTGCGTATTTGGCATATCCAAGGTTTCTTCCCCTCTGCCTATCGGCTCGTTCACTAGTGTGCTTCGACGCAACAATTCGTATGGAATTCTGGGCGGGCTCCATGGCCGTGTCTACTGGTTTCACTTTTTTAAGCTTCAGAATCGTGCTTACGGAGCAGGTATCCCCCGATTCAGCAAGGAGGATGAATCACGACATATCCAGGGGCACGAAAACGACATTCTCACTCCTAACCTGAAGTTCAAGGACCTCGTAAAGGGGAAGGTCACCTGTAATATGACTGCCCTTCCTGAATACATTGTTCAGCAGTGGCATCACAACCGCATCATAACGATCGGGGACTCGGCACATAAGGTTCGATAACCATAACCATATTTGGTTTTACATCTGCAAATAACTGCTGACGCTCGTGTAGTTTCACCCGATTGCTGGCCATGGCGGCAATTCAGCTCTTGAGTCTGGCGCCGCTCTAACCAATGTTTTGGTGCGAGCGCTCAATGAATCAATTTCTAATGAGTTGAGCACTTCTCAAATTTCAGACATCTTCCAGGAAGTCCAGGATCTCCGCCATAAGACAGTGAAGAGGTTAATTGCAGTGTCCCACAGCCAGCAGCGGCTGCAATCATTGGAAACTCCTTTTCTCAGGTTTGTCGCATTATACGTACTCCCGCGAGTTCATAAAGATCGCGTCATCAACAACAGCTCTGAGTCTTGTCCACCGGCGCAAAGGTTGGAGAATGTCGAACTCCCTCCTCACATTACCCTTGTCCCATATGACTCCGACCTGCTTAGCCCCCCTTGCTGTAGAGGTTGGTACAGCTGGGTGTTGGCTTCATTTTTCTTGGCCCTTTCTGCTGTTCAATTTTGGGCGATGGATATCTGGGCTGTGTTAGCAAGGGCACCAGGTTTATTCGAGAAGGCGAACATAGCTCCATTCACCGGTATTGAATTTCTCGATAAGATTTTGATTATTTCCCTTCCACAGTACGCAACATGGAACATGGAAGTCACACCTTGCTTTACCATTGTCCAGATGTATTTGTACTTCTCACTTTTTCCCATAGTTGCCATATCCACAATTGAATCTTGCAGGAAACGCAACAGTTTGAACTTGTTGACATTGTGAGTTACCCTTGAGTCCTTCCGTTGGCCAAACACAACGAGATTAACACATTCAATAGCTTCAGTACAATTTTTTGGGTCATCATCTATCACGCCTTTGGCATCACCGTCGCCGCTCCCTTACATTGCGCAGCATATATTCTCATATCATCAAACGTGCATTACTGGTGGCCCGTCTCCCGCCAGGTCCCAACATCTTATGCGAAAACACTGGTCCCAGCTCTAGTTCTGGGCTACCTCCTGCCTCCACTCTTATTATTTAAGGGATATTCGGGCCACTGCATAGCCGAAGCTATCGCCCTAACCTTACATCGCGCCCCTATATACATACGTCAACACCCTTCTCATCGTCTTTTCAACAGTATACGCGATGTTCTACCCCGACGGCCACCGGACTCCACCCGCTGATAAGCCCATGCCGGACATTCCATGCCTAAATCGCGTCTACCTCTATTCATTTAGTGTTGCCGCCCTAGTCCATGTCCTCACCATCTCCACCGCGTTGTCACCTCGTTATCTAGATATATCCATCTCACACATTTTCACCCCACACAGCAGCAGCAGTTTACAATCTATACTCGTTGTGTTTGGAGATATCCGCATGCTCTGGCTTGCGGGTTTTTGGGTGTTCTGGATCGCGACGGCGGTATGGTGCATTCTGGCCGTGTGGGATATGAATCGAGTTGGCAGGGCACGAGTTAACCTAGGCGTGGCGGTTTTGGTGATTGCGATGGGAATTGCTGCCGTTGGACCTGGGGCAGTGACTGCAGCTGTATGGTATTGGCGGGAAGAGAACATGGCTAAGGTTTCCTTCAGGAAAGTAGAGGAGAATTCGAGGGCATAATAGCACCTTCTTCAAAAGTTAAATCTGTTTATGGACTTATATCCTCATGACATTTATACCTGGAGTTTTCATACTATCCATGGTGGGGTGCGGAGAAGTATTTTCTGAATTTGTGTTTCGCTTACATCTCCATTATGGATCCAGATTTGAAGAGATCAACATTTTATACTATATATTAAACTAAAATTTGTGGAATGACGGGCAGGTCAACTGATGTATTCCGCAAGCTGGGAGTCGCCTAAGGATATCCGAACACCGAACATTGTGTTAAAGGGCGTTGGGGAAACGGAACACGGCCGATAACATTGGCGTAAAGAAAGAAAAGGAAAAACGGAGGAAGTTTATTGGACCGGCTTGTCTGCAATTTGCTAGTTAAGTATTCCCCTCTGTTCATCATAAGATTCCAGCCAAAAACAAAATATTTATCTATACCTCAACACGCTACACTTTTCTATTCCGTTAGTCAAAATAATCGAGACGCATATTGATACGATATATGGTTATATATTTTCGGACTGCATAGGCAAAGCAGTCTGATATCTCCATGTCCCCTTTCCCACCTTGATTTGTACAGCGTGTGTATGTTTTCCTGTGTCGCAATAAACAAACACACACGTACATGTGGCATATATAGATGCACCATAATACAGTTACCCGGGGATGAGATGGATAATAGCTTATGAATGAAGGCTGAATAACGTACCTCGAAACCCTGGCCGCATAACCTCATAGACCAACTTGTCTGATATTTATGACACCTTCTCATCCATGAACACCGAAACGACTCATCAGTCTCGGATTTCACTCTCGGATGTTTCTGCCTTTCGTTCTTCGTTTCTTTTGTCGCGTCCCTTGGTTCGTCCGACGCACCAGGCGGTCGTCGTAGGTTTTGACATTTGAGCAATGCATATAGATAGAGAAGTAGATCAATAGCCTCCAACACGAAAACCACAATCTCGAACTTACCAACTTACCCTCAAACCAAAATCTCTTTTCCAGCGACGTTCTAAACGCCTTTCCGACCACCGTTTCCACCCCACTGCATAACCCTTGGGTACCTGCTGAGAAGCTCGACATCCCCTAATGCCCCCTTGCCATGGTTGCGGATAAACTGTGCGCTGCCATCGGTGATAGGTGAGTAATCCCATGACGTGAACTGCCCTTTCACCAAGGCCGAGTACACCAGGCGTCTGCGCCGCTGCGAATGCAGGACTTGCGACTGCAGCGCCTGGAAGTCCCAGCGTGAATGCGCTTCGGAGATGAATGCGGAGAGGAGGTTTCCGATGTCAGTTTGAGATGGGCTGGTGAGTGTGCTAGCAGAAGCAGCGGTTGGTGTCGGGGTCCGCGGGGGGGTCAGGATCTGTGTTGCATTGACCTTGTTGTTGGAGAAGACGGGGACGTTGGGAGTGAGAGTGCCTGGTGGCGGTGAGACGGAGGGCGTGGGTGGTGCTGTAAGGCCTGTCTGGAGCGGCTTCCCTTGTTGTGGTATTGTTGCTGTAGAGGTAAGATACTCGTTTCGTGTGAGATGGGGTCGAGTTGGTATTTCGACACCAGTCGCAAGATTGGTTAATTCCGCAGGGTCGCTCTCCACGTTATAGAGCATTGGAGGGTCTATGGGTGAGTATACGAACTTCCATGGTCCCCGCCGGATCATAACGACAGGCGCAAGAGTGCCTTCAGCCATGTATTCGCCGATGACAGTGTCTGTTTTCACGCCTGAAATAGCCTCGGGCGAGTTCTCGTCGAGGATGTAAGGCATTAACGAGACTCCATCGACAGGGAGATCGTTGTTCATTTCGCCACCTGTCATCGCTACAAAAGTAGGGAGTAAATCCATGGTGGAGACATTTTCCTTGACCCGCTTTGGCTTGTAGCGGCCCGGCGCATGGACAAACATTGGCACTCGAGCTGCATGTTCGTACCATACCATCTTATACCAGAGCCCGCGTTCACCAAGCATGTCACCATGGTCGCCTGTGAAAACGACGATGGTCTCATCAGCAAAATCGCATGCCTTCAGGGTCTCCATCAACTTTCCAACTTGCGCATCCACATACGAGCAGGCCGCAAAGTATGCTCGGCGTGCAGCTACAATGCGCTCTTCGGGGATTTCTTTGCCGAAGAGATCAATACACCTTAGAACCCGCTGGGAATGTGGGTCTTGCTTGTCGTGTGGCAGCGCTGAGGTTTTCGGAAGAGGGATTGCTACATCCTCGTAGAGGTCCCAATACTCCTTTGTCATGGCATATGGGTCATGGGGGTGGGTCATGGAAACCGTTAGGCAAAATGGTTGTTCACGCCGGTGGCGAGCGTGGTCATACAGGTACTGGGTGGACTTATGAATCACCTCATCATCGTAATCAAGCTGGTTGGTGCGGACGCAGGGTCCAGCTTCCATTACGGAAGACATGTCGTGGTACCAATCCGGGCGGACTTCCTGTATCCCGCGGTCTATTAGCATTATAATTAACATATCCTATATATATATATATATATTTCCTCCGATGCAAGCAATAAAACTCACAGGTTCATCCCAATTAACTGTCCATCCATAATCTCCTGGATATATGTCGCTCGTCAAACGTTGCTCATATCCATGCAACTGATCTGGGCCCGCGAAATGCATTTTCCCAGCGAGTGCAGTATGGTACCCTTGTCTGCGCAAATAATGTGCATAGGTAGGGGTATCTGCCGACAAGTCACTTGCATTATCATAGCCCCCGATCTTCGATGGTAACTGCCCGGTCACCATGGTGAAGCGGGACGGGGCGCAAAGGGGTGAATTGCAGTATGCAGATTCGAAGCAGACCCCTTCGCGGGAGAGACGATCAAGGTTTGGTGTCTTGATAGGAGAGTTTTTGTCATAGAGGGAAAGCAGTGGAGCTGCCATCTGGTCCGCCATAATATACAGAAGGTTGGGTTTCTTCCGATCAGCCATGATGAAAATTGGATGTCGTGTGCTCTTGACAGTGGTTGTGTTTTGAATACTACTAATGACGGAAAGAGAAGAGATGATCGAGCTAATGAATGAAAGCAAAGGATTCAAGTATTATAACAATTAAGCTAGGTACTGTTAGAACTGTGCTCTTTGTGAGTTGTGGAAAAATGAAGGGCGAAGAGCGATAGGGGCGGGAGAAAAGCTGTCCTTTATGAATCAGACCAGCGGCGCCCAATTACGACACACACAAGCGGGCTAGGAAACTTTTTCAATAATTCAATCCCGCCGGCGAAATTGTCCCACATACTTGGCTTGGCTATTATTCTGCGCTCTGCGGATCAGTAATTTGTTCCTAGATTGCGTGCTGACAGGCCTGGTTTGCGACAACACTGCGGACCATCCTCCAGAATCACATTTCCCATATTTGTTTCTGTTCTGACAAATTGAGCTTTCCCGGCCCTCGAATTAGTGATGTAACTGCGTTGCACTGATGGAAAAGTTGCGAAGCGGTTTCTGTTCCCACATGGTCCAGGCTGTGCCCGCATTTCGCATTTCGCCTCCCGTCAACCGTGCTTGATTCTTTAATCGGTTTCTCGGGGTTCAAAAGCCCATTCATTACCGGTCCATGGTTTTACCCGCGCTTCCTCATGTCACTAAGGTGGACCATGGGTCTACATGGACCATTCCACCCATTTTCAGACTAGGGTTTCGCGATACAGCCAAATCCACCAACAAAACGAGGTAGGAAAATGCTTAGCGCCAGCACTGAGATCAGAGCTTATCGGTCAGTGGATGAGGAGCCGGGAAAAAAGCAAAATGCCGCCACATCAAAGGGCGAGTTCAACTTTTTCTTAGCAGACCCGAGCTCCAAGGACCGGGATGTAATTAGGGTTAGGGCTAGGGCGGATCAAGGCTTGGCATGTATTTCAATACAGCCAGCACACAAAGATGGGTGGAGCAAATCGGTAATACCAATACAACCGCCATCGAACCTCCTTCTCTTTGAAGAGGTGTGGACCTGCGGATCTTATATCAACGTTTGCGACGCCTAGCCGACCCGCAGAAGACGGCTCCGAGTAGCAAATAGCTTAGCTTTGTGTGCCCGAGTCCAGTTCTCTTCTGCGGATACTTGTTCCAGATGAGTATATAGTTACTTACGATGTTTAGCGTATGTGGGGAGGGCAGCATCCAAAACATGTACTGACCAGCACATCTCGCCATAACCACAAGTCGCTGGCAGTCACATTCGCTTCCTATTACCTAATAGATTCTCTGGCTGATGCTATTTCTTCGAGTTCTCACGGAATGGTGGTCCTCCTGATGCGGCTGAGGAGTAACATCACATCAGTTGACATATGTTCAATTTCCCCTCAGTTGAAACCGTGAATTGATTCCGCTTTCAGTGTGAGGATCCGTTCCAATCATTTTGCAGAGATGAAAGATAGTTCGTTAGCCCAGTCAAGTCCTTTTGATGTAGTGGCTAGGTATGCTCTTACGACTGACGGCCACGCAGATTTCAGCAGTTGAGCTGCATGAAAGGGATACTCGGTCACGCATTATTGGAAACGGCCCACCAAACGCGTTTCCATCAGGCTTCAAAAGACCGGACTTATGAATACTAGTATTGTCTTACTCATAGTCGCACTCTGGTGTGTTGGAAATGGAGCTGGCTCGAATTCTTGGTTGTGTGACCATTTTGCTTGAAACACCGCTTCCCTTCGGGCTGGCCACCGACTGGCGAAGTTAACACATGTCCCACAATTGTTATTCGTGGTGTTCATAACGGGGGACCCCCAAGCCAAAAGTGTGTTTCGAAAAACGGCCAGTTTTGGAAATTTGCAACGTTTTGGTCCCGACGGCTTCCTGCACTCAATGATCAAAGCTGCCTCGAAAATTCCGGAAATCAATTTTGCCAGTATCAGGGTCACGAAAGCGCGTAGATCTCACCTGAAATACTGCATCTATTGCTAACGAAATTGGTGGATGCTGAATTGGTATGAATGAGATTAAATTTACCGTCCGGCACAGTTATCAACCATGCCCTTTTCGTCTGAATAGGAATCTGGAGTTACACCGATCTATACTATGAAACGAATGTGATTAAGTTCACAATGGCAATGGGGAAATCAAAATGTCAATTTGCCCATTCGCCATTTTCCCCTCTCTCCTGTCGGAGACCTAGGCATCATAGCGGAACATTCGCTTATACTGGATGGCAGGTTCCTGGAACCAGCTCCAATCGCAATTCAAGAAAATGCAACCAAGGCGTACGGTTGAAGATTGTTTTATCTTATCTTCAAACAGTTTACTCCAATTCCTGCTGATATCTCCGCTATGATGTCAATTAAATTTGATGAACCCAGATTATGAACTTCAGCCCGGATCCTCGAGAAATTCGATGTAGCCACCACGGTTGCAATGTTAATTCTGCAAATCTGTCTCTACTCAGCCTGTAAGGGCCATGGCCGCGTGTTCTGTATATGTTCTGCTCCGGCCCGGTGCCAGGAAGGGAATGGGAACGAATAATCGAAGAGTGGGTTACAGGGGCGGCAGATCACCCCCTACTTAGCACTGTATCTGAGACAGCGGCTCCAAATCCGGGTTACCAGACCACCTGCTGCCCAGTCCCTCAGTGTTCCTGTAATGTCATCTTTGTGTTGTCGCTTGCATCATTTACTTCCAGATATATTTCCATTCCACCAAAGCGTTATTTGGTGGATATTTTGCTAGGAAACCTGGGAAAACCTGGAGCACTGGGCCGCCTCTTCATAGAACAAACTGGTGAGGTGACCTTCTACTCACGTACTGTACAGTATCATATTTACCTGTTTAACTAAATACCCCAAGCAGGTTCACTGAGAATCCCCCTCTGCATGATGAGAATCAGTAAAAATATCCACGCTCCTTACGTTATTTAGAACGTGTGACTTCCCCCCGCGATATCCGCAGGGCCTATCAAATAGGCAATTGGAATTTAACAGAAGAGTCTTCGTTTGTTACTCGAGAGGGCCATAGACATGTTTGCATGCGGAGTACTTCCTCAACATCTAGCACGGTTTACAATAATCGATTTCGGCTCGTTTCCTGGAGGGATGTTTTTGATCTACGTTGGACGAATGAACGTTGTTTGTATTAGGATTATATAACTCAGAGATATAGTTACTGAATTGCACCTATTCTACTTATCTAGTTAAACTTCCAATTTTCCCCCTGGAAATTTCAAAGGCGCTCAATAGCTCATCAAAAAATAAACAAAAAAGAATGTAAGGTAGTTGGATATATTTAAATTAGTATCATGCAGGCTTTTCATAAACGGAAATCTCACGTTTTCGATTTTCGTCTTTCTATGTAAAATTTCTAATGTCTAGGCAGTCAAAATCTTGGTCTCCCCATCTTTCAGCCTTCCAGCACCAACAAGCCCCTTGACCATTTCACCATAAGTCGACTTGACAGCCGCTGCGTCTTTTCCTGCGGCCGCGAGTTTCGCAGCGAGCTCCGCAAGCTCCTCATTGCTAATTTTGCTAATAAGCACATCGATATCGTTCAGTACGCCATCCACTTGCGCCGCAGTGGCATCCCCACCCTCAGCAAAATAGTTCACATCCTTAACGCTGCCCTTAAGCACACGCTTGTTTTTCTTGGCAGCGTTCTTCGCGGCCTCCTTCGCCTTCTTGCCCTCCAACTTCTCGGCCTTGGCAGCTTCCTCGGCCTCCTTCTTCCGCTGCTCTTCCTCTAGCCGCGCTTTCTCCTTCTCCTCCGCTAGGCGCTTCGCCTCGGCCTCCTTCTCGAGCTTGCGCTTGTCCTTGTTTGCACGTTCCGCTTTGCGGAACTTCTTGATCCGTTCGTCAGCAGCAAGAGCGTCGTCTACTAGTCTGCGCAGCCGGGCGGTGTCCTCCGTCTTCTTCTTCCGGCGGGCGTTGGCGTTCTTGCGCTCGATGTGGCGTTTGTGATCGCGGTTCTCGTTGTCATCAGGGACGTCCTCGTCTTCATACTCGAACGACCTCCAGCTGTCGAAGTTGTACCAGAAGTTGTAGAATTCCTCGACCTCCTCCTTGGTACTGTTTTCGTCGCCAAGTTTGGGGACAGGTTGGATTTTGGAGAATCTAGCTTCCGATTCGAAGACCGGGGACCAGAGTTTGAAGAAATTGCCCTTCTTCTTGCCAGGAGGTGGTACGTTGGCGAGCTCGTCCACGGAGTCGAATTGCCGGCGCCTGACAGGGTCAAGGAGAATTTCGGTAGCTTTCTGGATGCACTTGAAGAAACTATCGTTCTCGTCGGCGTTACCCGATGCGGCCTTCTTGTCTGGATGATGGCGAAGCACCTTCTTACGGTGAGCGCGTTTAATCTGCTCGTCTGTGGCACGGTACCGGTGCTTGCTCAATCCGAGGACGGCGTAGTGATCTTGGCCCTATCGATATTGTTAGAACCAACTTTGTTGTGTGAACGGATTGAAAAGCCATCCACGTTGTAGATCATACCTTCCAATCCTTAGCATCCCTCTGAAGCATAATGGGATCCTCAGGCTCACTGATCTCGTCGGCTTCATCTTCTTCGATCTTCTTCACACTTTCCTGGGCCTGGATTCTGTCATCCTCAGAGAATGTCCGTTGATGGCGCTTCTGTCAAGGGGAGATTTCCAGTTAGTTCACCGCAAATCGTAGTAAGATATAAAGGAAGAGACGTAAAATATTTAAATAACCAATGGACGTACTCTGCGGGCATGGGCTAAAAAGTGAGGTCCAACAGGTTCTACGTTCCGCTGGGTAGCGTTGGATAGTGAACTGATGATTTTCAAGTCTTTCTCTGCACTCCACCCCTCTGGTAGAGTGGGAAGAGGCAAATGCACAATTTCAGCAGCAGCCATCCCGTGTCGGCTTCTGGTTATATATATTGATCTAGAGTATGTATATAGCAATTAGAGGGAAGTCCCAGAATCAAAGCGAATGATAAAGAAAGTGGATGCTGGAAAATATGATAATTTTTTCTCTAAATAGCTAAGCCTGTTTGGGACACTTCGCCGCAAACTTGGGCGTTACTTTTCAGAGAGATTAATATATTTACGTGGGCTTTGGTAGATTGGATATCGTGAACATATATGTATTCATTTTGAATGATACTCAGGCTTTTTGGCCTCAATCGGATCATGATTTGTATCAACTAGGTCTTGATCATTTCTCACGCTTCATTGAATTAACGCCCTGTCTCAGCAAGCTATAACGATATTCCTCCATCTCGCCTTTGAGTCTCCTCCCCAAAAGCCCTGCCGCAATTACATACCATATCCCATCTTTCACGGCCTGAACCAAACAGATATAACCCCCAATTATGGCCGCGACAACTGCCCCTAATCCTCTAGCCGCCTACCGCTTCCTCCTCCGCGCAACCCGCATTGCCTTCCAAGGTAAGATAAGCTCCCACATATCGATATCTATAGATATAAAGCTACGACCTAGCTCCAACTGACATTTAGACCTCCTCCATAGGTGATTTCACAACCCTCCATGCTGCCCGTGCTGAAGCGCGCAAACAGTTCGACCAACACCGCCAGCAGGGTGTGGATACCCCTATGCGCATCCAGCATGCAATGGAGACGGCGGAGATATTGAGGACGAATGTTGTACAGGGGGTTAAAATTTCCGGTGACGGGGAGGAGGCGGATCGATATGGTAGGTTATATTTTGTCTTTTCTTTTCTCATTTTCGGGTGCTGCGGTGTGCTAGCTAGTATCCTTGTCATGAGAAGATTTCGGGGCGAGTACGAAGGCGAAGATGAACGAAGAGAGAAGGAGAGGGAGGCAAGGGGGGGGTGTGGTCAGCAATATGCTAATGTAATGTATCGGCTTGAACAGAATTACGAATCCACGAACACATCGAGCGCGGGGACAATGATTCCATTAAGACGGCGGGAAAGAATGAGAGGGTTAAGGTTGCGGTTGGGAAGGCGTGTTCGAACACGCAGTAATCAGAGTAACTGATAAAAAGACATATATAAGTTATACGGGACAATGTTTGTCGAGGAGGAATTTTACGAGTTCCCGACGTATATCCATACCGCGCATGGCCTATGATGGCATGTAAGGTGGTTCTTGAAACGTGGTATAGGCCACTTCACTTTGATATACGGTATCCGAACTGAATAGTGAAACGGAGTTGATGGGCGGGCGGAGTCTTTGTACACTAGTTTTTGAGAGGGTATCCATTGGAGCAACAGTAACGATGTGTAAGATGTGTTATGAAAGACAGGGTAAAAGCTGCTTGTATATAATTTACACAAAAAAGTGTCAAAATGGCGCATGATCCCGGAAAGGGAGGGGAATAGTTGCCACACGCCAAATAGCCCAAAATAAGGCTTTCAGAATAATATCAATCACCCGCCAAACTGGCATACTGCACCTCCCCACTCCCCGGCGGCGGCGCGACGACAAACGATGGCTGGTGCTGTTCTTCTTGCCCAGTCGCCCCCGCACTCCCTCCAAGAGCAGCTTCATTAGTGGTTCTCCCTGCACCTCCTGCGCCTTGATTCTTTCTAGGGACCACCGCCCGTCCCTGCCGTGCATACTGCATTCTCTCCTCCCTTTCCATATTATCCAACGGTCGCGGTTTACCCCACTGCACACGCAAGGGGCAGCCCTGTATCACGGCTTTGCCTTGACAATGGTTTGCAGCTTTCTCCGCCGCCTCTCGCGACGCGTAATTGATAAAAGCGCAGTGTGAGCGGTGGGAGCAGATGAGGGAGCGCAGGGTGCCGAATTCGGTGAAGAATGTGCGAAGGGCGTGTTCGGGGAGATCGTCTTCGACACCGGTGATGAAAAGAGAGGTTATGTTCGGATCATCGGGGGGAAGGATGTCTTGGGGTCCTGGAGGGAGTTGGGCGACGCTGGGAAAACCTCGTCCACCACCACGACCACGCCCGCCCCGCATCCCTCCTCCTCTTCCGCGACCATGAGGCCCGCCACGCCTAATATCGCTACTTCGAATGGGCCCCGGGGTAGATCCTCCGGTGTTCGGTCCCGGTCCGTATCCTATTTGCCTTTGTCCTGAGCTTCCATCTTCTTGCAGATCTTCGTTCTCTCTGTTCCTGGTGTTGGTGTTATCCATCCTTCGTTGACGCTTGTAGTATGGTTCACTATTCGCCAGCCTCCGCAGCAGGTCTCTAGCCTTCTCATCAGTCTTTGCGTATTCCTCCACCGCCCCTCTCCCTTCCTCAATCTCCTTCTCATGTTCCTGTGCGTAGTATTCTCTGTTTATCGAGCTCTGCGGACCTGGCGCCACCATCTTTAAGGCCGCATCCCGAACAACGATAGGCAGGCCGAAGGACAGATCCAGCATGCAACACTGACAACAGTTCTTCAGCCGAGCGCATGTCAGGCAGATATTTGTCCGTTTTGTGCGTGCTGTGCGATCTGGTTTCCATTGGAACATGGTCATTGGGCGGGTGCATATTTTACACTCAGCGGCATAGTCTTCCTTGAGCATTTGGACGTAAGGGTTGTCGGGAAGACATGATTCGCAGACGGAGGGGAAATCTGTTGTCTCCCAGCCAGAGCGGTTGATATCTTGTTTTATCTGAGGAGGGGGCATTGTAAGGGTCTCCTGTAATTATTTTGCCTTGATGATGGTGACGCTTCTGCTGGAAAGGATTTTGATAACATCGAATTGGGACGATCTTGGCGCGATCACATGTGAGGCTGAGTGAATGATGACTAATTATCGGAAGGTATCAACTTTGATCCGGATAGCACATTTTCTGTGGCCCTTGGCTTGCGCAAACACCCCGCAGCCCATCTTATCGAGCGATTTGCTCTGATTTTCAGTCTTCTAACTAACTCATAATCCCATGTCGAAGGTATTAGGCCACTAGGGCAAAAGAGCTCAATCACCACCAGCGCCATGGTGGTATAGAGGGTACGAATCACCCAATCCAATCCCCCCTACAGAAGGTTGTATATAAAAGTACGTCAGCATGCCTCGGCTGAAAATATTGCCAAGAAGATGCATTGGATGAATAATCTCACTCTGATTGGCTAATTCAGCTGTGGCGTCATCTTTTCCGGGCCAGATCCGGTAAGTTATCCATAAAGGGGCTGAAGGAGATCCACTTCCTGAGGCTGCAGAATATCCCGCATTCCTATTGGCCAGAGACAATCTACTAATCTACATGTGACACACTAATCCACTTTCGACCTAGTGCATACCCCTTGTTTTCTGTTCCTCCGAATATTTTCTGGAACTTGGATTGATATTTCAAACGTCCCACAACCCAACATTCTCATCAAGTCAACCGGTTCCTGTAGCGCAAAATCCTCTCGTATGCGTAGAAGCAGTACGGTTTAAGTGTTCGAGATACCATTGAATGTATTTGTCGTTCATTTCTTCTTAATTGGCTTCTCCCAAGTCCCGCCTCTTCCCGCCACACACCTTCCCCCTTTTACCTCTCTGCTCATTCCCGTGACATATATCAAGCGAAATGGCCCCGTCGACTCTTGAGGTTGAGGACCACCAGCGCGATGCTGCTTTCAACAAGGCTCTCCATGGGTCGTCAGCGAAGAGACGTGGTGGCCTAGCCGCCATGAGTGCCAAGGACCAAAAGGCACAAAGAGCTGCGGTAGACGAGTATTTCAAGCACTGGGACAAGAAACCGTCCACAGAGGAAACGGACGAAATCAGAGAGGTTAGTTTGGAAATAAATTTTTCTTGGGAAATCCTTCTAATATGTCATTCTAGGCACGTAGAGTAGAATACGCAACTCTTACGCGACAGTAAGCACCTCCGTCTGTCCATGCTGAGTGAGCCCGTGGCAAACACAGAACAGGAGCCCAAATTAGAAGAGAAGATGAAAAAGAAAGAGAGAAATAACGAGATCATGCGATGCGATTGTTCATTGGACTAACGTGTAACCGCTCCAATTTAGTTACTACAACCTTGCTACTGATTTCTACGAGTATGGCTGGGGCTCATCATTCCATTTCTGCCGGTTCGCATATGGAGAGCCCTTCCGTCAGGCCATCGCCAGACACGAACATTACCTCGCCCACCAGATCGGACTGAAGGAGGACCAGCTTGTTCTTGATGTAGGCTGTGGTGTTGGTGGTCCCGCTAGAGAAATGGTCAAGTTCGCCGGTGTCAATATCGTTGGCCTGAATAACAACGACTACCAAATTGATCGCGCCACCCACTATGCTGCTAAGGAAGGTTTGTCACATAAACTTCGTTTCACGAAGGGAGATTTCATGCAAATGTCCTTCGAGCCGGAAACATTTGATGCCGCCTATGCCATCGAAGCCACCGTCCACGCCCCCTCCCTCGAGGGCGCCTACAGCGAAATCTACCGTGTCTTGAAGCCAGGTGGTACCTTCGGTGTCTATGAATGGGTCATGACGGAAAACTACGATAACGACAACCCGGAGCACCGCGAGATCCGCCTTGGGATCGAGCAAGGTGACGGAATCTCCAACATGGTCAAGGCTGAAGTTGCCCTAGCAGCCATCAAGGCGGTCGGATTTGAACTGTTGCATGCGGAAGACCTTGCTGATCGGCCCGATGAGATCCCCTGGTACTACCCGCTGGCAGGATCGTGGAAACATATGACCTCGATGGGAGATTTCTTCACGATTCTCCGTATGACCTGGTGGGGTCGTGCGATCGTGCACCGTTTTGTAGGTGGGCTTGAGAAAATTGGCATTATGCCTCACGGCGCTCAGAAGACCGGTGACAGCCTGGCGTATGCCGCTGACTGCCTTGTCAAAGGTGGTGAAATGAAATTGTTCACGCCTATGTTTTTGATGGTTGGCCGCAAGCCTGAAAATAAACGGTAAACGGCTCTTTTATTCTATCTGAAGGGAATTGAGAAATGCGGAGTAATGTGCGTTTTGTGGAGTGATACTTTATTAACTTTTTTTGTTTTGACTTTTCTTTTATGTCTTCCTCGTCCCTAATTCTCCCCCTTATTATTTCTATAGAGCTACTCATGTTCCTCATACTTACCCATTACTGGTGGATGCACCCTTCCTGTGTCCATTATTTCTGACTTTTCGCACAAAATTTATTCTGTATCATGGGCTTCCCTTGCGGGATTCTACTCTTGTTGTATTCTGGTATCGCTCTTCACACTATCTTTTTCTTTGAAGCGTCATTTATATATTTTAATAGGACTGTACTACACTACTGCGGACCTCTTCTAAACCATATCCATGCGAAAGTTTCCAGAGAGATTTTCCTTTAAGAATTATATATACCTTTTCTTAGACCTGTATACTTCACTCGAAACAGTTTCAACGTTGATGGCAGGACAACCGTCGCAAACAGGATATCCAAATTATTAACACTACTAGACACTGACAATATAGATTGCGATACCAAGTTATTTCCAACTAATTTTATCAACCTATCTACCATGTCCAAAATACTCTTCCGAAGGCGGTTCCACGGTTTGCCTACCGGTTTGCCTACCGGACATCAAAATTCTGACCTTTGATCTTATATTTCTGTTTGTAGGCCAATGCCTCGCCATCCATCATACCATGTACATAACATTCACCGATTAATTCATAGCTAATAGGACCGCTCTCGTAACCTGACGTGCAGTTCTGACAACCACATTGACAACCGTTCTCCGAACACCCACAGCGATTCCGTTTATCCCCGCTTCTCTCGCGAAGCAAGACAGGAACATTGCATCCATATAAAATGCATACCTTGTCCCCCTTCTTGGCGCACATGGGGACAAGACACAGAGATTCTTGCACTGGAATGCTGGATAGAACTGCAAGCCTTCGTGACCAAACTGTACATTGTACTCGCTCTAGATACTGCTGGACAAACTTCGGACACTCATAGGCGACCGCTTCTTTAATATCGAGATCTCCTCCTGACGTTCTGAGGCTAAAGGCGTCGTGACACGCTTTTCGCCAGTGGCGTGGTGGTTTGTGGCTTGTGAAATCCCGATTCCCAACCAATGTCCTCCAGAAGGTCTCCGGGGGCGGCGAGGATGTGTTCTCCCAACCGACAATTTTGTTCCAGTCGGATGGAATGACGCCAGCGCGTGCCGCTGATGCCTTTTTACGTATCGTGTCTAGGACAAAGCCTTGGATGTTGAGACTTTCATTGACTTCGGGGTCGAATTTCCAGTCGGCCGGAATACTATGCGCAGCCCTGTATAGATTTGGGCTCGGCCAGGGTTTACCCACTAAAGGGTCAGCGTTGACTCGACGATAAACTCCGTGCCTTTCCGTTGCAAAGGGATTGTCTGAGACTGGCCGCATCCAGGAGGGCAGGTTCAGGCCGGAAGGCGCCCAAGGTCGGCACAGCATGTCCAGTGAGCGTGACTCCGTGAATATAAATTTCAGAACGTCCTTACAAACTTCCAGGACACTTTTGTTATAATCCACTGGGATTCTATTTTTGCGTCGCCTCGCACGGAGTGTTCTTACAATTTTAATAGCTAAGCCTTCTTTCGGCTCTACGGAGTCTGCTCTTGAACTTCGGTCCGATTCCCCCCTTGGGCTTTGGTTCGAATCAACGGATCCTTGGGTGGATGGAATGTCTAGATGGATAGCAGGAGGGCCAAGGCTCTTTTCGGGCGGCGCGGGGAGTTGAGGTGGCGTCGTATGTTCGCCCGCGTGTCCATTGACGGAGGTAGTTATCACTGCTGGTTCGCTCACAATGTCAGGGCTGACAAAAATCTGCGGAACCGGGTGGTTCTGGTCCATACTGTGAAGTCGCTTGAAGCCCATGCTATTATTATACGTACCATCCGAATGGGCTCTTTTCCGCCTTTCCGGGGATCCAAATTGCAGATAAGCGCTAGGTAACACATCGGAATTATTTGTTGGTGATGTCGGATACTCCGTGAATCCAGAGAGCCCTGAGAATATGCTCTGATCATCTGGAGGTATGACTTCACCTCCACGCCTGAAACCCGGGCGTGCATCACGAGCTAACCATAATACTGCATAGAGAACATCTCGAGGATCTGATGCCTCGAAGGCAGAGAGGGTTGACATGAGTTCTTCGAGGGAAAGGAGTCGCTCGAGTATCTGTCCCTTCTCCGACTTCCGGAACATATTGTCTGAAGTATCGATCAATCGGGCAGCTGCCGATTGACTCACATCTCCAAGATAATCCGGATGATTACAGTACTCACTTGACCTTCTCAAGAGTTGCCGAACGTTCTCCTTGCTGTGGACGAGAAGGGACACCGCGTTGGCGAATTCCTCCCACTCCACACATGCGCCTCCACAATACACGGTAGCTTTCTTCGCCAGGGCTATCTCCTGGATTATCCATCGCCGACTGAACCAGGGGCGCCTTATCAAGCCAGACAGCGCAACCCATTCCCTCAACAGCGACGGGTCTTCGACCGCTTTGTCGAATTCGTCGGGTTTTAAGCGACTCCGAATAAATTCCATCGCTCTGGTACTTTCATCTGCCTCCTCACCAAGCCAAACACGCACATTATCGGCAGCATCAAAGATTCGAAACATCATGCTCACTTGGATGCTTTTCTCCTCTTGGTTCGCCTGGTCGACACAGAGTGCATCGACCCACAGGTATCTATGCGAGTTCGGTTGCCGGAAACGCAACAATGCTGCTTTCAGATTTGGTCGTATTTCCATTGGATGTGATTCGCTACCTTGGAGAATTTTGATCTGGCAGTTCTGCCCCTTGGGACCCCAGGTGTAAGACAAGGCATCATAGGGCTCTGGGGTAGGTGCTCGGACACCATAACCAAAGCGATTAGGCTCCGGATCATCGTCGGAGGGGAGGGAACGCCGAAGCAGATCGCATTCAAGTTCAGCATTCGCTGCCCCCATATGGAGTCGTACCAGTCGAAATTCTTCTCGTCGTAAAGGTAGCTGCCTGCGGTAGTCGTACGATGCCATGGCTAATTGCGGCGAAATGTGCTCAAAACAAATTTTCTCTTTCAGTTTCTGCTAGAAGAGTAATCCTTCACATGGACCCAGGGTCATCATAAGCGTGACAACGGTTTGTCTCATTGAAAATAATGCGCCAGTATTGCGAATATAAGAGAGCACAGCCCGGACAGCGTCCTATGGGCTGATTTATGTTCAACCCATCGTCAACAGAGCCGCAACCCTGGAATATGAGGAACTTCTGCAACATGCGAGGCTGTTTCTGCAAGCTCCTGCACAGTATCGGAGACGCTAAAGGCGAATGGGTTCCCGTTGCTGGTGGCTTTTCAAGCCTCCGTTTTCTCTCCAACCATATTGCAGTATCTTATTCCTCGAATTTTGCCTGGGGCGTGGCGAAGTTCGCAAGCTTGACGAGGCGCCCGAACATCCAAGCCGTCACCAATCCAATCATGCAGCAAAGTTCCCCCGCCATCCAACCAACCATCCGGCTAACGAGTGTACAGCCAGCGAACGTATCTGCGGCTTCTTCGCAATTCATAACAGTGATAATTTTAATAAAGAGCCACAGATCGCCGTGGATGTCTGTAATGGATTGTATCTCAGACATGCTGTCTTTTATGTCCCAGAATTTGAAAATGTTCATCCCGCATCAGGTGCGTTAGGTCGACAGGGTTCTTTAAATAGCTCCCCCCACAAAACATCTCATTAATAGTTGCGATCAGGTCGAAATTTATTCCCGTTCTTGGAACTTTTTACCAGTTTCTGGAGTTTCACTAAACGCTGCAGGTCTTGTGGCCATCGCAGAAGTTTCCGTGCTCGCTAAACGGACCGCTCTAACTGGTACTTCAGCTCTTCTCGACATCCTTGTCCTCTGTCCCGGTATACATCGACAACAGTCGGCGCCCGAACTCAACAACGGCGAGCACCCAGCGGTCGCCGCCCTGACATCTGGATATGTCTTCCGCGTTGAAAATCCCGCGACGGTGCTCTTCCTGCAGAAGATGGGCGTCACTGGCCATCTCACATATCTAAGAGTTACTAGCACTTCAGCTTTGAAAACAAATGGCAAACTCGGACGGACATTGGACGCAGTGTTTCCAATACTTGCACTCTCCAGTATCTCAACCATCCCCTACCTCCTTGCCCCCATCGCGTCGCTAGCAGTCCTAGCAGTTTTAATTGTCGCGCGGGACTGGTGGGGCGTCTCTGCACTGGTCGCGTTAATTTTCGCTCGCTTCTGCAATGTACTCATCATCCGCCGACGAAGCACGATTGGCTGGAAAGGTGCCTCTGAGCCCGGTGTTCAGGGTGATCTGCTCATCCTGCTCAGCCAAGACCGCTGGATTAGACTTCAGGGGGCGGTAGATGATTTAAAGGCTGTGACGTCAGGTCAATGGCTACGAGACTGCTCCTTTATCGAAGACTCGATCACCGCATTCGCAACATTGCTTGTTTATACCGACGTCGCTCTTGTCAGCAACGTTAGCAAATCGGGACAGATTCTAATTCTCGCGCTTTTCGTCTTCTCGACAGCTTTGCTAGCCTGCGCGAACGCAATGACATCAGAACTCTACATGCATGGCAGGAGAATCTCGGCCATGGGGAAGTCTATAAAGTATGCTAGAAGATTGGACCTTGCTAATGAACTTATCCAAGAGACGAAACGGGAGGATTGGGCCCTGCGTCTGGGGATGATTGTCCGCCAGTCTCGAGAAGCGTCAACAAGCACAACCGATGGCGCTGTTTGTTTATGAATAATGTTCGGGGTAGGCTGGTAGGATGTCGGTCGAGGGTGGCTCTAGTTCAATCAAGGGCTACACCATGGCGAAACGCATTAGCACGAACTTTCACGAGCAATTCCTCGCACAGATTGGGGTTGGCTTTTTGCAAATGCGTTTGCTGCAAAATGATTTGAACTCCCAGGTGTTCTAATAAGTTTAATGTTTTGGCAAGATTACCCCTGTCTCCAGTCATCAGGATGAGTTAGAGCAGTATGAGAAATGTTGAACGGAACCGGAATTTGGTGATCATGATCTGGCCCTGTGGTTTTTTTGACCTTATGATACTACGAATGCACGATTTCACGATGTAACGCGCTCAATAATTAATATATCCGGATCCAGAGTACTGATATTCGAAGTATAAATTATATGCAGTGCTTCACTCTCTCCATCTTTTATCACACAGACGTATTCAAGGAAGATATGTTAGCGAATGTATGTTAGCTGAGTATGATCGGATGTGCCCAGAAACAATAGTGGCTATTTCTACATCGCCATGCTGGGTGCCATGGGAAAATCCTGGACCATGGTTCCAGACGCAGGCTCATTGGGCATGGCCCAAGGCTCTTCTCATTTGCTCGGATTTCATGTGGAACTCATTTGCCTGCATCGCTAGCTCCTACATCATCCCGCGCTGAAATCGGGAAATTGGACAGTACATTAGCTCTTGAAGGAAGGAATTGATCCCCGCCGCTGATTGACAGATGACGGGCGATGTACTACGCAGGATGCTGAAGCGAGCTGTCAAGTAGCATAGTAGTTCTGATTGATTGGTGGACTGGTTGACCAATTGTAACTGCTGGCCTGCTCGAATCCAACTGTTCATGTGGGCAGTGTTCATTTTGATGTGTATCGCGCTCTCTAATATCTCTCTGGCTCCCTCCGATTTCATGATTTCGGGCTCTCCTGGAACGTTGAAATATAGTTAATAGTCGCCACAAATACAAAAACGTATGCAAAGCAAAATACAACAAGAAACAGGCCCTCTTTTCATGAAACACGATTAGCAAGCCACTCTGCAACGTCCTCATCGAGGTCTGGTTCATACAGCCACCTTAATTGGCCGCCTTCTCCCGTGGTTGCTGAATCGTCAGCCCAGACTGAACCCGGTGGAAGCTTGGCTTGTTCTGCAGGAGGCAGACGCTTGGCATTCATCTTCTGGGTAAGATCCAGGATTTTATCGATCCGGCGCTGGCGGTATTGCTGCCAAAATTTCAAAGCCTCCCCAAGGGGGGTCTTTTGGGATAGATTTGAGAGCAATAAAGCTAGCATGTTCACATCTTCGAACGCTTGATTGACACCCTGACCGGCTGTGGGCGGGATTGCATGTGCAGCATCACCCAATACAATAACCCGATCAGTGGAGCTGGCCCACTTGCTGAACTTCGGGATCCCGTAGAATGGCCAGATACCCATGTTCTCAACAGGTGCATTTTCGAGTGCAGATTGGACAATGTCGGGCCAGTCGCCCTGATTCTCTCGCAGCAAGTCCAATAACCCTTGCTTGTCGGCTGCCAGAGCATCCCAACCATCCTTATCCTTCTCGGGAAAACGTCGCTGTGAACCAATTAGGAGCTGAGAGCCATCAATCTCTTGGGGGACCATCAAAAACGCGCCAGCTTTGGACAAAATGTGCGCAGGGAGATAGAAGTTCTCAGGAATGCGAAGGCTAGACCGGGGACAGACACTGCTAATAGCCATCATACCAGAATAAACCGGTTTGACTTCTGGAACAATATGGTTGCGGACAATTGAATGGATACCATCAGCACCAATCACTATAGATGAAGATTTGATCGATCCGTCGGCAAACTCAATCACGACCTCATCTTGCGAATCAAGGATGACTTTCGAGAATTGCTTGTTGAAATGCATTTGTGTCCCGTTTTCCCGAAGCATCAGCCTCATTTCATTAATGAGTAGCTGACGCATAATACGGAAACCTCTGTAGCCGTACAGCTTCTCGGAACCAAAATAGTAGAGATCTTTGATCACTCCATCACCATCGCTGAAAGCTAGGGTGTCAAAATGGAAACCCTTGTCGCGGACACGCGCGAACACATCTAATTTATCGAGGATTCGCAGCGCGTTCGGTGAAAGGGTTATCCCACCCCCGGCTTCGTAGGATTCGTCCCGCCCTTCATACACGGTGCACGGTATGTGAACTTTGTGTAACGCGAGCGCAAGGCTTAGGCCCTGTTGCAAAGAGTTGGTTATATTGTGCCCCTGGTTGGGAAGGATGGGTGACATTGCCATACCGAGAGACCACCGCCAACTATTGCAACATGTTGAGGAACCTCCATATCTGCCATGGCGGATGGCTGGATTATTTTTAATAGTAGGATAAATTTAAGCGGGGTTCAGTTTTTATTCATTTATTTGTTTACTTGTATTGTGACCCGGTTTGTCGGAACTGGATAAAGTCCGAATATTGACCCAAATACTGAATATCGATAGATAAATTGAATTTTTTATTCTAACTCCAATAATTACATGATAATCAGGCAGTATTTATAAGAAAGGGAATGCTTGAACATATGATAGGGGGCAGCGCTGATACACCGGAGCAGTGATCCGGTTTTAGGTAGCGAGATATACAAGATCCTTGCTAGTGCAATCAGCAGAATCCTTGATATGATATATCATTTCTGACACGGTTTCAATTGCTTCCCTGATTGAGCTTCCTTGGCGGCGTATGGGGGCGACAACTTGCCATGGTTTAGGGACTATACCCCTTAAAATGCTTAGAGCATACAAGCGCATTCATAACTAACTAACTAGTTAGTTAGAGCTGAACAATGGTTTGTCAGCTCGACTCCTTCTCTGGCCATCCTAGCATCCCTGGATGCTGTTCGGAGATAGTCGCATATGAAGAGTATGATTGGCAGCGGTTGACCAGGAATCAAATCTCTCGGGATTACACCCAACCAGTGCACTTGAACACATGAGTTTTGTGGCGGGGCACCGGTTGCCCAACAGCTAAAATGAGTTGATGGTGCTCATGTGGGATGCCCGTGAGCGAATATCTCGTTGATTCCAAAGATCCCGATATACATTGTACCAGAGGAGGCTGAATGGGTGTCGTTGAAGTTACCCAAAATGGACGGCATCCGCTTCCAACGACACAAAAAAAGAGAGAGTCGCTCTGGGGATTCCGACTCCCATTGCCTTTGCCGTTGCCAGTGCCAGTGCCATTGCTTGCGGGCCTTCTTTAAATTATATTCAGTGGTTAAGATCTCCCTCTTTGTGTACAGGCCACGAAGAAACCAGCCTCCTCCAACACCATCACGATGGATGGTGGACCCACATCCGTCTCCAGGGACGCGCCTCAGTGCTCGAGAACCCAGGTCATCTATCTAGGGATATGTGGCATTCCCGGTTCACCCTTTTATATGAATGACTCCTACACTTTCCGGTGTACAGTGGATTGCCCAAGTGCCCTCTGTAATCTTCCAGCCGGAGTGGCTGTCGATCATGATGCAGAAAGCCAGTTCGTCCAAAATGTGATATCTCTCTACAACCAGGAGATTTTCTCTGCGCGCGAGTGGAGATGCCAAATTTGTGGAAAACCTGCAAAAGAACTATACCATGCCATGGTACCATTTCTTAGCTCTGGCCGCGGATCATTGGCCTCATTTCAACCATTTATTGCCCTTCAGCCATCGGTGTGGGACTCTGTCATCCCGATTTGTGTTGCTGCTGGAATGTGTGATCGCAAAGCAGAGGAGGTAGCCAAGGGCTTCTTCACAAATGCACTTCCTGGAACCGTCCTGCACCCTGCATACTCCTGCGAGTGGTGTGGGATTGTCAAGAATACCAAGCGGTGTACTGGCTGTAAGAGAATTTGGTAAGCTGAGTTCGCCGTTGCCAAATTTCTTGTCTGTTTATCACTCTAGAGAAGAAAATTTTGGCTGAGGTGAATGCTGTGAAATGAAGGTATTGCTCAAAGGGATGCCAATCATTACACTGGCCATATCACAAGAGGAACTGTCGTCAGGCACAGAAAGAACGTGCCAAAAAGGAGAACAAAAAGTGCTTGTGAACATGCGGATGTCAGAATATCTTCACAGAAACACGGGAGAAAAGGGTGTGGGGGGAAGTCGAGTCATTTCAGCGAGATGTGAAGGTGTCCATGGAAGATTCAAGGTGGGCCAGGTTGAACTTTGTGAGAATGCAATAAACAGTTATATCTTTGTACTACTATCATTTTTTTAGAAAGAGTCTGTAGTTGAGACAGCACTTGTATGATACAGAGGTGGCTGCAAAAAGGATTTATGTATTATTTATTAGCTGTGGGTTATAACAGTCGTCGTCTGGTTTCCCGCCATGCCAACGGCTTTATTATCTTTATCATTAATTTCCTTCTGCTCTCTTTCATTCATAGTGTTGACCAAGGATCCAAGGGGATTATTTTCATAGCTGTTGGAAAACAAATGAGTTTTAGGTCCTGAGTCGTCTTCCTTTGGTGCCCTGCCTGTTCTTCTAGGATATCGGGACGTCCCGATCGTCCTCCCTTAAAACCATCGGGCATTATCTCCTCTCCCCTCATCGCAACATTCATTTTCTCGTATACAGCAGAAGAATTTAAACACGGGATGTGTGTTGACAGTTTCCCAAATAGGTGTATTTCTTTAATGCCACCCACACCCACACCCTTTGCTATTGGAACCCAGCGCGCAGGAATTGGGTATTTAACCTTTATGTAGCTATTAGTTATGCTAATTGCCAGAACATCCTTTCCTTTGGGTTCTCGTTATGCAACAGGTATATACTATACATTATCCAGCATCAAGAAACTCCTCATCAACTCCATTCCTCTATGCAATAATCAGGCACCACTAAAGTCCGAAATTTCCCCAGAGCAAAGGGATGTCTATCGGGGCTTCCTGGCCGTTTGGGGATGAAGTATTCTGTTGCACCATTGACAAAAACATTTCGGGTGTCAAAACAAAATCTTTCTGTCCTAAAGACTGCCATTGCTCTTGGATATCATCATCGATACTCTCCATAGTCCCCGAATCTAGCGGTGCCCATAAAGAAGGGGTATCGGATACCGCGCGGGAATCTGGATTCGGATTCGCTGGCTGCTTCACCCAAAATGCTCTGGCGAATAACTGAGTAGCTACCCGGGCCCCTGACGCAGCCATGTCACTGAACTCGGCCAGCATTTGAAGGCGATTAATGGCCAGCTCGGCCACTTGCATCGCCCGTTTACGGGACAATTTAACCTTCATTCCCAGAATGTCGGTGTTCTCGTCTCCTTGGTCAAATGGGAAATCTGCATGCGTGCAAAGACAGAGTAAAAGTACGGCAGCCTCGAAAGTGTTGAAGATGATAGCGCCAAAGCGCGTGTATGAGCCGCCAAACATTAAATGGAGGGCGGTCACGGCCTCAAGCTCTTTCAGTGCAGCGAGGCCAAGTCTTAGCTTTTGCGATTGCAGGAGTACGCGCTTGTAAGGCGGTAGACTTGCGACATCGTTAGGTTTGAGTAATAGAAGGGGTCGGAAATTCCAACAGACCGAGTCGAAAATAGAGATGTAGAAAAGCTGCCTTTGCATGGGTAGCTTTGGGAGAGCCTCGTCCCATGTCATATCTGGTTTGTCTATAGCGAAAGCTGCGTGGATGCTAGGGAGATATTCGGCGCAAAGTCTCTCGTATCTGTGCTCACTCTCTGTTGGATCGTACTTGGAGTTCTGCTTTAAATTTAGACTTCGACAGAATAGGGCCAGTTGAACTTCCATGAGCCGCTCGGTGAATATATTGGGAGCACTACCATCTATGTTTGATGGCGAATCGCCAATATCAGCGATTAAGCGCAACCGGGGTAATATCTCCACGACTGAATTGTCCGGCAAGAACGGAATCCTATCCAGCTGTCTGGCTAAATGGCTATTATTAAAAATCTGTCAGCCGGTCCGCTCAGTCATGAAGATCTTGAGGCATACCTGTCCAAAGCATAAAGGCTGCAGAAGGTCCTCCGTCGAACCTCTTTTTCTAGCTCTTGGGCACCATTTTCTTGTAATAAGGGGGGTGACCTTCTGCAATCAGTGGCCTCTCTGTGAATACCAGCTTTTTGAGCGGCTCGACTAGCAGAAGCCACCCCTTCCCAGAATGAAGCTGTCCCCCCTTCACACGATAGTTTTAGAGCAGCGAATAGAAGATGCTGCACACGGAACAGGGAACCTTTCCCGTCAAGCATGTTACAGGCTTTGGCAAGATTTTCTCCGATATCACAGCAAGTGTCGCGAATATCTTCCAGTGATCGGCCGTAGATCTGGTCGACAATGTGTGTGCGACGGCGACGGCAGGAACTGTGTCGCGTAGCAACAAATGCGAACAATGAGAGTTGCAAACTCGACATCAGACACTGTCATTGGATTATCCCGTTTTGCCCACCATTGCTGATAATCGGTTAAGAAGCTGGGAGCATGGATAACTAGCTTCATCCTAGACAGACCAAGAAAGAGGGAGGGATTAAAATTAGAATAAAATAGATCTGAGCAGTCTTTCCAAGAAGCTCGCCCTCATCAACCTTACCAATTCAACTCACTGACAAAGTACTGCACGAGGAAATCTACAATCTGGCGATCGGGCATACGCCCAACCTCATGTTGGATGGTACCCCATATAGACCGCGAAGAGGGATCGATTAGTTCCGTTTCATCCTCATCAGGCAATTCTAACTAAATAAGACATCGAATGAGCTTTCAAACATCAACCCTAACCTGGATAATAATAATACTCAATAAAAGATTTGAAAATAGAACTCAATTACATTCCGCAGCAAAGCCATCGTGTTGGAATTGCTGTCTTCGAAGTAACCAAACGACTTGGCTAGGGCAGAATGCCGACTGGACGAGCTGCCGTTAGATCCATGCTCATGCTCATATCGTGTTGGCACAGTCTTCGAGTGGCTTGCACCCTGGGGCAGTTTCTGGACTCGAGCCTCCCGTCCAGGTGCTGTCCCACCACTATAGATGCACCCTTCTGCCCGCCGGCGGCGGCTACAGTGGTTGCATGGATACTGGCGGTTACACTAGAAGGAATCGATCAGCGCCCGCTCGTCTGCGACCATAGGGTGTCGTCTTTGAAACATACTTTTTGCTTTCGCGTGTAACAGGGGTAACAGGCTTGAATGCGACGCTTTCGTTCCTGTTGCATGGTGAGACGGGTGGATGGAGTAGATTGATGGTAGGGAAACGAGAATGTTTGATGACCTGCTAGAAACCAAAACCGACGCCAATGATCAGACGGATCAGGCTTGGGAGAAAAACGCTAGGATTTGCTAGCTGGCTGACATCGAGGTGATGAAGCTAGGTTTGTCATGCTGGTTGTTTCTTATTGCCTATCTCCGCTTCAGCTCTATCTTAGATCCCAACGTAGATGGCGATTTTACATAGCATTTTATCATAACTAATTATTGCAACATATTAGCATTATTTACAGTTACTTGATCCACACTCTATAGGTTTCTTTTTTTTCTATTGTCTTTAGCTCCGATCTAGTTCATTCCATAGTATGGGACAAATCAAAACTGCTGCACAATCTAGGAACCGCCAGTTTCTCAGAACGTCCTTCCGCCCGATTGTGGCCCGAGTCCACACATAAAAAACTATTTTATGCTTTACATCCACCCTCCTAACCCTTCCAACCGCATCTATCTAAATAGTCTTTCCCGCTTCAAGATTAAAGAGGCAATGGTACCTAGCGCTCCGGCGACAAGCGGAATAATGAAGGCTCGTGCCATCGCAGAGGTGATGGCACCAATTGCCCCCGTCCGTAGCTCACTATTCAGTCTGCCAAATAATGTGCTCTGAGCGCCCGCAACAATGCCATGAATATCTTCCTGACTGAACCCCTGATCGGCCAAAACACGATTTAGATTGCGGACAGCAGTTGACTGAAAAACCTGGTTGGCAAGAACAATGCTCAGGACTGTGGCGCCGATCTGCGCAACATTCTGCAGGTTGATGGCACTGAGTGAGTCAGTTGGTGCTACTTTTAAGCTACTGACAGAGTATCCCAGCTGAATGGTGATTCCAGTTCCAACTCCCATCAGAATACTGAAGCCATAGATCTGTGGGGTGGGTGTTGACGGTGAAAGGTAAGCCACGAACATCGCACTGGATATAGTCATCAAGATGCCTGACACTAGACACATTGGCATATAGTATTTGACCCGAGGGAGGGCCCACCCTGTCGTCAGGTTGACAATAATGGTGAACACAAGATAGGGAAGCAGTCGAACCGCAGCCATGAGAGAAGTATCATTCCGTGTGAACTGGAAGTAGATGGGGATGTAGAACATGGTGAAGAACATGCAGGTATTGGCGCAGGTGGTAATGACATAGAACAACACTTGAGTTCGCGACCTGAACAGATGGCAGGGGAATGATCGCGTCTCAGGTGTTGTGAAAATGCAAAAACCCTGTTGCAGCGCATAAAGACCAAGGAGGACACCCCAAACCACAACCATTGCGATAGCACGACCATCGCTCCACGGCCAGAGACCACCGGCGAAGATAAACCCAATAGCGAAAGTCGCCCACATTCCTGCGCTCAGAATAAACCCAACATAGTCCAAACTTTTCAATCGCTCTCCGAGCGGTTTCCCAGAAGCCGGGTGAACGGGTGGAAGGTAAAACAGGTAGACAGGGCCTGTGACTGCACCAATGATGAGGTTGATATAGAATCCCCATCTCCAAGTCGCAGCGGAGTCCGAGAACCCACCTCCAACTACCGGTCCTAGAATCGCCCCAAACCCCCAAACAAAACCAATCCCAGAAATATACACTGCACGCTCATGTCGAGTTGTCATGGCAGAGAAGTAGTTTAGGCCTCCCAGATAAATACCTGTCCCTCCAGCTCCAGCAATCACACGCCCAATGATTAAAACTTGCATGCTCGGTGCACCGCCGCAGAGAGCGGAACCTGCCTGAAACAACACAATCCCTACAATATAGAGCCATTTCATGTTGAAGGAGGTGAATAGGAAGCCGTAGGGAAGGATGACAGCGACCGATCCAAGAGGGAATCCGGCGCCGATCCAAGCAAGCTGTTCGACCTCGTGGAAACTGCGAATGACTGCCCCCTGCACGTCTGCAGCGATGGTCGTGTCGAGTCCATACATCAAGGCCGACAGATAAAGAGCAGCACAGATCAGAGACCAGCGAAACCCGGTGATTTTGCGAGCATCGTCATCTGTGGGTGTGTCTGTACTGGTCAACGTATCTTTTTCGTCATTTGCGGGTTGAGTGCGGTGATCTTCAATTTCTTGGGGGGGCCTATGATTCTCGAGAGTCTGGGACTTTGTGGTATCTGCGTTGGCGCTTTCGCTCATGCTCGAGGCGGAAAGGGAGGACTTTGCGAAGGCCATGTGAGTGTATTGATAGACTGGTTGTCGACAATGGGATACTCCTATATACCAAGTGCGCGTATATGCTCGCAGCAATAATAATGACACTCATTTTTTTTTTTTTTTTTTTTTTTTTTTTCAGGAGTTCCAAGAGTTGCAATGCGCAGGATAGCAGTAATATATAGTAACATATCCTCCCATGGAAGCTCACTAACACTTTGATAGAATTGAAATATGGAGATCAACATCGTCTACCGGCTATTCGGAACAAATAGCCGGTCAAATCAGTATGCAAATCCATGGAGATATGTATATATGTACAGTTCATACATATGTATAAGAATTGAATGGACATCATTGCCCGTTCGGCGTACTGGGGCTCGCCCGACAATCGTCGGCCGAAGATCTCCAGACCCTCCCCGAAGCCGATTTCATTTTGCGAAGACAGGCCCTTGATGAATCAGAACCAGGACTAAACGAGGCTCAGTCAAGAGAGCTAGCTCTCGAAGTCCGCGGATCTGACGTGTAGTCTACTTCGTCACGGCCTTGTTGAAGTAGGTTGAAATTGATGCGGTTTGAAAGTTCAAGAGGTTGAGCTAGATAAGGCTGGCGCTAGCATGAATGAAGCTAGGTTGGTAACTTATGCTTCCTGTTCCAATTTACTGCGAACAAAGTTACATACTGAACACCCTCACCCGACCAAAATCATCAACAATTAGCATGCCTTCCACGCTCGACTCTTCTCCCTCTCCACATATTCCTTCCAGCTCGTCGGCTTCTGCTCCAAAATCGCAAGACTCTCACCCAAGCTGGCCCCGCCATAGTACCCCGGACCCTCCAGCAGCTGGTGGTTTTCCAAAAACTCCTGCGCGGCGAAAGGTGGCATGAAAGACTTATATTGCTCAGGGGTAATCTGGACCTCCTTGGCGGGATATCCCGTCACTTCTGTGAATTCTGAGACAATGCGGCCTGGGGTGTAGTAGTCTGTTGCTTCGTAGATGTCTTTGCCGAGGGTTTCAGGGAATTTCTTCATTGCAGCCGTTACATATTTGCCTAGGTTTGGTGTTAGTTCCGATGTGGTCTTATATATGGTCGGTTTTTTTCTCTCTTTTCGTTTTACTGTTTTCCTTTCCTCTTTTTATGATGATAAAAATAATAAATAATAAACGTAACTCACCAGTATCACCAGCAGCATCGAACAGTGGAAACTGCGCGTTCTCACTAACTGGCAAACTCAACGTAAACACCCCATCCTCCCCCTTCTGTAACATCTTCTCAAAATTACTCATAAAGTACCCCGGCAACACAAAGGTGGCCGGCAACCCAATGCTCCTAACATACTTCTCAACATTCGCCTTGCTGTCAAAGTGGCCCAAATTCGGCAAGCGGCCCTGAGTAACATCGGTGACATTGACAAGTGACGAGAAGATGAAATGAGAAACCCCAGCAGATTTGGCGGCATCAGCAACATTTTTGCCCTGGGAATATTCAACCTCTGGCTTGGCGGATTCCCAGAAGTTGGTGACGAGGAAGACAGTGTGAGCGTCGGCGAGCGCAGGGGCGAGGGAGGAGAGGGAGCTCATGTCTGCCTGGAGTTAGGGTTTTTTGTGTCAGATCAGATTTTCCTAAAATAGGAGACTGACTTCAGAGCAGAATAATAGATATGATAGAGAAATGTGGGAGGTGAAAATTGATATCTGTAGAGCTTCCTTAAAAACATACACTCATGATCTCAACCCCCTGGTTAGCCAACTCCTGGGCGGATGGCTTGGACGGATCGCGGGTGATGCCCCGAATTTTGAACTCCTTGGATAGAGTGGGATGGGCGAGGACGGCTTTGATAACGGAGCCACCCTGATTGCCTGTGGCCCCAAACACGGTGATGAGCTTCGACATTGCGTGGACAAGCTACAGAGGGATATTTGTTGGATTGAAATTGGAGAAGGGGTGCCGCTGTTAGCCTTCTGGTCTGATGATTTTGAAAGAATGGGGCTTGCTGGTACTGCTTCGGACTGATTCTATTCAATTGCGGTTTTAGGATTGATTAGAGAACTTGATCCGAGGGGGAATTTGGCGGCTATATATATATGCGTATTTCATATTCTTAGTTGTGGCATTCGCAGCAAGCTCTCAGCCTAAATCCCAGGTTGAGGCACATTTACACCCTTTGGCTGTCTAACAGTTACATCATCGCCCCGTCGTAGGGCCAGGCTTGATTAACTTTGCGGCCGAAATCCTGCTTGTTTGGTGGTTGCATGGAATATTGTAATCCAATAACAATAGAGGCTGCTGAAGAATACGAACCATACTGAGCCACTGACTGCACTTCAAGCGTCGGACGGAAGTGTCTTGCACAAGGGCCAATATAGGTCAGCGGATTGTCCCGGGATGCATGCCCCATCCTGGCATTGATTGTGAAGCATTCTGCAATGGTGGAGGAATAATGATAAATAATCTAGCGATGGCCGAAGGCCGAAGGAAGGCCGAGGCCGACTTGGCAGCATCGGGCCAAGCCTGGATAGATCATGCAAGCATTAAAGCATCTTGTTTTCTTCCGCAATGTTGAAATCAGCCAACTATCACACCTCATAATACCGGTAAAACTTTGTCAGCATTCAATGGAAGAATTTAGCAGCTGGTTTTCTGGGAGGCATTTTGTGTTTAGGAAAGCCTGCCACAATATCACGGGCTCCGGTTTCCCGTCGATTTGGTCTATGATCTAAGAGAGCAGTGTGATAAGATCGCGAAAGAACAAAGTGCAGGCATGCGAGGCTATCACCCTCATGGTTCATCAGTTTATCCTTACATCAGTGGTATCTTTCGACGAAACCCCGCTGGCTGCCTCCCAGTGTGACATCGCGGTAGAATTCATATGATATATCAAGTCTCACCTGAACACGATCAAATGTTACCTACCTGCCTATGCCGCAGGATGGTTTGGTATTCTTCAATAACTATATATTTTCTCATAGAGTTGGCGGTACCTTTCAATGATATTATTTTTGCGGCGCTTCGTCCTACAGGGCCTGCTGCGTTTCGTGGAACTGATTGCCTGGGCATAAATGATGAGCTTCATGTATGGAAGCATCACTGATGGGGGAAATATTTGGAGATATTGATGTCATGAGCATCTGGTTCTCTGCTCCACCAGGCCCCTATCGCTTCTCCCCCTCCCATACCTAGTATCCCGTGTCAAGTCTCCATATTTAAACCCCTTCAAACCACTTATGCGCCAACGCCTCGCGAGCTGTGATCCTCTTTGCTGGATCGAAATTTGTAATGGAGCAAATGAGACTTTTAAAAATCTTCATCAGCTCCCTTCCAAAGTGAAAATGGTTTGCGCGGGTTTTCTTTATCGAAACCATCCCGAATGATCTTAAAAACCTGGACCCAGGGGTTCTCATCACCCAGATAGTTCAAAAACCCAGCTATCCCGTCTGCATCCGCAAAGTATGAGATTTGGCGCTCAATCACAATAGATAACGGGTCTACGCCTTCGTCCAACTCCTCTTCCCCCACAGCGAGAATAACGCGTTTATGCACCGCGTAAATGCACTAAAATCGTCAGTGGAAAAGCCCCATTGGCCGCAAAAACTAATAGCTGTCGAGACTCACTACAAGCGCAAAGGAGAATATATCAGAAGGCTTATTCACAGGCCCTTTGGCATGGGCTTCGGGGCTTCTCCACACTGGGTTGCCGGCCTGTTTTCCAATTATCGCTGATCCAGGAGGGATGTCTGCGGAATCTTCCAAATCGCCAAGTTGCACTCTTTCAATGAGGATACCATCCTTCTGGGCCTGCCAGTCAACAAAAAAAATTGTCGGCCTTAATATCTACTAGGAGTAAGTGATCACCATCATAAGAAGGGAGGGGGTGTATGGTTGGTTACCTACCGGTATTGACAATATCCTGATCATGGAGTTCTGCAATTCCACGAAGAGCGTCTTTGAGTATCCTTTTTGTGGTTTCAAGAGGCAAGTCCTTCTGGACAAGATGCAGGACGTGGTCTGCCAGATACTCAAAAACAAACATTGACTTCTTGGGAATTGTATCTTGACAGAGACGGACGTGGTAAGCGCTGCCACGAAGCCTATTATTTACATCCTCGGGGTCTTCAAAATTAACCGGGTGAATGTATTTCAATACGTACTTACGGCCACCCGCACTGAGGAAGCAGTGAGTAAGCAAAGTTATTATCATAATTATACAAGAGGAAATAGCTTCAATCTACCTGGCAAGGCCAACCCAGCGAGGGGGCAAGGTTTCTTCTTGAAGAACTCGTTCAATTTTATAATTGCGACCAGACTCGCCGATATACTCACGAGAGTCTACGTGGGCAGTCGACATTGTGCCTGTCTTGCGATAGAGGGTGGCTTTCGGCAAAGCCGGTTTGCAGCCCGGAAGATTCAGCACAAATAGGTTTGAATGTATGCATCGGTTCCCGTAAGAGCGGAGCGGGAGACAAGAAAGGTTACCAAGTGGCGGCATGAAGGCGAATTAATAGGGAATGGCTTTGCAATTGAGTCTCCAGTTGACATCAGGAATTTGGGGATTCTCCGCCTCTTGCTTGAACCGATCGCAGGAGCAAGGTGTACCCTGACTGATTGGTGTTGGTCTAACAGGGTTTCCTTCACATTTGCCACTTGGAACTAAAGTAGCGGAAATCAATTCAAACCCAGAGACGAATGTCGGGAGTAGTGGGGAGAGATGGGGAGAAGAGGATACCAGGGATGCCTCCAAAGAGACGAAAGGGATTGCCTACAAGGAAGCCTCATCAAGAAGCGAAGAGGGTCAAAACTCTCAGGGAAAAGGGAAAACGTTTCGGAGATCGAAGAATCCAATTATAACGTACAACCTATAATCGACTGCCCCTAGAATGACACCACTGGCAGCCAGAATGTTGATAAAAAGATTGTCCTTGTAATAGGAAGCGGGTAAGTTAATCATTGATCCGAGAAGCATTAGCGCCCAGTCCACTCGGAATTTCATAGTTACAGATTCATCCAGGCAAGCTTACATCGGAGGCGCACTTCACGACGAAGTTCAATGGTGTGCAGTATATCCCTTGCCGTGCTAGTGTAAAAGCCGATATTTTCTGCAATGTTCGACGCTCAATCGCCTGCTAGGCGGCGGCAAAAAGCAAAGCTTTCATCTGAATCTCTGTCATCAATTTTGGTGACTCCTAGATGTTTCTCGTATCCCCCTTGCTCATATAGCCGGAGCAGCATATTTGCATCGTGTCTCTGCTCCTCAGTTGCACGTTGCTTCTGCTCAGTTACTGCGATGCAATTCAGCTGATCGGGAGAGCCAAAACAAACTGTGTGACTTTAAAGCAGTCATTCATCAATACTGAATTTATGAGTTCAGGCCTTGCTATTGTCAGAACGTTCTTGCCTAACTACAGAAGGATTCTCTCTTCCATACCTCGCCTTTTCATTATAAATCATAAGCCCTCTTGAATCTACAGCATTTCCATTGAGGTGACCTGCTAGTTTTCTCATCCAGTAACAGCTTAGCATGGTATAGACAGAAGCAACATGTCCATTGCAACCCAAAAAAGTGCATACAACCTTGAAGCACAGCTGGAGCCTCAAGGATCCCCAATCTTTTCTCAGTTTTGCCATGACACCTCTTTTCACCGCATCAAGCTTCACCCCCGCTTCGTCGATTAGGTGGTGTTCTCTTGCCGATTATGCGCTCTACTCATATTCCTCGTAGAGCATACCGCATCAGTGGCAAGGACGAGACCTTGGGTGGCAGGACGAACAAGCTTCTTCCTATTCGCCACAGAGCATGCGAAGGATTGCTTGGGCGTGGTGAAATGAAATCCACTCAGATTGATAGAAAAGCGCGTCTGGCACACGCTGCCATTTGCACATTTAGTGATCTGCATGTGCGCACGACTGGACATGACTTCAACGAATGCCGCATATGCCAGCGTGGAAGATGTTATCCACGAAACTGGCGCTCAACTGCTGGGGATGAAAGGAATGCATTTCACAACACACATGCGGTAGTTATACGGGCAATTGAGAGTTCGATGCCTGATGGTTCACATGAACAGCGAGGGACGAAGGCACCGCTCATTGGGAAGAATTTGTGCGCAATGGAGAATGAAGAAACCATCCAGAGCCGGAAGGAATGCAGGGGATATAGATATAAACTGCAGGGCTTGCCCAGCAGCAAGCGCGAAAAGAAAATGACGTGCGAGAAAAGCATAATAGCTAATTTCGCATTTTTAAACTTTTCATTAGGTTTTGGGATCCAACCAAATCATCGATAATCGAATTTTAACTTTTATAAGCTTCAATATTCTGTGGAATAAGAAGTTATTATTTAATTGGTCTGTTTCAATGCATTGAAATATCTAAACCCATACTCCGAATCACAATCTATTGAGTATTGAGAAGGGGTTGTATCTGCCACGACCAAGCGCGCCACTATAACACTGGGCCAAGCTACCGAGAGAAGATAATGGGGGATGGTTAATCCTCTATGATTATGGCGGAAGCTTGATAATCTCATCTCTCACGGAGAACTGATACGTGGTATGCTAAAATATCGCATCCGCCGCCTCTAGCCGCCATGCTGGGCGCTGGCGTCCATTCCCTTCAACGCTAGTTTGTTGCTTTTGAGGAAATCGATATGAAGGAGACGAACCCAGTAGTTCAGTTTTCACCCTGAGGTTTGGCCAAAGATATCAACTGTCGGGATGTTTGTTAGCATCCTGGTGCTCATCCCAGCGAATATTTTTCCGGGTGGTTTCCCTCCCGGCAATAGCAGAGTTGAGTACAATTGTCTTATACTAAGAGCGAGCGGAAGATACGGGAAGAGTTGCTGCAGGTTTTGGAGGTTCTGAAGAAGTGGGCTACGAGGAATTTCGCAGGAGGATTGAGGAACGGGGAACGGGCGTCTATTCTCGCGTGGATTGCCGGTGTGGGGGAAATGCTTGATGAAGAACGGAAGCTGGAGGAGATAGAGATGCAGAGGCGGTCGAGCTTTATTTGGGCTAACTAATGGGGAATGGTATAACTAGTTGTCACAACTCAGAGCCCAGGATCTTGGTCATTTTGCTTTCCGGTGATTCTTTGTTCAAGATACACCTTCTATCTCCATTCCACAAAAGTAATATGACAAATGGGGCGGAGGGTCAATTCTTGGGACAGGAAACACAGACGATGAAGGGCTTTATAAACATTGGAAGAGGAGGCCTCCGCTGAATGGACACAATATAAATATAGGAGGTATAGGAGTTGGCACCCCTGGTGCCCCTTAATACCATGCGATCTGACCCTTCTAGAGAGTTACAACCAACCAACCCATCCTCCGTCATTTTGCGTTTATATTATTTTTATAGATGACTTGATCCCTTCAGTCCTACTGTGCTAGTATCCAACAACATCCTGAGTTTGTAATATATGCAGGAACTTAAGGCGTAATAAGCTACGACGTCAGCATTAGTTCCTGGAGCAGTCCGTACTGTGCGCAGAGTTACTTAGAACAGAGGACAGCAATGAATGAATCATTCACTTGTAGATCAGAGCTGTCTTTAAGACTTCGGCATCGCCGGCTATTTGGAGCATTTCATTCCCCCGCAGTTCGAAACATAACCACCTACAGACATCCTAGTAGGCCTGACAGAAAACCTCTCCAGTGTCGATGACGCTATCTATATAGATGTTTAAGGTTGAGTCAAACAGATTGAGGACAACACGGACACCGCTGTCGCACAACCCCGCCGTTTCGTCTGACAAGGTAGATTGTCTGAAACGACGGCTCAGAGCAATAACAGCAACACTGAGTGAGTATTCCGAGGGACGGGGGTATGGATGACCATATATAAATTATACATCTACTGAGTTAGTGCTTCAAACCAGCGGCGTCACCACACCCACCAGCTGACCAGTTTTCACATGGTACAGTACGTCTTTCTTCTTCTCCGCTATTTAGCTGTCTCGGACATATATCTGCGATCTGAGATGGACGAGCGAGGGAGGAAGCCGGAAGCCGGCGTTGGGCTATTCCCCGCTGTTGTTTTTGCCATGATGACCATCAGCATTGATTGGGTTTCAACGGCAGCATGGGGATGCCGGGGCGTTGTGTACTTCTATACATGATTACATGAGGTATTGCTTGTATCCGGCCAGCAAAACTGGCTTCAGTCGGAGACTACCTTGTTGGGTGCAGATGCAGATAGCTCGTTGGCCAGAATCGGAGAGTTTGAGCTGCTAGTTACCAGTTAGATCGTGGTCTGATAGGCACGGACGACAGTTGGGGAGCTTAATGCGGTGCGGGGTATGGATGTATCTATGACTGAAGCTGTACGGAGTAGGAGGGGTGATATGATGACACTTGCAGTAGCTTGTGATGGGTGATTGTTAACTAGTTAGTTAACCACTAGTTAAACCTTTGTCAGGAAGCGTTCAAAAGGAACAGGACGCATTGATTGCTGAGATTGTGTTGGGACAATAGCGAGACGAGACCTCCACAGCTCCGCCAACCGTATCCCAGTAGCTGGGTAGCTAGCTAGATCTCTATGCCATCCTCTCTTCTATACTGGCCACAGCTTGCTGGATGCCGCGTTGGTTTAAAGTTCCGGCCAAGCCAGCTAAGTAGTTAACGCCCTGTGCCCCTCGATAGCTTGGATATTCAAGCACTGCATAGATCACTGGATAGTTGGATAGCTGGATAGCTGGATAACGCCGGACTGCGCTGCCGACCTTGCCGAGTCTGGTCTCGAGACTCTCGAGAGCTCCCAGAGCTATATCAAACCGACAGACTGACCTGGCTGGACCTGGCTGGGCTGGACTGGCGGCAAACAAAGCCAAAATATTAGATAACTAACGTGACTCACCACCCAACGAACTCATCCACCCAACGAACTCCTATTTTTTCCATGAATCCCTGCAACTCTTCAACTTCAACCACCCACCATGCCACCCAACGAAGCAATTATAGAGCAAGCGATCGCTCAATTGAATCGACAATTGATTCCTAAATATGCTGAGGTTGCAAAGGAATTCGGAATCAATCGCGTTACCTTGATGCGGCGGTTCAAAGGTCAACAGGTCTCCAGAACAGAGGCAACATCAGTCTACTGTCAGAATCTCACAAATACTGAAGAACAACACCTCCTATTTCATATTAATCAGTTATCCGATCGCGGCTTCCCTGTGACACCTCAAATACTGCGCAATTTTGTATTTGAGATCACCAAAATGCAAGTAGAAATCAACTGAGTGTCTTGCTTTTGTGAGCGGCATAAAGCAAAGATCAAGAGCATCTATCTTCGTGCTCTGGATCAAAAGAGAAAGCAGGCAGATAATAGCTACTATTTTGAACACTTCTTTACTCTTGTAATTGCAGTTTTTTTGCTTCTTTTCGTGTGCAATTCCATGAGCTTTTTGCTGACTTCTATTGAATAGTTGCAGGAGAAGATCAAGCAGTATAATATTCTACCTCAGAACACCTACAATTTCAATGAAAAAGGCTTTCTTCTTGGCCTCCTTCATACCCTCAAGCGAATTGTTTCTATAGAAGCTCTCAAATGGAAGCATACAATTGAAGCAGTGCAGAATGGCAGTAGAGAATTCATTTCTCTACTTGCCGGTATTTGTGCAGATGGAACTACAATTCCACCTGCACTCATTTACCGCGGGGAATCAAGAGATATGCAAGATACATGGCTTGAAGATTTTGATCCTAAAAAGGATCAGGCATACTTCGCTGCTTCAGAAAATGGATGAAGTAATGATGAATATGGGTTAACCTGGCTGAAACAGGTGTTTGATCCTCATACAAAGCAAAAAGCAAGAAATCATTACCGCCTGCTTATATTAGATGGCCATTCATCTCATATAAATATGGCATTCATTGATTATGCGGATCAGAATCGAATTTTGCTTGCTATTCTTCCCCCCCACTCTACACACTGTTTACAGCCGCTAGATGTTGGAATATTTGACCCACTTGCAAAGGCATAATCAGATCAACTAGATTTCTATACACATTCTGGCTATGGCTTTATTCAGACTACAAAGTGAGATTTTTGGCGATTATTTCATGCTGCATGGGAAATCTCTACAACTGCGGAAAATATCAAATCTGCCTTCATAGCCACTGGCATACATCCTATAGATCCTGCCCGCGTTCTCAAAAAGATTCAACCACGTCCACTTACACCCCCGGAACTGCTTAAGCAGCGTACACCTACATCTATATGAGCTTTGCGAGGTCTGATAAAGCAGGCAAGTCAACGTCACCGCCGACTTTCAGTTGATATTAAAAAAATTCTCCGTGCTGGGGAGAATATTGCTCTGGACAGAGAGGTTCTCTTAATAGAGAATAAGAATCTTCAGACTGCTCTAAATAATGAGAGAAGGCGACGCAAACGGGGTAAGCGTATGGGGTTGCTTAATCCATCAAATCCCTCACTTGCTCGATTCTTTTCTCCCACAAAGGTGCAGGCCGCGAGGGAGCAAGCAGATGCTAATGAAACTGCGAAAATCGATGATCAGGCAAGCAAGGAGGATATGAAGCTTCAACGAGCGATTCTTCATGAGCAAAAGCAGGCAGAGCTCATGGAGCGGAAGGAACAACGTGAGAAGGAATGTTTAGAAGCTGCTCAACACCATGAGGAGGCCAAAGCTGCAGCTGCAGCTAAACATTGTATAGAGAAGCAACGGTGAGATGAACAGAAGCTTCAACTGCAAAAAGAGAAGGAAGAACATGCTGCTAAACATCATGAAGCACAGTTGGCAAAGAAGGCACTCACGGAGGCCTCAAAGAGGCCTACAAGAAGATCAACAGTGGGCTCAAAACACCGTAGAAGCTCTATACAACCTTCTAAAAGCGGTAATAAGTGCCGCACGCAGGCCCCCCCAGTGGAATCAAATGATATTCCTTCTCTGAAACCTTCTACGCCGCGATCCGATTCAACCGTTTCAAAACCACGAGTTCAACGTTCCGGGCGGAATATTAGGCCAAGCAATCGTTCTCTGAATTAATCATGTATATTTATATGATGTATTCTACATATAGTTTTAATCTTTAATAAATAATATTAATATCTTCTTGCATTGTTGTGCTACAGTTGAAAATTAACGGCTCTATAGAGCGCTTTTTGGAGTTCGTTGGGTGGATGAGTTCGTTGGGTGGTGAGTCACGTTAACTAACTTAACTGCTGATCTCATGACGGCCAGCATGATCGATCGACTCTGCTGGCTTCAAGTTCTGCTCCTGCGAGTGGTCCCGCAGCAATGCCGAATATCCGCCAGCTATTGTGTATCGGATCTCTTCCCCGGTGGCAATCCTCGACATCGCTGTTCAAGTTCCTATTCCCCCAATGTACTCCGTACAGTAAGCTCCCCTTCACAGCTGGTCGGATGCACGTCAAACCAGCGTCATGCCAGCCATCCCAGCCAATGACGTCGGCCGCCCGCCTCAGCCAAACCCGCGGTATCTGTCTCCTGTATCCCTTCCCGCCCCGGCCGCTGTTCTGGATTCTGGGTACATCGGCAGCGATAACTGTGGATGGCGGTTTGGCTTTCGCCGACTCGCCCGGTTACGCATTGAACCTTCACCTCAGGCCGTGTGAGCACTTGACCCCAACCGGCATGCTGTGGCTCTTGCTTCCAAAATCCCCTCAGGCTCTATGACGTGATGCATTGCATAGGGTTTGGGACTTTTCTTTTTTTTTTTTTTCTTTTTGTTCTCTGCTGTCGAATTTTGCGCTATAGACTTGCGGTACGCCATTGTTGGGGCCAGGGATGGGATATAAAGAGTTTGCCCGCCTCCCTGGTCCAGCGAGTACCTGCGTTTCTATTTTATTCTTATCGGTTGATATATACATATGTGTGTATATACAAGTATACTATATATCTGTGGTTCTTTGCATATATCCCTTATACTCTATCTAATCTTGGAATAACCCCTGATTCCAGCGCAGGGCATCAGAGACCCAGAGACGGTTTATATTTATTATTTAATTGCGATTTATCATAGCCATTCTCATATACCCAAGTCCGACGTCCACCTCTGTCTTCATCTCCTTGATACCTGCAACAGCGGCAAGCGACAATGGCTCTCCTCGACACCGCCATGCGCGGCCTGCTCTTCTGCGCCCGCTTGCTCCAGTGGTGCAGCGCCGTGATCGTCATGGGCATCGTGGCCTTCTTCCTCCACAAGGGGCCGAAGGGCCAACATCTGAAATACGAGATCGTTATCGTGCGTTGCATATATCCATCTCTAGAATATTGGTCGAGGTACTAACAGAACCCAGGCTGTATTATCCGTTGCCTTCTTCCTGCCCGGCCTGCTCTCCGCCTTCATTCCCGCCGTGGGCAAGATCGCCTTCCCGATTGATATCATCTTCTCCTATCTGTATGTCTCCGCTTTTCTGCTTTTATACCCTCTCATTTCTACAACGACAGAATAGTAATCATGACCCGGCTAACAACCGCCACCAGCTGGTTAACCTCCTTTATCTTCACCGCGCAAGACTACAACCTGGGCGTCTGTGGTCTCAACGCGCCCCCTGGCGGCCGCTGCTCGCTCAAGCATGCTCTCGAAGCCTTCACCTTCTTGGCATTGTATGATAGTCCCTGCTCCCATCCAGCTCCCTTTCCCCCTTTTCCCCTTCCACCTTTTCCGCTTTCCTCTCTCCCCATGTATACGAGCATAGTTAACGTGTATTTTGACTTCAGTTTCGGCTGCCTCGCCTCCGCGATGCTCGAGATCTATAACCTGTGGGCATACCACAAGTCGCGTTCTGTGACGGCACATCCCACGAAGGAGGTGCCGCGGCAGTCGGCGGAGACGGAGGGGACGGCGGCTGTGTAGTATTTTTTTTTTTTTGTTTAATTTTTGTGTATCCCGGTTTGAATTGAATGGAATACGAAATATGATATGAAAATGATGTATGAACAATGTATGCGGTGACGGTGTGCGTGAGTGGCGTGGCTGGTGGCATATAGGTGAAAGTGAAAGGGCTAGTGGTAATATTCTGCTCTTGATTTATTTATATCCCGCCTGGGCTCTGGTTTTGGTTTCCCTTGATGTTGACATGGGTTATGGATGGATGGCTGGCAATGGCTTGACGAGCTATGCGAATGCGAGGTGAAGGTCGGGTGGGACGGATCTAGGTTGTTGTATTGTGTACTTTGTCTTGATACCTAACTAATTCCCCCAAATCCCCAATCTGACTCGTTTACAGCTTACTTGTTGAGCTGGTAACTTTTTGCAAAGAAAGGTTTCTGCAGTTGGAAATTGGAATCGATATCGACGCGGAGTCCGTTTTGGAAATCTGCGTAGGTTGCGCCGTGATAAGTTGTCGTACCCCTGATCCGTATGTGCACCTGAGTCGGAGGAAGGCAGGGAGGGAGTGGAAAGACTATTTATTTCCTCTCATTTTCCTCTCATCCGTTCTCTTCTTTTTTTTTTTTTTTTTTTTTTTTCCATTTCACATTTCTTCGTGCTGTGGTACAGTTGCGGCGATAACATATACTGTGAGACCGTGAACATTACTGAAGGCGATATTTAGTCCCCGACCTTGCCATCTTCATTTCCCTCGTCGGCCCGGGGAGACGTATATCTCCATTAAATACACGCTGGCTGAACAAACCCGTTAGGGGTTCAATATGTCAAGTTCGCTGAGTGGCGCTGCTGCCTCGATCCAGAGGGCTTTTGTGCTCTCGATAGTTATATCGACATGAAACATACTACCGGCATGGTGCTGGTGGTGATTGAGCTCTTTTGCCTCAGTGGCCAACAGAATATATAAAAAATAAAGGGCAAGTTACAGTTAACGATTGAATTCAACCTGTACATCCATTCCAAGGCCCTTCAAAACAAAACACTTTCCCCGTCCTTTGGACAATCGCTTTATAAAAGGGAGACATCTTATCCAAATCACAAAGTTACATACCAATGTGCAAAAAAAGTAAAAATAAAAAATAAAAATGACATTGAAATTGAAACTGAAACAAAAAAAAAAAAACAAGATTCAAAAGACATAAACACCGGCGCCTTCCACCCCCCCTCCCCCCCCGCGCCACCCCGCTCCCTTTACAACAACAAAGAAGCCCCACCCAAAATAAACCCCAGGAACACAGCTGTTAAAATAGCAGCCCCAATCTGATCGCCCACAGTGATCGGCCTCGTAGCAATCTCCGGCAATAAATCGCCCCTGACGAACCCCGCGCCCACGTCAACCTTACTCGTCCCGTTCGTCTTCGCCGACACGGGCAGCGGCGCGCGCCGGACCAGCAGCCCCTGAATCACCTCGAGCGCCGCCATCAGCTGCCCCAGCCCTGCGCTGCCCTCGAAGCGGCCGACATTCCACCTCTGCGAGCACTGCGCGCCGTTGGTGCCGATGGTGCAAGCGCTGGCGGCGCCGGCGGCAGAGGCGCGCAGGATCGGCAAGAGCCGCGCCGTCGTGAAGGGGCAAATTTGCATCGTGGCGGCCATCCAGCGCGCGAGGTAGGCTTTGAAGGAGAGCTGGTCGGTTGTGCATTTGTTGTGGGCTTCGCAGGTGGGTTCGTAGAGGACGTTGGAGCCTTTGTGGATGAAGATGTGGAGGGCGTTGATGATGTTTTGCAGGCGGGTTCTCCATATCTCGCTGCCGTTGGTCTGTTTGGAGGGGCGAGGTGGAAGGGGGGGGGTAAGAGTGGAGGTTAGCCTTTGTTTTTTCTAGACAATAGATGGCAGATGGGTTGGGTGGAAAGGGTATGGAGCCGGGATTTGACACTAACGAATTGATACATATGAGCTGCGCCCAGCATAAATATGCCCGCGTTATACGTCCATCGGTTGCGATTGAGCTGCGAGCAGTTCTTCAAGTCATCCGTGCCGTCCAGGAAATAATAGTCGGGCGTAATCAGACCAATTCGTTGCACCCACTCCCACGTCTTTTCCGCCCAAGCTGCATACGTATGGTTGTTCGTATAGGTCGCCAGCCGCGCCGCGATGTTGAAGAAGCACCCGTTCGAGATGGTATTCTTGTAGTTGAAGCCTTTGTTGAAGCGGAAGATCTGCCATTTAAGGCCCCCGCCGCACGTCTCCATGTCCCAGCGCGCTGCCTGTGAGTTAAAGGTGCCCTGCACCAGGGTGAGCCACTGCGGCTGGTCGGGCGGCGGGTCGGTGAATCTCCGCTCTGCGGCGGCCATGGCGGCTAGAGCCCAGAAGCATTGGTCGTCGTTGCCCTCGACTCTCGTCTGGTTGGCCGGCATGAAGTTCTGGGTCTCGCTGGCCTGGTGCAGCATGGCTTGTATGATGATATTGTTGTACGTCGAGTCGCCGGTGTAGAACCAGTAGTCGATCAAGGAACCAAACATCGCCCCGGCCTCCCACCAGTAGTATGGCGGCGGGAGGTATCCGGGAACACCTCCAGGTCGATCGCCGGTGTAGTAGTGTCTCACCCCTGCTGCGAGGACTCGGGCTGTCATTACGACGGAGTCTAGTTGATGTCGTGTATGTGGTGTGAGTGGATGTGGATGCTCTTGGACTACAGATATATTCGAAGGGGTCCAAAGGGGGGGGGGGGGGGGTTAATACCATCATTGTCGAGGTCCACATCAATGCCATGTATGGGAAGGGCGAGCAGCAGCAGGTGGAGGAAAGTCGAGATAATTGACATTGACTGCCGTGACCCAGCTGGAGACGGTGGCCGAGATGGGTACGCTTGTACCTGCATCCTAGAGACACAATTGAGGTAAGATGCCGCCAACTAAAGGACGGCTGTTTCGTACACAACGCCTGAGAGGTCGCGGCGAAGACGACAAGGAATTTATACCAGCATTGTCTCTCAGTCCAATGCGTGGATTGCATGTGGGATGCATCATATCGGCAATGCAGATGGCTGGCCGTTTGAATGAAGAATATCAAAGCTCAGACAAAGCAGCCATGGATGGGCTGTTCGAAAGACGTTTCATATCTATATTTCTCATACACCATCCATCCATGGATAGCAAAAGGTCCCAGCCAACAAAAATAAGCCTTTCTAAGCATCGCCGAACCTCTTTTGGCAGCGTTAGTATGCTGTGGTTGGGTCTGCGATATCCTGCTGGGTGGAGAAGTGGCCATTAGTTACTCGGGGCACGGCAAATGGTAAAAGTTGGGGATCATTCATGAGCATTGAGTTATGCTGAACGGCAAGCCGAAGGAGTAGTAAAAATGCCATACCGCGCATTTATGTGCAAGAAGGTATATTCCACAGGAATGACAACGGCGATCTCATCGTCTAGCTGCGAGGCGCCCTGAGCGTCTTCAACTTCCCCGTCGCCCGCCTTGGTTTGGCCAATGTCTGATGCAGATGGGCAATACAAACGTGAAGCCAATGAAGGATCATGAAATCGCTGGTAAAAAACATACGGTGATCGTGCCTCGCGGCCAGGAGAGGGAAGAGCTGTAGAGTAGCCGTAGTAGTAGTATAGATATACAGTATCCACCTATCTCTTTAATGATATGTGACAACCTGGGTGGCTTACTATTTATACCGCGGTTCTGACAGATAGCGACGAGCAGGCAAGGTACATCTTTTCATTTCTCATAGTGAAGAATGATTTATTGTATACTCATATTTTATGTTACCTTTTTACATCATTGGTTATTTATTTATTTATTTATTTCTTCTTTCCTCTAGCGTTTCTCTTTCAAACATAAATCAAGCATCCGTGGCAATCACCAATATACTCAAAAATAAAAATACGAAATCTGAAAAAGCAGAACAGAAGCTGGAAAAATTAAAACAAAAAAAAAAAAGGAAATAACAATCACCCCTTTAAATCTACTCTGTAAAATGACAGTCGTCAAGCGGCGCGTATGGCCCCCACCCTTCCTCCTCCGCCATTCTAAGTACCCCGTTGTGATCCTCCCCGGGCCGCCCACTAAGCGTATCCACAAGCTCCTTCAGCCCCATCCAAAAATTATTCGTCGGTCTCCGACGCACCCAGTCCGTATCCGTCTCCTCTAGTCCGCCCCTCCCCGAAGCATCGGGCCCCATCGGCCCAAACACAACCTCACTCCCCTTAATCCCGATAACGACGCTGGACATCGGATCCGCCGCAATGGACTCCCCACTGCGCCCAAAGAACGTCTCCATGTGCTCGATGCATTTTATCGCCATGCGCAGCGCCCGCACGCGGTCCATCGGCGACGGCTTCCCGCCCTGTTGGAAGTGACCGGGAACGGCGGCCCGGGACTCGAAGCGCCCATGCGCTTCCTCTTTGATCATGTCGGCAATTACCTGGGTGGTGTAGGTGGCCGAGGCGCGCTCGTTGCGGAGGATGATCTTCCCCGCGTGGCTGGCGCCGCGGTCTGTCGCAAAGTTGTGGCGTAGGTATTCGATGTCTCGCGAGAGCATTTTGATGTCGATTCCCTCCTCGGGGATGTAGACGGCGTACGCTCCGACGGCAAGGCCGGCCATGACGGCTATGTAACCTGAGCGGCCGCCTTGGGTTTCAATGACGAAGACCCGTCGGCGGGAAGAGGAGGCAGATTGGCGAATTACGTCGCAGAAGTTGATGAGCGTGTTGAGACAGGTGTCGCTGCCGAGGGAGTATTCAGTACCCGGGACGTTGTTGGAGATGGTCGCCGGGAGGATGACGAGAGGAATTCGGAAAGCGGGATACTGATCACGAGCTTTGCGGAGCTGGCTTACTGCCGTGAAGGCTTCAAAACCACCGATGACGAAAAGGGCATCGAACTTGTACAGCTCGAAGCATTCGGCGGTCTTGGGCATGTCTTCGGAGGGGAGGCCGCGGTTTGTGCCGATTTCGGAACCGCCTTCATTTACCCATGAGTCTGACTCGAGCCATGAAACTTCCCGGACGGAACCCAGAGGCTTATCCGCGTGGTGCCGGCATAAGCCTGGAAAACCATTGTATATCGCAATTGGCGTGTGACCTCGGGCGATACAATAGGCGACAGCTGCGCGTGTTGCGGGATTCATTCCACCAGCAGGTGCACCAACATGGATAATTGCGATTCGCATACGCTGAGTCGAGGATTTCATGTTAGCGAAATAAAAAATAAATTGAAATAAATAATATTTTTAAATAAAACTAATACAGAACGAAACAAAAAAAATAAGAATTTAAAGAAGACATTTAAATTAAACTTACTTTATTTTCTGGTAACTGCAACTTTGGATGGTGAGGGGTTGCCGTATTGATATACGCCCTGTGATAGGCTTTGAATTCCGCGTCTCGCATATCCAAGGCCGTCGCAAAATCTTTGTCCATGATGGCCTGGGTCACTTGCTTCGTGACGCGAACAGCTTCGACAAGGGATGTCGGCTCGATTTTGTTTTCTCTGATGGTTATGATAGGTGAGGGAGACCCGGGTTTAGCTTCCAAAACAGCTTTGACAGCTTCTACCCCCTGAAGTGTGCCCAGCCACCGATCGTAGGCGCATGCGGGCCCTCCTCGCTGTGTGTGGCCGAGAACCGTGACCCGAGTATCAAGTTTCAGCCTGCTGCTCAGAAGGTCCTTCACTGATCCAGATGTTATCTTATTAAGGTTACTATCCTGAGCACCTTCAGCAACGATAACGATGGTCCGGCGTTTGCCTCGTTTTCGATTCTACATATTCAAATGAGAAATTAGTTTAGCAAGGTATGTATGCATGCGCATTGCACCAGCACCAGCACAAACCTGAGTGATAATTTCACACATGTCTCCTTCCCAACCATCTCGTGGCGGCCTCTCTGGAATGAACAACCAGTCCGCCCCTGTGCTGATGGCCGACATCATAGCCAACCACCCGCAATGTCGTCCCATCACTTCAATCACAAATCCGCGCTGATGGGAAGCTGCGGTATCGAATACCTCATCAACAGCCTCGCATATGCGGTGGAGTGATGAATAACAGCCAATAGTGGCATCCGTTGTTGACATATCGTTGTCAATTGAACCCACAACACCAACGATATTGAGGCAATGGTATGGCTTCACCTCGTCCGGGGTCAACTCCCCCTTCTCCACCAACTCGGCCAATAAGCCAGGCCACTCTCCCCGGAAGATATCCGCACCGGTCAAACTGCCATCTCCACCACAGACGACGAGCGCATCGATTCCACGCACAACCAGATTTTTAGCAGCACGCATGCGCCCCTCTCGCGTCATGAAGCTCATGCTGCGAGCAGAGCCAATTAGAGTACCCCCCCGCGACAACCAGCCGCGCACATCTTCCCAGTACATCCGCCGGATCAACTCCCCGCCCTGCACAAGGCCTTCATAGCCTTCGTGGATAGCGTAGGCCTCACAGCCACAGTGGGTAGACATGCGGACGACCGCGCGGACCACACCATTCATCCCAGGGGCATCCCCGCCACTTGTGAGCACAGCGATACGGCGACGCTTGGATGCCATGGTTTTGATTAGCCGATAAAGTATGAAGAGTATCGGATTGCCAGGCAATAATAGGTTATTTCCTTGCAGCGGCTAACAGTTTACTTATGCTGGGTAGCTATATATCAACGACCCCCAGTCTCGATCAAAGCAGGAGGAGGGGTAGGGGGCAGGGGGGTTAGTTGTGATGCAACTCCAAGAAATTGAGCCAGCAAATTCCTCTAATTCCAAACTGTATAGCGGGTCAGCGCAAACACAGCAATCTAGGCATGTACAAGAGACATAATTGCAAAAAACCACCGACTGAAGTGTTGATTGAACAAGTTGTACTCGAACCAGTCAATGAGGGCGTCATGATGACTAAGCATAAGCTCTGGGCGATCTGTTGGAGCTACTACACAAGCCCTATCCCACGTGACCCACACACATATATTAGCTCGCCACTAGATAGATAAACAACCAACCAAGGTTAAACCCTCTCACAGGTTATGAAGCCCTTGCACTTCTACGAAGCGATAACTTGCGATAATCTTTTGTTAAATAACCTATTCATTTTGATACCCTGATACCTCAATATCTTCAACGATAATCAAATGCTAGTTAGTACGCGAGGAACCAACCGTGACGAAACGCCAGAGAACCAGATAACCCCTGGAACCTTTCCAACACCGATAACCACGCGAAGACCACGATATCACGCCATAGAACGCGAAGAGATGGCAGATCAAGATGAAGCCGCAGTGCTGAGGCATCGTATTGCTCAGTTAGATGATGAACTACGCCAGATGAGAGCTGCTAGCACCCCTGCTGCTGCTGCTGCTGCCCATGATGGCAGTGAACTAAGCCCTGACCTTGCTGCTCACCTGCGTGATCAAGGTGATACCCCTGCCTTAAGCAGAGTCCTTCAAGAATTCTGGGAACGCGTCAAATTCATTCAAAAACCAGCATTTCTAAAATCAGCATCTAATTACCCGATTTGAAAGGAAGAGATTCAGCTTGCTATCAAGCTATCTCATACAAAAGATATCCTCACCATCAAGCCTTTGGAAAATGCCAGTAAGAATATGAAATAATACTGAGAGAAATGCAACTTCTGACTATACAACTTTATATGATCTTCAATTTTTATTGAAATCAAATTTGTTTTTATTATATCTCAAGATTCTCTGAGTTCTGCTGCTTTATAAACCATTATAGAAGCGTTTTTTTTTTCAAAAAGAATGAAGATTTAAAGAGTTCATTTATTTAAAAAATTCTATAATATCACAGCTGTCATTTATGAGGAATCTAATCGCTTTTTTATAAAACGTCTTTTAATAATTCATGTTGAATATATCTGTCTTGAATATGAAATTTTCAATTTCATATTGTTTGATAAACTTCTCAACAGTCTCACCAAGAGCTGATTCTCATTTGTCAATGATTGTATAAATCATGCGGTAAAAAATGATAATATCAGATCATTTGAAAACAGTTTTCTTGATCTTTACAATGATATATTACTTCACTTAATATTAGATGACAAGAATGTCAATTCTACTATCAATTATATAAAAAATAATAAAAACATTAAGAAAGGAAAAAATAAAAAGAATAAGAATATTAAAAAATACATTCATTGTGAAAAAAATAATTATAAAAAAACTTACTGCTGAATTAAACATTCAGAGCAAATGTTTGAGAGATTTTATAAAAAATTTATACACATCATCACTGAGAAGATTAATTCTATGATAAAGAATATATTTTAAATTCTTTAAAAGGAAGAAAATGTTATAAAATTCAAAGGTTGAATTTCATAAAAGATTGTTATTGTAATGAGTTAATATTTATTAATAATTAATTTATATAATCAACTTTTTTTCTGCATTCATTCATTTTTGTTATTATAATTCTGTATAATTTTCAATGTTCTTTTATTCTGAGTTTTACATTTATATAATCTTTAACAATTCTTCTGTATAATTTTTAATTTTTTTTTTATTTTATATTTTATACTTGTGTAATTTCTAACAATTCTTTTATATAACTTTTAATATTCTTCTGCTTCACATTTCATTGTAAGATGGTTTTTAATATTTTTTCATTTTAATTTTTTTTTAATAAAAACTTTTTTCATACAATGTTTTCTTCTAATCTCTTTTCTCTTTTTTTTCATAATCAATTTGTAATCTGTATGTAGAATAGTATTAGATTGTTAATTGAAATATGTTTTTTACATTATGAATTGATTTTTTTGCATTTAAAATTTAAATGTTTTATTATTAATTTTTATATCTAAGTGCATTGTTTACAGATCTGAGTGTCTAATTATTACAAAAGATTTTTTATAAATTTGAATGGTTTTATTATTAATTATATAAATTTGTGAGGGGTGATGACAGTATGAAAAGTAAATAGTAGAAGATAATTGTGGCCAAAACCTCACCCACATTTCCTTTTTGAGTGGGTCCCACCCAAACGATATTTTCATCGCAATGATATTTTTCAATTATTCCTCAACTATTCTATACTATTATTATTCAAATATTAATATCTCAACTACAATATGACTAAATTTTGTCAAATCACTGAAGATCACATTCTAGACATCTATAAATGCAATACAACTCAAAAAATCAAACCTCTGTTATGTGAATATAAGGTCAGCTATTAAGCCCTCCGCAGAAGGATTCAGAGAGTCAACTCATGAACAAAAAACAAGTCAATCAATTGTTTATTGAATTCCACACAAAAAGAGGCCTTAAAAGCATAGATTGCACAGTTGGATAAGACTGATCAACCCTCCACCATTGAAGTGATTCAAAAATACATGAATTCAATCCTTGTAAAGTGTCATATAGATTCTGCAAATCCTCCTCCCACTGTTGGCCACAACTGGCTCTATAGATTCATCAAACACTTTGATGATTATGAGTGAATTACATAGTGTTCAATGGATCCAAAATGAGTGTCTGCAGAGGATATTGGGCTTATAAAGATGTGATTTGACAGATTGGAGATTACAATAAAGCAATACAGCATTCTACCCACAGATTGCTATAATATGAATGAGATTGGATTTTAAGAGGGTCAAGGACACGCAGAGTGAGTCATTATAGCCTTTAAAAAAGCAAATGCAGTTTTATCCTCATCCTTTTCACAGTCATTAAACACAGTAATAGAGTGTATATTCACAGATGGAGAGGTTCTTCCACTCTGTGTGATCTTGTGAGGTAAGAATCTATTAAAAGATTGGATTACATTTACAAACCTCTCTGATTCCCAGCTTCTAACTACCTCTCCTACTGGCTATACAAATGATGAGATTGGGTATCAATGGCTGCTTCATTTTGATCACTATTCAAAGAAATGACAGGTTGGTGGATATAGACTTCTTCTTGTAAATAATCATGACTCTCATCTAACCCACAAATTCATTACTTATTGCAATAAAAACAACATCATATTATACACCTTTCATTCTCACACTATGCATATTCTACAACCTCTGGATGGTCTACGCTTTCACCAATATAAGCACTTCTATGCCAAAGCAGTCAATCAAGCAACCCGTGAAGGATTTCAACAATTTGACAAGCAAGAATTCCTATATAATCTACCCGCAATCTGTAAAGATGTGTTCAAACCAACCACTATTATACACAGCTTCTCCAACCGCGGAATCTTTCCTTATAACCCTGATCTTGTTCTTGACAAATTAGGGGCCCGCCTTCCTGCTGTTCCAGATCTACAGATTTAAAATGACAACAAAATTGCAAAATTACAGTCATCATCCTCAGTGGCATCCCCACCAAAGAATATACATGATCTCCGACATAATATTACAAAGGCAAAAGACGCGTTGGAGGATATTGAGAACTATCTTAATGACAGTTCTTCTAAGTTGAGTCATCGTCTTCAGAATATATTTACAGGGAGCTTAATACAGGCGGAACTCAACACTCAATGTGAGTGCGATCTCAATCAACTTCTTATAGCTCATCAATGTCAAAAAGAAAAAAGATCACGAAAACAGATTAATATAGAAGGAATGATGAATGTCAAGAATGCCAAAGGCCAGATTGCAAAGTGTAAAGCAGAAGATACACAGAAATCTATCAATTGAATACAATGAGAGCTTGCAGCAGCTGCATAAGTGCCAGGCACACAGGCAGCTGAACAAGCTTTGATTGCCAATATTTTGAATCATTCAGATGAAGAAGGTATTGAGGATGTAGATAATGAGCTTTTTACTATAGATAGACGGAAGAGGGTGTAGACAAAAAGAGTGCTGCTCAGGCATTCAAGGAATGGTGGAGAAGTCAACCCTCAACAGATCTATATGTTTTCTCGGATGGATCAGAACAGAGCCTTGACAACAGCAGGCAGGTGGGCTATGGCTTCATAGTCTATCAGGGAAATAAACAGTTGGCCAGCTTCTCAGCTGCGCTGAGCCCTATGTCACATGTCTTCGACGCTGAGGCAGTTGGTGCCTGCCGGGCATTAGAGTGCGCCGTGAAGCTCCTACCTTGTGTCACAGAGGACAGCAGCAACCCTCAGATCTAGCTCTGCCTCGACAACACCTCAGTCATCTGGGGCATACGGGGCAGTGCAGCAGCCTCCTCAAACTGGGCCTACAACCGCTGCCATGAGCTCCTCAGACAGCACAATGTCGGCCTGAAATGGGCTCCTGGGCATATGGGGATAGAGGGCAATGAGGAAGCAGACCGCTTGGCTAAGCGGGCAGTCTCATCCACTGCAGCCCCAGCCTATGGTCTCGAGGCCACACCCACAGTCAGTGGGGTCCGCACAGTGGCCAAGCAGCTCAGTCAAGAGACAAGGCGAAAGTGGTGGAGTGGAGCCTGTGGCAAGCTCTCTGACTGGTACCGGGGCTGGAGTTTCAGCAGGCCGACTGTGGAATACCAAGTGAAGGCCCCTCCGGAGCTCACCATGCCACGGCATGCCCTTCACCGCTGGCTCGCACTCCGCTCCTCTCATGGGGACTTCTCCTGGTACCACAGGCGTTTCCAGCATGCAGATGCGAGGCTCACCTGTGTCTGTGGACACAACAAGAGCCCAGAACATTTGGTGCTCTGTCGACACTCACAGAGGCACTTTCTTCACTGGCCCAAGAGGCCAGCAGCACGGCCACACAACCGGGCGACAGCTGTTGCCTATCTAGGGTCTCTGACCCCTACAGACTTTGTAGAACTGCTGGACTGCACGCAGTTCTACACACGGTACTGCACAAGGTAACGCAGCCGGCTGGCTGCAAACCATCTGACAACCCCCGCAGCAGTTCCACGAGGCCGGCCTGCTGAGTACACCCACGGTAGCTAGTGCAACTGCCAGGGACATCACAGTCTATGCAGACAGTACAGATAGCACAACTAGGCTCATCTGTCTCAATTAGCTGTGGTGTAATCAGTACAGTCTACGTGTCTGACTCAGCTGATATGGTTTTGACTGCCGGCATTGTATCTACGCGTACTCTGCTTTGTTTTCCTCTCATTTGCCCTTGTCTCTATCGGCTCAAATGCTTCTTCTTCCTTCTTTCCTTTGCTCTCTCTGTCATTCTCTGCTCTTTTCCTTTCACAACCTTCTTCAGTGCTCTCTCCTCTCTTTTCCCCCGGGTCTGTGCCAGGTCACGTGACTGCAAGGTGTTGCAGGTGACACAGTCTTTCCTTCACCTCTCTCTTTTATTCTTTTCATTTCAGAACACACACTTTCCCTCTCTTTCTTTCATTATTTATCTTGTCTGTCTTTCTTCTGATGTTAGAAGCACAGACAGCTTTCTGATCAACTGAGAGAGGTATCCCTCTCTGCTCACTATAAAGCCTTCCAGGCACGGCAGCGGCGGTCCCCTCAGGGAACCACACTATAGCCCCACCATGAATGGCCATACGTCGGGCCAGAAGTGGATGCGCAGCTCAGAAAAATCCTTTGCAATGAGCTGAGTCTTCTCAAGAGTTGCCACCTGGATTCTGTTTTCTCTCTCTCTTTGTGTACATAGAAATCTCTCCAGCGTAGCACGTCTCCATGCCCTTCGGGAGGCTTCTGAAACACGGGCGCTGCCCGTGTTTTCTCCGGGACGTTAAATCTATACATACATACATACATACATGGGTTGCAGAACACTGGTTGATATATAATCTTCTTGAGTCTCGAATTTAAATCAATGATTTTGTCGGAACTAACAAAGTCCGAATATTGTCCCAATTACTGAATATCAATAAAATAAAATTAGTTTCTGGTGACTGGGACCGTTGGGCTGCAGCGTGACCAGGAGATATAATGATTGAACCCGAATTTGTGTATTATCACCCCGCTCGTGATCGCCAGAAAAATGAGAAGCAGAAACAGCGTGGTACAACTCAGTGGAGAGTTGACCCCGGGCTATGGAAACATGTCTCACATGGAGCAGAAATATACCGGGTTCTTCAGAAAACACAGGGTTCTGCTGTCCTTGTATTCCTGGGGATGATTGATTTGAAACTGATCCTTTTTCTCCATGGTGCTGGGGACATCCGCCATATGCTTCTCATGGGTTGGGCCGGGGAGAGTATAGACAAAGTCAAATTCTCAACGCTGAATGATGAAATCTCCAAGTCGGAGAGGGAAATCCGTATGCTGGGAGTGGTGCATAAGGACCTGCGGCCTGCCAACATGTTATGGAATAACGAACTGCGCCGGGTTCAGAGGCAAACAGAAGGGAAATGACAGGACAGAAGATTGAAGGGGTGGATGGTGATAGCGGGTGGCGTACATTAATTCTAAATGGGAATAGCCGACCTTCCTCAAAATACGATTTCAATCCCCCTGTTTTGTTCGCGCTTATTACCATTCCGTCGCGATCAAATAATTAACTACGCTGTAGGATTCATCTTCGCCTGGTTCCTTGCTCGGCGGTTCTATCCGCTACCATAATCCTCCCTTTGATTATATATATCAGCATCTTTTCCTAGCGAGTTATAACTTCCTAACAATTCTGCATTTTTATTCCCCTGTTTGCTTCCCATCACATAATATTAGCATACCAACCTAATTTTTTTCCCCTTACCAGCTCCTAGTTAATCTCAACTCAACAGTCTTTTATACCGTCAAAATGGCGGGACTTTCACAAGAAGATCGCATCATTATCAAGAACCATCCTCTAACCAACTTGGTTAACCGTTTACAAGACGCGCTTCAGGAAGCTGAAAGAATATATGAGTCGCGTCTAATTTCCTACAATGGCGCTGTTGATAGCCTTGACCCACTCTATCGAAATGTGATTTCCGAACTCGTCTATACTTTGCAGGGAGAGGGTGCAGCCTACAGCCTTCCATCGCGGTTAAATGATGGGGACGTGGCGTCTGATCTAGCACAATTATTCAAGCGCCTCCGAAAGGCAAAAGGAAATTTCAGGTACGACGACTACCATCCGCTGGTGCACCTGGTTATTCAAAGGCCTCCCACTGAATCCCAGAATGCTGAACCCTGGAACTTCGATGTCTGGAAAGCTGTATTTAACCTCATTGACAACATCCCTCGATCAACTCCTCCGACGAGCATCCCACCCTCCTATGACAGCACGCCAGTCAAATCCACCTCATCATCGCAGAAAGGCTCCGAGCAGACGCGTAAGTTGGTGAATCCAAGAATCTTTGAGGAGATATGTGGCTGCACATTTTCAAACATTGAGGGCTTCTTTGAGAAATATTTTGAGGAGAAGAACTGGAGCAGCAAAGCAGATGCCATCTGTCGACGTGTGCTGGCCCCAACCAGTGATGGTAATTGGGCCCAGTTTCCCGATCCTCCTACACAGAACAATGTCCTCGCCTGGTGGTTTCATTTTCAAAAAGACCTTCTCTCAGAATCACGCGGCACCTACTACACCACAGCGAGCAAAGCGGATCTTACTGGTTCAAAGGCGGAACGGCAAGTCGACCTTCTTTTGCGAGCTAGGGATGGGACCCCCTCACGAAACAAACACGACTGGAGAGGCATCCTGGTAGTTGGCGAGCTCAAAAAATCCACAGAGGAGATCAAGACCAAGGGCACTCTGCTTCAGATGAGCCGCTACGTGCGCGAGGTCTTTACCGCCCAGCCCACCCGGCGGTTCATCCACGCGTTTGCCGTCTGCGGGACCAAGATGGAGGCGTGGGTGTTCGACCGTTCGGGTCCCTATAGCTCCGGCGTCATCGACGTCTACAAGGACTCAAGACGGTTCTTTCAGGTGCTTGTTGGCTACACCATGATGAGTGATGAGGAACTAGGACTGGATAGTTTTATTGCTAGGGATGAAGACGGCAACAAATCAATAACTGTCAAAGGGCCTGGAACTCTAGATGAAAAAGTGCTGCAGCTGGGTGAAATACTTTCCTTTCAACATGCCATCGTGTGTCGCGGGACCACATGTTTTCTCACAAACGATGGACAAGGCGTAGCTAAATTCTCATGGGTGTCGGACAAGCGGCGGCCGGAGGTGGAACTCCTTGAGCTAGCATGTCAAAAGAATGTCCAAGGAGTTGCAAGGATCATCGGTCACAGTACCATCACCAGCATCGCCGACATGCGCTGCAGTCTGACATTCGACAAGCGCCACCACTTCAAAAGCGCACCCCCCAGCGCAACCTCCTCATTTCATCAATCTCAGCCGCTCATCGAGCCGCGCCGCTTAGATATCCGTCGAAAGTCATCTTTCCAGGAAACGCAGATCCCCGGA